TAAAAAGTGAAAAATCGTTCCAGTTTCCAGTTCAATGCTTTTAAAATTACGTTTTAGATTATGAAGTAGGGATAGGATGGCTTGAGTTATTGCTCAACTTGGAGGATCGATACTGAGGTTCTATTCACGGCAAGAATAAATCTGTCCAAGAATTCGTGTGGTGCTGGCGACTCACCTATTTTTTTATTACCAAGGGACCCTCTGGCATATTTGTCTAATACGACAAGCCAGTGAACGAATTTAACCAGTAATGGTGAAAATTCTTTCAAAAAAAAGATTGTAAAGTAATTTAATAATTTTATTAAAACAAAGTTTCTTCTAAAAAATAGAAAATTTCTATGAGAATGAAGAAAAAATAAGCATTTGTCAGTACCAGCAAGATAATCATATTGTAATTTAAATCTTGATTTTTTATAGAATCGCTAATATTTATTGCGCTATCAACTAAATCACAAGTAACTGAGACGGATTTTGTAAAAAAGCGTCAATAAAGGCCTCCCATGAGATGCAGTATAACGTGTGCCTAATCTAATATCTTATTGAGGCTTCTCTATCCTTCAAGAAAAAAGTTAATTTTGCGGCTTATTTGTTTGTGGCAAAATTGTAATGTTACCAGTGTTTGGATGGAAATTCAATTGATATTTCCCATATTTCCCAATTGATATTTCTATTTTGAGGATTTATAACTCTGTATGTGGAAAAATATTCTCCAGCAAAAGAAGAAATTAGAATAGGCGAAAACGAAAAGATTTTATTTTATATTATTATTTTATATTGTATTTTATATTTATTCATCAGACAAATAATCTTTGACTAGGATTTTATTTAATATAAACCCGAGATTCACACTTTTTCATATTTTTATATATTGACTATAAAACAAACTGCATTAGGTTTTCCTGCTTCCATTTTCAAAATTTTCTAGAAATATTAAAAAATATTTATTATGTTTCTATTTTATTATAATGATTCAATAAGGTTTTAATAATGTTTGAATTTTTAATAGCAATAGATAAAAATTTCTATAATATAATTTTTCTTTTTTCAAATGCCTTTTGATGAATAATTTTGCCGTATTCCTCGATGTTAAATAATTTAAATTTGAGTTAAAAAAATGAAGGAGAAATTAAACATCAAAATTTCGTATTTAACATATTCATACTCACACATGATTATTGCCGATTATTATAATAAGTAGTTTATGATAATTCCATATATCACGAATATCCCACAATATTTTATGACGGTACATTGTTTTTAATCCACATTCCAAATTACATCGAATTATAAAAACGTTCTAAATTTTAGTTAGAGCCCAGAAATTCGCAAATTATCTCGTCCAATACTAAATTAAAAAAGGTATTTTAGTTGCAGACCCTTTTGCTTGAACACTGGTTACGGAATACCAGAAGCAATACAAAAAAATAAATACAAATGTTGAATGTATTAAGAAACTGCGATTATAATTCCAAACTTCACAAAACTTCACAAAATTTTTTTTAACACTTTTGCAAATCCTTTTGATATTTCACACGAATAAGTTGAAATATTAAAAACTATCTGATCTGTTCAAAAAGCTAAGGAATCTGGTAAAATTCAAAGAAAAAATTTATTAAATACTATCTCTAAAAAGAATCTTTATCAAGTAGAGAGAAATCGCAATTACAAGTTTATATGGAATATGAATTTGATAGATTTTTTCTATTGATGAAATTCAACAAATTTATTCTCACAAACTATCTACCGAAGACGCAATAATGCTATTGAATATGATAATTATTGAATCAGATGTAGCTAATTCGTGCCAAATATTTAAGCCCTGCATTCTTTTTAACCAGATTCACATTTTTGTTAAATATAAAGACTATTATTTATATTAAATAAATAGAATAAATCAATCAACACCTATCTAAAAAGAGCACATTTTTTTTCTTTCTAATGTAGAGAATTTTAACTCAATTTGTGGCGAATTCAGAGAGAGTGGACGTTTGGTTGACTGATTGATGAATGAATATAGTTGATTGCAATAAATTTAAACTTTTCTTCACTTCCTCCTCTCCCTTCGCAGTTGCTGAGCTATAGATGAGTGGTACTTCATTTTAATACTTATATTCATCTTCTTGACGTTTTTCAACTTTTATTTTTTTTTTTTAAATTATATCCAACCATATGTCTTTAATAACTAATTAAGTAGAAAAGGTGCTTAAAATAAATTTTAGAAATGCAAAATTTTTTACTTTTTATTGTGGCCTGCAAACTATTAGTGAAATGTATTAAAAGTTTTGTAAGTTAGCAACAAATGTAAACAAGGGCTAGCTGTTTTTTCTGGTTCAGACTAGATCCACTGGTAGCTAATGTAGTTAGAAGTTTGTTGACGATGATAAATGAAAATGGCTCGCCTTTTAAATAATTGGGCTAAGATCCTTTTAACATGGTAATTTAGACTATTATCTTCTGGCTTGACTATCCTCTGACTATATTATATTTTTAAAACTACCTTCTAGCGATTCTTCGATTTCTGCATATTTCTGCATATGTTGCGATAGAGAGAGAATTTTCGAAAATTATTTATTTTTAAACAGGTCATAAAAATATTGAAGCCCACATTAAATTCAAAAAAGAACGCCGAATATAAAGATAATCGCCATAAAAAATGTAATAATCCCATGTGTGAGAAGACGAGAGTGGAGAACTGTCAATTGAAAAATTTTTTCAAGGTTAGTTCTGGAGGTTCGATCATCCTTTCGTATTTACATCTTCGAAATTATGCATTGCCTGTCATATTGCAAATACTGCAACCAGAGGTCCCCTTCTAATTATTGCGAGTTGGTCAACACAAAATAGTAGAAGTTAGAGGACCTCAAACTTGAGTAAATCTTTACAAATATATGCAAAAATACTCATTCTAAATTATATAATTATAACATCACTCCTATAAGATTTTTACTGCAAATGCATATGAATAGCGAGAACTATAGGAAAAAAAATGGTGTACGGTATCTATGTGAATGATGACGTACGATTGGCGCAAACTCGAGACTTCGGACCCGAAGATTGTAGGTTCGAGCCCTGCCAGAGCCGAACTTTTGCCCTCACTTTTCCTTTTCCTTCCTTTCACTCCTTCATCATGAATCCAAAACAACCAAAATTGGCAATTGGGATATTTATAGAGGATTTGGGATGGGAAGACGAAAAAATTTTCTTCCTTTCTTTATTTCCTAATTTCTTAAAATAATAAATGTTTCTAACTGGATAATCTACATTCTCGCTTATATTTTCGGCAAAAATTTGTAACTCTTACTCTCAAGTTTTCAGAGCCCTAACAGGGAAAAAATATATTGCGGCCCTATTGCGGATAGCCGTCCTAATTTGTGGGTTCATTCGCCATTCGATAACGCTATGAATATCTTAAGAAAGGGTGTCCCTCCTTTTTCCCTAACTAATCTGGACTTAAAGTCATTTTAGAAAAATTTTTAGTTTATAAAAATTCTTAGTTTAAAAATTCTTAATTCTTAGTTTAAAGTTTATGGTCCAATGTAAACATATTATAACCTTTTTATTAAGCTAATTGTAATATGTTATATTACTGACGAAATTTATCTAAAAATGCATTGATAACGTTCTTATTTGTATTGCATTCTGCATTATATCAGTAAAATTTTTTATTATATATTGCTTCACTCCAGTTTAAGATCGAAAGCATTCATATTCTTTCAGCGACAATCGCCATCTTTCTAGTTTGATAATTATTAGAGTAAAAACCCATTCGCCAAAGAATCTCTTGGAGACCGACGATTTGCTTATGACTATTTTATGGAGTTTTATTCCATTCATGGATCATAGAATTGAAAATTTCATACCTTAACTGAAGCAATATATCTGTTTGTTTCGCCATAATTTCTTTTTATTTAAAAAAATTTAGCTCGTATGATGAAACTTTTCATTTTTAGAAATTTCAGAACCAATATTATAAATACGTTCCGATTTTATTATCTGAGCAAAAATAAAATGGCGGTAAGGTGACTATTAATATTACTGAGCGGCGAAATATTATATAACACAGAGATAGATAAGCTTTCCCCTGTTAATAACTCTCATTATTGGTGTATAAATCAATTGATGCTTTTGTTACCTGTTTTTTAATATTTTGTGGTCGGATTAATGCAATTCAGTTCTATAATAAGGAACTCATTGGGGAGAAAAAAAATTGTTGAGCTAATAATAATTTTATTTTTTAAATTGTTGGCACTATATATACACGTAACAATGGATGAAAATTGTGGATGAACTTTTTTTAACAAAAAATACGCCTTATTAATAATAATATCATAATATAATATAAAAATATAATGAATAAAAATCGTCCGATGGCTAAGATATATCGTACACAGCACAACTGAATATGGTCTATGAACATTTTTTTTCATAGTACTGCAGCGAATTCGACTGAGGCAGTTGTTTTTTTCTTTTACATTGTTTGGAAGAAACGCATAAGTCAGCTGAAAGTTCGATCTTCTTAAATATTCTCTTCAACAAGTTAACGTAATTAATTATTACTTAAGGATTAAAAATAAAAAGATGAATGAAGAATTGTTGCTTTCTTTGAAGCTTTCAGTTCTTTTATAGAAGTGATAAATAAGTTTGAGAAGCAGAATTTGAGAAGCAAATTCAAAACGAAAAACATTCCTTAGTTGCGGCATTAAAAAAATATATATTGCATTACCTCGTTTTGCAGGAACGGAAGCGTTTGCATGCACCTTTCTATCTCTTGATGCGCTTTTGTGTTTCTGATGTTTTTTTGTTTCTTCGACATGAGTACGATTAGTATGCGACGGAACTGGAGGTGCATGTTCCAGCGAAACGAGGGGAACATTATCGACAATAGTTGCGGTGCATTCTTTATCGATTTCAATAGCAGAATGCTAGAACGCGAAAAATAGCCTTATCATATTCATCAATAATATTTTTTCTCGTTATTACTGAAGGCATTGCCGAGTAATTTAATGAAGTAATTCCCAGTTAATGATCTGATGCATTAAAAAAGAAAATGAGTCGAAAATGAATCGCAAAAAGGCTTAAATATTTTTGGTTATTCATTAAATCACCTCTTTTCTTCAACTTTGAAGCAAGTTGCCTTCCAGAATAATTTTTTTCCAGAAAATTAAATATTATTTTAAATTAAAACTTACTGGCTTATTATCAAAATCGTTTGCTGGTGAATTATTAATATTCGATTTTCCAACTCGCTCAATACAGTTCCGTACAGCGATCGCATCACGAAATTTCTGCATTTCACGACGACGACGTCGTGCACATCGCTGCGCTTCGCGTTCCAGCAAATAATGCTGGTGGTCAATCTGTCTTGCCAGTATATTTGACAGACATATGGTGATGCACTGAAGATATCATGCCATTAAAACGCTTCATGGAAAATTAATGGAGATTGCAAGTTTCTCCATAATTCAATTTGAATAGTAAATGAAATATATGTTATATCCTACAACTGGAACAATAACAATCGCCACAAATGAGCCAATGTAAACAGCATTATTTTCGAATAATGATTTTAGTGGCTGCAAACACCCTCGTGTATGCAAGCTGGCTTCAGCTTCTTGAGGCCTCTTATTCTGTGCATTCTGCCAACATTCTAACGATCTCATCGAGGGTAAAAGAGGATTCTTTGAACCAACAGCTTCAGATATCTGAAATACGGGCTGATTTGAAAAATAAAAGTTCACACTGAAATTGTTTAATTTTGCATGTAATCGCTTCTAATTTTAATGTTCATTTGGGATTTTATCGGATTCATAAAAGACTAATAATTCTTATAAGAATAATAAATTCGCCGAAGTATCAAGATGACCTATTATGATATGGTTCTAAAGAGAAATAGGATAATAAATAATAAATCTTATAAGCATACAACAGATCGGCGACAGCAACTGAAAGGAACACCACATCGTTCTGGATATGGATTCGCAACGCTACAGTTAAATTGATGTGAAAGTTGCCAATCTCTGTATCCTTGAGATGCTGAAGAAACACCACAACATTCAAACTAAAAACTTATCAGAATTAAAATTATCAAACATTTAATTACTTATCAAAAAGGCAGTTTCTTATGCTAGAAATCTATATTAAACCGGCATCTCTCTAATCCACTGTTATGTGCTGATTAGTTAATATGGTAATATCTGATTCGGTGTCACTCTCATATCCCCAGAATCCAAAATTTAGCCAAGAATAATGATTTACAAGCACTTTATAATTGAAATGCTGTTTCAAAAAATTTATTTTTTATTTGAGATTTTATAGGAAAATTTTTATTTTATTTACAAATAAGAAAAAAAAAGAATATCAAAGGAAAATCAAGAATTTATTTACAAATGAGGAAAATAAATTTGACTTGGTAGATTTTTAAATCGAACTCGAAAATTAAGCAAATTTTTTTTCAATATGAAATTGGTGCGAAAAAAAAGATGAAGAAAAATTCTGGAAAAAATTTGCAAATGCCAAAAATAAATAATTTTTAAAATATGAAAATTATTTTGTTTCTTATTTAGCCTATATATTTTGTTGATAATTTTTTTCGAAGAGCGGTAACTATTTCTGGTTAAGCTCGCTCCTTGGTTTGTTCGAACAAATTTTGTGAGGGATTCATTTAACAATAATAATACACATGAATCGCCATGAAGCAGTTTTCAATGACCCGCTTGTGCCTGCTGGGAATAGAAATGCAGCATCGGCGCTCCGAAAAGCATAAATTCAAAAAGGCAACCCAAAGAGTCAACCCACTAATCTTTACACTATATTTTCCATTCGATCAGCTATCATCAATGCTTACGAAATATCAATAGAAAGAAAGCTTACCTGTTCTTGAACATAATCAATGAAATCGGCAATATTTCTATTTTTGTGATAATTTTTTACTGAATAAAAAAGAATACTATTAGCTGATATACCATCAATAGTATCCGAATAAAATAATATAAATATCATGAATGTCGAAAGCACCAATAGAATGTAGCAAAAAAATACACTGAGAGCAAACTGAAAGCTTGCTTTTATCATTATATCGCCTATTTAGCTCGATAAAATTCAAAAAGGCGAATGAGGAATTCAATCATTTTGTAGTAAGAGAATAAAATAGATGGTACTATGGCCATTATGTGTGAATATCTACGAGAAAGAAATTCAAAATGATATTATGCAACTGGATTTTGGAAACATTGAGAGTATATTTAAACGGATATTATTAACTGCTTTTAACACCAACTGATTTGATATACAAAGAAGCCATAGAGAATTACAACAGGTTCTGTGGAATTCACCTAAAGTGGTGTTTATTTAGGAGCATGAAGATGGTAACAGGACTATAATAATATTGATAAGGTATGGCAAAAATAGCATTAAAAAATTCGAGGAAACTTGATTTTGAGGAATGTAAATGGGGTAAGAAAGTTTTGAGGAAGAATTATGACAGGATGTGAAAAGATCGAAAGCCTGTTCCATATCACTGGAATATTGCCATATTATCACCAGTGTTTCTGGTTCTTATCTGTTACTACAATATCTGATTTGCCAGTATTATGTTTAAATTGAAAGAAATGGAAATAAAATGGCAGATGCACAAATCCTCTATAATCTCGAGCTCAATAATTTTTTCGAAGTTTTTCATTTGAAAGATTTATAGTTCAAACTTTTTATAAAAAAATCAATTAGATTTCAAAGAGATGCATAAAAAATATATTTTATTTTCAAGATAAGAATAAGTGTTAGATTAACTGATGGCTATTATATAATTTAATTTATGCAAAAGAAAAAGACGAAATGACTGCAAACATTTGCATGTTACAATTTTACTAGACTGTAAAATCACTATATAATATATAATATAAAATCACTAAAGCTATATATATTTAAAGTTAAAAATAAAAATTTGGCAAGAAATCAGACCGATTTGAGCAAGAAAATATTGTCCCTTAAAGCACCCATGGAACCAATTAATGAAATCGTGCATATTGCAAGACCGATGGCAATTAGCATAATTGCTGGATTCATAAAAACATCTGCCCATTCAGTGACAGCACGGGGATCTTTCACACATAAATAAACACCAAGAGCCAAAAATGTTACTCCAAGTGGCTGAAAAGGAATCGAAAAGGAATTTAATTTTCACAGAAAAATAAATATGAAATTTTATAAGCGAAGCTAGCTTGCAACTAAGTTAGATCTGCAATTTTCATGGGATTGGTTATTCAAAAGGTGAATAACTAAAAAATCATCAAACTGCATGCTGCAACGTTTCTTATCTAGCACAATTCACTGGATACTGGATATTTATCAAAGAGATGCATAAGGGATAAGAATATAGGAAGATTATTAAAACGGCCAATTCACTTTTAATAAAAGGTTTGATTGAAAAAATATGAAAATTTGTGGAGAATATTTTAGTAAGTTTTCATTTGAAAATTCAACATAAAATGCAGAAAAAATGAAAAAAATTAGGAAATTTTCATTGAAAAAAACCTTCCGAGATTCATTGATAAATCATTTGATTAACTTATGCAAAAAAATAGAAATTTTTCGAATTGCTTTAATAAAATTTATGCTACAAGTTTTTAACAATAATTCGAAAAATACTTACAAAGACGATAAAATTGATAAAAAAGCAAAGCCATTTTAGAAATGCGCAAATTTCTTGTCGTGATTTATGCTTCTTCATCGCATGTTGATAAAAACGTTTTTTGATGTACTGAGGAACGAAATAGCTGTATTCTGATGAAGTCATAGAAAGTGAGTTCCCATGCCCAGTTTTTAACTGACCAAAGTTCCTAGAAGTTCATAAAAAATTAAAAAACATCCTCCTGCAAGAATATTTGGACCGCAATAACTAAAGAAATACAGGAATAAATTGTTGCGAGTTTCGCCGACTGGTGAAAGGGAAGGAATAGGATGATTATTGTTATGGAGCTGAGGCCCCACTTCCGGCAAGCCTCCAAAAATCAGGGTGATGCTGGCGACACGCCTGCACATTCCGACAAGGAAGCGAAGCGAGTTTAATCAATGACGAGTGCTCTCAAAAGAAAAAAATCCGTATATTTAATAACATTAAAAATGCAAATAATAAAAATAAACTCGAATTTAGTCTATTTATATATTAATAAACAAATATAAAATAAAATATAAATAAAAAAATACAATTAATGTGAAATACAAAAAACAATGTATATAAATATATAAAATATAAATCTTTTTTCATTCCCTGTGGATGGTAAGGATCATCCTAAATCTCCGACTTTCTACTAGAGAGCCTGAGAGATTGAGGGTTCCGCAGTTCTTTGGATGAGAATAGGATCTTAACCTTATCACTCTCCACGATTTTTTCTGGAACTTCCCATCTTAGAAGAGTTTAGGCCATACACCGAGTAGATATTTCTAGATGCCATCTATTTGGTTATGCCTTTTAGTATACGTTTTTCCTGCTAGTATTTTATATTCTGCCATTATTTGTTGGACTGTTTCTGCAGCGATTTTTGTACAATTACTAGAAATACCATGCATCTAGAATTATAGTGCGGCAGATTCTTCCTTTAATGGATCTAGTGCTCAGTGCCTACTCTTGTGCTGTTATGATTTCGCCTTTCTGTTCAACTTTTTCCAGTCACTAGTAGGATTTCTCAGAATCATTTACCTCAGCCATCGTTGGTACAATTCATAGAGAGCCTTGCTTTACCTTGGTAGTTTTTCTGCTTGGTATCTTAATAATATCTATAGATACTTTATATATTTCCTTAGTAGTTCATCCTTTAGTGCCATCTTGTTGATATATTCCTGAATACTTCGAGTTTCTTTCAAGACAGCTTATTTACCAATCACCAAGACCCATCCGCATTCTTTTGTTGTACTTTGAGTTTAACTTTTAGGCTGGAGGATGTTTAGACTTTTGGTGGAAACTTTCGTGCATTGCGAGGAGTCTTTCAAAGTCATTAATAACCTCCATATTTTTCTTTCTCCATCCTACTAGTGTGCCAGTGGCATGATGGCAGGGTACAGATATTTATGGCACGGATTTTATTCTTTCCATTGAGTTGACTCATCAGGATTTGTTTTATTTGGTTTTCTTTACACTTAGATGTTGCAGTCTTTTTTCCTCCTCAGCGTGGTTTCCATATGACTGTGGGATATCAAGGTACTTGTGGCTACTTGTGGCTAGTCTGTATATTTGTTATGTGCTCTACTGGCAGAGCCACCCTACCAATTATGATTGTTTTTCCTTTTTTTACTACTGTCCGGTCACATAACGCGAATGCCCTCGCTGTAGATCCGTTTTGGATGAAAGAACGTGTCAATGCCACTTTTTTTGACATATAACTTGATCCATGTAAGAAAGATGGCTACTGGTAGTTCCGATTTTGAACTTATATCCATATATACTTCTCATGATTACTTGAATGAGGAGATTTAGACTTATGTAGAATAATGAGAAAGGCAATGCCTTGAAATAAGCCGCGCTCGAGAGCAACTTATATAAGTTGTTCTGAGTTGCCTTCAAGTGCTTATATAAAACAATGAGAAAGGCAATGCCTTGAAATAAGCCGCGCTCGAGAGCAACTTATATAAGCTGTTCTGAGTTGTCTTCAAGCGTCTTTTTCCACACTTATAAAATATATATATTTATATATAAGAATTTATATATAAGGATAAGGATTTATGTATATTAACAATTCTATATAATAATTATATAGTAAAGAAAACGAGATAGTTATAGAAATAAGAAAAATGAACAAATAGTAGTAATTTCAAGGATAGCATAGTATTTAAGGCAGGCGATTAATATGGAGTGCAAACATGTTTCGAATCGCAGTCAATTCTCTCCACCTTTCCGATGATGAAGTTTCTTGGACGAGACCCTCTGAAAACTTATTTGTTCTCCTTTGGTATCGCAGGTCTACGGTAAAGGATTAGAGGTTGAAGGTGATCCATATTACCATACCACAGGTGGGGAGAGAGGATATTTTTTTTTTATAAATTTATATATTACTAGCAGTTCTATAAAATAATTATGCAATAAAAGAAAGCGTGATGGTTATAAAAATAAATAATAATGAATAAAATAAATAAACAGAATTGGAGGAGTTTATGGTATTATTGGAGATTATAAATGATGTGAATAGACGATAATTTGCGTTTCAAAGCGTAGTGCTATCTTTTTAGGTCAATGCATAATTTGGCGTCGATGAAATGATACAAAATTCTGCGAATATAAGAACGATTTACCTCAAATAAAAATGGATTTGCAAATCTCCTTTTTGCTCCCCATTCGAAGAAAAACGTTATTTTTATTCAACGTTAAAAATTTACTTAAATGAAAATTACTCAATTTGTTCATTTTTTTTCTAAGAATGCCCATCATTTTTGGTCGAGCAAACTGCATTAGCTTGTTGGAACCGACAAATTTTGCCGAGGAATCACTTGACAAAAGAAGTGAATTATCACATGAATTACTAGCATAACCTTGATTTTTTAAAAAAGTTCATTCATGTCAGAAACAGAATATCAGCATCGGCGCTCCCAAATGATAATCCAATGAGCCATTTTATCTCACATTTATAATTCTCGTTCTGCATACGATATTTTATGTCTTCCTTCAGTTTCAGTTATATGTTAATTTAAGACATAAAGATGTCAATCAAAAAATCGATCAAAAATTTTATTAGCCTTTGTTACAGAAATGAGTCATTTGATTGGGAATAAGCATATTAATCCAAATGAATCGCAGGATTCTTTCGGTAATTCGTTCAAAACTTGACAGATTAAAGTGAATTAATTTCGCTAAGGATTATTCGCTAATAAGCACAGTTAGTTAGTTAGTTCTTTTCGAAACTAATAACGTTCGTGGTGCTCTAAAGACATCGAATATTATTCTTTAATTTTAATTCAACAATTCAACAATTGAAATTTGAAATAATAAATCGATAATAGAAATTAAACCATATGAATTAGACAATTATTATTAATAACAATTTTCAAATAATTTTCAAAAATAATATTACATTCGAATGAATTTATGAATATAAATAATGGAATTGCCAGAATAGGCGAAAAATTATTGCGTAAACGCCTCGAACATAAAGGTTCAGATTTGTCTCGATAAAATTTCATTAAAAAATCTGAATGCAAAAAATCCATCTGCACCCCTTTTTACCTTAATTACTAATTGTTACTGCAGAGAAGCCACTAACCGGGAACAATAATTACAGTGGCACTGGATTTGAACAAATTTTGGTAAAATTATTAATTACTAAGATCAATAATGAAATAAAATAATTTATAATAAATAATGAAAATAATGTAATAATGAAAATAATGTAATAATTCACTGATGTAAAATGATTGAAATAATTTGGTTTTTATTTTTTACCGTATTAATAATAATCGGTAATGCACCGCAATGTCAAACAATGAAATGACAAAGGACTACTTTTTTTTTTCTTTTTAGACGGCCGATGTTCTCGAAGATATTTTTATATATCTTAAAAAGATTTGAATTGAAAAATATTCACCATTATTTAATATTAAGTAAAGTCCTTTTGCAATTTTAGACTGATAATGCTTAAAAGATGATTTTTATGAGCTTAATAACAAGGAGTGGATAGATAATTTAATCGCTTCGGTAGGAATGTGAGGAAGAATCAAAAGAAATATTTTTCAAGTGAATATAAACTATTCAGAATGAAAGATGGATATTTTATAGAATTATAATACGACAGCTTTATATTGTGAAAGAAATTCGAGTTTTAGAAAATACATGATAACTACGAAAATATACGTTCACTTGAACATAAGCTGTAAACTAAAATAAAATAAATGACTAAAATAAAGATTATCATGAGGACAGAAAACAGCGCGAGTCCAATCTGCGCTTTGTTCCCCAGCGGCATTACGCTAGGATGCAATGATGATAGACTGATAATGATCTATATTTCGATATTCTATAATTCTATATCAGTTTTTAATTTTATTTTCTATTGTTCAATATATATGATTCTGTTCTATTTTATTTTAAATCAGTTTCATGATAAGTAGATCGTGAGTAAAAATGATCATCGAACTTTCCTTTGTCGCGAAATTTTTTTCAGAGAAATTTTCAAAAAATTTGCAGTTTAGGCTTTGGAGAGGAGAATGGATGCAACAAACGATATGCCTAAGGTGATAAATCTAATGTACTCGTAATGTACTGATCGAAAATAATGAAAATTTAACTGTTTAGGGCGATAATGCTAATCAGATTGCCGTAATTTTACAATCAGTTTGCACTTTTATTCGATGCATTTTTTTTTCTGTTGTGCAATTCATGCTAAATTCTTTTTCACCATCGAAAACCCTTGATTTCTAATGATAAAATAAAATTACTGGTATAAAATTACTGGTGGCCGAGCAAAATAAGCACTTTTATCGGAGAATAATAAACAAAATAAATAAAAATAATAGTAGAATACGATATACTTACTTGGCTCAGTATGTTACTCTCATTTCAAAGCGCCGATGCTAAGGTTCTGCTCTCGGGAGGAGCAAACTTGTATCTTATCTCAAAAATACTTATGACTCACTTATCAATGGGAAGATTTTATTTTAACCCGACAAGTCAGAGGAGTAAGTCTAACCAGAAATGGTGAACATTCTTAAAATTATAAAAATCAATTCGTTTAAATTTTCAAAATAAATCCTTTAAAAATATATTTCTCTTTTTAAACAATCATCACTACCATTCACCACCATTCAGTCTCCAATATAGAGAATTTCTTTACTCTCGTCACCGAATATTTTTGCGCACACACATTCCAAATGTTATTATAAACGAAATTGACTTGTATCAAATGATCATTTACACTCTAGAAAACAGGTTTGACTAACGCTACTCGAACTCTTATTGCGAAGAACGAGAAAAAATCTCCAAAAATCGAGCAATAGAAATAGAATTTTAAAAAAATTAATTGTAAAAAAATTCCATAATGCATACATTCATGAATTATCCATGATTTTAAGAATTAAGAATAGAATTTTTCTAATCAAAATTATGTTCGAAATTTTAATAAATCCGTAGTTGCCAAGATGAAATAATGTAAAATAAATAAGGGAATCGTTAATTCTCATATTAAATGGATTACCTAAATCAAAAATAATTTGTATGGCTCATCTTTCAAATACTTCCTTATTCTAAATTTTCTTCAAACAATGCCCACCCATTCTACTGGTTCCAATGATTATTAGCGCTTTTTTATGACTCTTCGAAGGAAATGAAGAAACAGCTGGATCTCTCCTTACAAAATACTAACTCAGCCATCCTGCGCCTATTCTGTTGTATTAAAGTGGATCGACAGAAAAAATCAAATGAATAAAATATACATTTCCTAAAAGTTTATAAATAACGAAGATAGCATTATTTGACAATGAAAATATGATACAATGTTGTGATAATTTTGAAGTGTGCAACACTCACCGCTCTTATTTAGGCCAGTTGTACTGGCTATTAAGAACTATTAGGCTAAGGTTTAGGCTTAGGATGCCATGTGCTACTCGAATTTTTGAACTACTATCAGAAGTGTCGAAAAGAATTGATGTTTGAGACGATACGATAATTTAAGCAATAAATGCTAGATGAAACTTCAAATCGCCGTAAAAATCTTCTAAATGAAAAATATATTTGCGTAGTGTGCCTTTTAATATTAACTTAATTTATAAAAGTCCTTACGAAATTTACGAATAAATAAATAATCTTAATCGACTTATATTTATTTATTTGTTCGTTAAAATTATTTTTCCACAATGAGAGGCAATAGAAGTAAAGAACTGAACAGCTGTGATAAATCTAATTATAATAAAATATATGAAAAATCAACAAAATGATGGTTGAATACAAATCTAAAATTAAATAACTAATTCTGTTCATTGAGATCCGTTAAAATTACTGAGATAATAAGAAAAAAAAGATGGAGGAATTGTAAAGGCAGAGCCTAAGAAGCTTTTTCAGTCTTTCTAAGATTCGCAAAATTGCAAATAAGAAAATTTTTTAATAAGAATATTTTTCAAATTTTCTGGGAAATTATCTTGTGTCAATTGGAAAAACTTTAAATACAAAAATTTTTCTTTTTCCTTTTTTGCAATTTTTAAAATTTCTTCTCCCCTATCTTATAATTTAAAGGTATTTTTTGAACAAAAAAGAAATCCTTCTAAAGTCAATAGAAAACAAGTCTGGAAGCAGCGAAAAAAAATCACGATAAAATCATTTTCGCACGAATGAAATTCATGGTAACAGCACTTTAAAATTTATGAAATGAATGACCAAATAAAAAAAATTTTTTTAAAGAGCGCTCGACTTTTTTCGCTATTTTGATTAAAAACTGGAAAAAGGTTTAGTTAATTTGCTGAATAAATTTTTGCCATGAAGTCGTTTAATAACAGAAGGAGATATAGGCGAATAATCGCTAACATCACATTAAAAGACTAATTTATTCCCCTTACTGCAAGACCGCAGCTTCGCCTCCGCAATAGCACCAATAACCCACCGAGCCATTCTAACTCATGCATACAGCTATTGGAAAGATATTTAAAATCATTTATATATAATATTTAATTAAGCACTATCTAAATTTGTTGAATCGATTTTTTTTAGTATCTAAATCTATCCCTTTTTTAACCGTTCCTTTTAAAAATGCATCAAAGCAGTAAAATATTGTAAGCGATTTAAAATGAAAACAGACGGCTGTGCACTGAATTGCAAAAAAAGGAACAATGGAACTGGACGACCTTTTCCAGTGATCGGCCATCTACAATACAAAGAAAAATCGGGAGGCCACAAATGACCTTAGTGCGCGGTCGTTGCCACTGCTATCTTCGATGTTTCGCAACGATCATCGAGGTCACTATTACACAAAATATGCTTAGATTTACTGCATAGGCGACGAATTCACCACATTCAATAAAAATTTAAAAAAAGAACTGCGATCGACATCGTCGAAAGCAATATGAATGAACGAGGGAAAGAATGCATAGTGAGGAGAAATGGACTGAGAATACCTTTAAAGACTATCGTAAAGCAAAATTTTATTGTAAGAACATTAAAAAACATTGCGAATATTTTCGAAAAAACTAAAAGTTTTTTGTAAAAAATGAGAATTTAGAAAATAAAAAGTTATTTCAAAAAATTGTGGCTAAGAAACATAAAATTCTATTCTATTAAAATGGAAATGTCGTTTCTTTATTTTGCGAAAAATTTCCTTTTAGCACAAATGAAAATTTTAAAAATTAATGTGAGAAATTTGAAACCAATGAAAATAATAATTTAAAAGAAGAAGAATTTATAGTAAATTTCTCGGGTTTTCACACAATTTTTGATGTTTTGAATTTTCGAGTGTTTACAGTTGTATTCATTTCCCTCGTAGCGACGACTCTCTCCGACAAAATGGTCTCACTCAAGTAGTCAGCGAAGCCGACCAAACCAGAAATGCTGCGTGCTGTTCGAAGAAGAAGTAACATTTATTGAATGATCCATTTACATCGTCGTCACAAAATTATTTTCGTATTGTACGAATGCACAGAGTGTTTGTTACACAGTTTTAATAAAAATTGCTATTGTTGTTTACGGTTTTCGAAAGAGGCTTTTGAAATGAGCGCTCGAGAGATGGAAAAAAATCTTCCTTTGGATATTTCCTTGAACTATGTATGTAGCGAATAGTTAAGCGATAGAAATATCGACGACACACATTGACTAAAGCCAATGGAACCAGTAAAGATTATAAGATTATGGTTATTTTAATATGCAGTTTTATTCTTCGAATATAAGAATAATGCGCTCACAAACGCGAATTAAAAATCTAGAGAGAGTTCGTGAAATATATTCTCTCCATTTTCGCTCCAAATAAGGCAAACCAAAATGCCTATGAGCGAATCTAAGAACATATTTAACATTTGACAATTCGTCAACCGATGATGATATTATTTTATTACATTAATTCTGAATCAGATTTTCCAGTGAATATATATTTTGAGGATGAGTTTCGAAGGATGAGTTTCTTTTTATTAGCTTTAACCTTCTGAACAATGGTCTTTGTCATTATTTCGCATTATAGTGTTGACGGTTTTCAGTTCTTAAATTTTAGTCGGTCCCTAATTACCACTCGGTCTCTATGGCTATCTCCAAATAATATATAGTAGTAGATTATGGTTTAATCTTAAAAAAAAGAACTTTCCTCATCTTTCTAAGTGGTTCATAAGTCGACCACTATCGTTAATCATTTTCTTCTTTTATTCCGATTTGGCATTTTGAAGGAGCTTCACGGAAGATCGCTCGGCTTATCATCTTATGAGCAGAAGTGTGCTTGACGAACTATTACATTCTCTCGAAAGAAAGAAGAAGTGGCAGGGCTGTGATCATTCTTCCCCACTACTCAACTATCTGATAGCTGAAATTATGGATGTTGCTTGTGGTCACTCCGAAAGGTGTGTTGATCAGTCCATAACACAATGCTGTGGATTTTGTACGTTGATAAATAGCCTAGCCCTCTTTGCTGTCAAGAATTGGGTTCTAGAGCTTAGATTGATCGTCGAAAATCATTATCAAACTCTGGTTAAACTCTGGTTAATGTATCTATGCTTCATAAATGCATTATTGGTTGCAATTTTTGAAAAAACACCTTAATTCCATCCATATACATTGCTAACCAGCAGTCGAAATTACTTTATACATCAGCCAAGTCTGAACTGATCGAATCTGTTAAATGATTGCATCATTTATGCTCGAATATAAGAATTTACGCAATATATTTTTAAAACCGTCACTATTGTATATTTGTATTTCAGATTCACCCGTCTTATTAATTGGCGCATTTTTCCTCAACTTGCCTGCATGCGTTCGATTGTGCAAAAAGAGAGGAGCTCTCCATGAAACGCAATGTAACGCAGTGATGGGTTAAAATGTTGGAAAAAAGTCTGGCTTTTGTTTCTTTCACAGATGGTATCTGGTTATTTTAGTTTTTCAGCCACTTCAAATCAAAGCCATAATGATTTACAGTTTTGTAAGAAGAAAAAAGAAATATATGACATAAAAATGTAAAAAAGGAAATTTTTATTGCAAAAAAGAATTTCAAAGCCAATCAATCCTATTTCATAAAACTGAAAATCACTGAAAAAAAATTGAATTTTGACAAGGTGTTTTCTTTAAATTTAACTATGTTTGTACCAAGCATCGTGTATGCCTTCTTCTACAATCCAGGTGATAAGACCGCATACTATTTGGCCTTTCATACCAAAAATTTCCAACTTGTCGCAGTTTTTCCCAGATATGATGCCATTATCTTGGTCAGAAACCTGTTAATATCCAATAACAACTAATCTTTTTTAATATTCACCAAATGAAAAAACTTTTTAATTGCCCCCTTTTCTTTGGGATTCACAAGGATTGGGATAGAAAACTAAGAAGTTCGCCTAAAAACTGGTAAGAATATGTAATAATTCACTGTGATAATATGGATATATGTATGTTTGCATGTTTCGCTAAAATCCATTGTTAAATCTAGCTAACATGTTTTTAATAATTTTAAAAATTTTCCTTTAATGCACAGCCAAAGTGTTGCTTTTGTTATGCTTATATTTATCGTTATCTCTTTTAACCTCTTTGCACCACATGAACCTTTTAAGACAAAGTTATAACCTTTTAACACCACTCATTAACATTTTTAAAATTCTCTTCTATCAAATCTCGATGTTACTTTCATCGCAAGTACAAATCATAAACTACAAATCATGGATAATATGACGAGGATTAGAGGATGCAATAGGAAATAAATAGTGCTAACGATGGGATTTGATAGGATGATGAGATATAAAAGTAGCGAAACAATTCGTATTAAGGGAACATGGTTCCCGGTGGGCGAAAATGTTTCATGGAGATTTTAAGCGATATATTAATGTTTAACGTCTTTCCTTTGCTAGTTAATGATAATCGAAAATGATAATCGGAAGGCTTCAGCCTAGTAGAGACGTATGGATATTGGAATCAACCAATGCGCTATTGTTTTAAAACGATTAAGGTAAATTAAATATGTTCTTCTTCCTTTTCTAATAGCTTTCACCATTACTGGTTAGGCTGGTTCCAATGGCTACAAGGGTAACATTCCAAACGGTCTGGTGCCATCGTTGACAGTAATAAAAGCCATTCCTTTTTCCATCGTCTTAATCCATATATTGCTGGTCCATCTATATGTTCAAAATCTTTTCTGACCGTATTAGTCCAGGTTTTGACTGGCCCACCAGGCTTTTGACGCCATCCATCACACGATTTAGCAAGTAATGAAATATGCGACAACTCCTGTGGTAGACGACGGAGAACGTGACCTAACTACCGAAGGCGACGCTCTGTGTTAACATTATTAATACAGTTGGGTGTTTGAACGAAGGTGGATGCGATCATATATTTTATCGCTCGACGGATCCGCAAAATTTACCTTAGACAAGAGTGGTCAAAGACAGATAGCTTCTTAATATCCATCAATCTCATTGCCTATGTCTCAGGGCCATATAGCAAGATCGAACGAATCACGGCTATATAGACTATATACACGGCTAAAAGGCTATAAATATGTTATAGGAAAATGTCAAGATTTGCGTTTTAATTCGTAAACATACTAAGAAACAGTTTTAAAATAATATGGAATTTTTATGAGAAAAAATAAGAAACCATGTTTTCGCGAACAGTAGAACAAATTAGTTCACCGCATCCACTTGACGTTTTGAAATGTCTACAGTCAGCGGTAGTACCTTCTTTAGAAGATATCCAACGACCATTCATTGAACACTGTGAGGTCTGACCCCTATAATAATGCCACTTTTTAATTTAATGAATAATCTCGTGAGGAAATATTGATCAAAATAGACCGAAATTTTTAAAAAATCTTTCTTTGAATGTTCGCCCTTCACAGAGCGTTAACGTCGAGAATTCTCTATTTTCATGCATAATAATTACTTATCTCAGACTGTATGAATCGAAAAATTCATCCATTTTGAAATTTTTCCTTCCAAAAATCTATCAAATTTTCTAAAAACTGTTTTTATTATCCATAAAGTGACCTCCAATTTCCACTCAAATCCAGTTTTTCTTTTAAAAATCCAGTTTATTTTAATGTTCCGCAGCCATTATTAACATCTCTGACACCGTATAACGTTTCAAATTTTTAATGCTCTCACCATACCTACTTTCTCGGAAATTCTCATTACTCTCTAATTCTTCGAAAATCCACTACGTTCCCTTAATGCTCCATCAACCTGTTATATTTTTGCTGCATCCTCTTTGCAATGTTACCTAGAATCCTCTTCTGTTATCTTAGATGATCCAAAGAAATTCTTATAATCATTCATGTTCCTAAAGCTCAATTGTTTTTAATACTCCACCGAATATTTCTCATTCTTTTGCTAAAACGCGAAATTAGCAAATTCGTAAATTCCTTTATGTTACTGACCCCTACGTCAACTCTTCCAGGCCCTGCTATGGTAGCCTAATATGCCACTTATCAAGTTCCGTTCTATCCTTTTGTTATAACCACTAATTCTCAAAAGCATTTTGCTTCTTATCTTTCAATACGCTTCAGCCTTAGCCAGATCATAAAAGTTGAAAAATATAGTTGAAAAATAGCATAAAGTAAAGTAAAAGTAACAAAATGTAACTGGAAGAAACACAGTAGGAGATGAAGAATGTTGGGGAAGAATTATGAGGATTTTGTGGGTGTGAAAACAGTGCAAAAAAATTCTATATGGATGAATATGAAGAGAATAATAATTCTGAAGAAATATTAAGGGATATTTCAAAAACATCATCTAAAAGTTTTCTTTTGCCCTAAGCAGATCTTTCGATCTTTTTAGACATAGCCGTTCTTCAATTTCCGCAATGATCTCTTCTACAATCTCTTCTACAATGTGCTCGAAATAAAAAATTAGTTTTGCATATACTCTAGCCGTATTATTATAATAGATTCGTGCATTCGTGCATAATCAGGTTCTTTATTGTTAAAGCCATTTCCTTTCATTTGAACTTTTCACCTTGTTTTCATTTTCACATTGGTGTCAAAAAATCTCAACAAAAAGCTTTTTTTTGGAAAATAATGAATGTAAATAGGTGCGAGAATTCGAGATTTTTTATATTATTGCTTTTATCATTTTTGTCGTCAAATAAATTTTGTAGTTTCGTGGATTGCGAACTATGCCTTATGTCAATAAAATTTACCACGATGTGCTTTCCAATGTTGTTTTATTTCTATTTAATAAAGTATTGACAAGTATTAAGTATTAAGTATTAAATACAAGTATTAAGTATTTAAGTATTAAGTATTGTTATCTTATTACGATATAGTCATATCAAATAAGGTTAATATTAATTCTCAAATACGATACAATGATTTTGGAAATCTTAAAAATTAATGCTTTATGAAACTCGCTGTACTTTTTTACCATGTTTCATCAGTAAGATTGTCCTTAATAGTTATTGTTATTGCTGACTTATATATAGCCTTCTCGACCTCTATACATCGTAATAATCTTTAATAACCTTCTATTAGCTCGAACATTATCCTTACTGGAGTTTTTTCATAGAATCTTAATGCCATCTTTCTATCTTTGGTCACAACCCACTATTTACTTTCTGAAAAGTTATGTTGCCTTGAAATCCTGAATCCTCTTCCCCCTCCCCTCCCCCTCTTCTTCTCTGATCTGTTTCGATAAAATAACATCTGAACACCGCTTAAATCCTCTAAAGCACTTTTCCCAAGCCTGTTGTGCTTTCAAACATGATTTTCATTTTAGCCCATGTTCATCTTAAACTGTGCACTTTGCGCTGTGCACTTTCACTTATGTTACCTTGTGACTGTAACTAAATGGTTTCTGCTGAAGATTATTGTTTCGATCTAGAAGATTTGGTTCCGACCTCAGACAAGTGCTTACGTGCATTTCTATCCCCAATTTGATCCCAGGAAAAAATATCTCAAGTGGAACAAGCCTAACGCGTAACGTTATTGTGCTATTTATTTACACTGACACATTGATTGCTTGCTTCATGCCATTTATATCCTTAAATGGATAAGGATCCAAAATGCAAAATGTATAATGACTAGTAAGGAGTGAAGAAGTACGAATTCAAACGAATTTTATGGGGATTCGTCAAATTCGAAAAAATTTGAAAAAATCCGGAATTAAGGTGTGAAGATAGAGGCAAACTGGGGCCACGAAACGGCTTTGGTTTCGAATTAACTTTTCGATAATGATTTTCATGAAACTTAAAAACTTTTAAAGATACCTTTGCTTATACATTCCATCGCAATAATCACGTTTACACTTAATGCGATGCGAAATAAAAATTCTATGCATCCATATGGCATATGATTTTAATCATTTTAAGTTCATGCAAATCAATATTTTTGCTTAAAATTTTCGAATTAATTACGATTAAAGTCTATTGCTTTTTTTTTTAATAGTCCTCACCATTACTGGTTAAACTTGTTCCATTGGCTTGAAGCATTATGCAATATGTGAAGGAGCCCCTTGGCGATAGAAATATAGGTGAGTCGCCGGCATCACCCGGAATTTTGTATAGGTTTACTCCTGCGGGGAATCGAACCTTAGCATCGGCACTCCCGATGGAATGATCAACAACCCACTGAGTCATTCTATCCCCAAACTCTATTGCTATAGTGATTAATAAAGGGGAATCGAACCTCAGCATCGGCACTCCCGATGGAATGATCAACAACCCACTGAGTCATTCTATCCCCAAACTCTATTGCTATAGTGATTAATAAACATCAAACAAATCGCAACGGAAATTTAAGAACAAACTTGCAACAAAAATGTTTCATTCCATAGAACAAACACGGTCTTCCAAAACTTCGGTCAGGAACACAGTTTGTTTTACCAGTAATCAATTCTTTCCATGAGCAAAGACCGCTGTGGCTGCGAATATGATCGTAATCCAGTGGACAAAGCTCCTTACAAAATGGTGCAGTGCCAAACCATTCGCAGCCTTCTCCGGCATATTTAATATCTTTGTATTTTTCAGGATGTTGGATGCCTATAACTTGAATTCGATATTACAAATTACAAATTCGATATTAAAAAATTTATGAACAGATAATTTTACTGTTAATTACATTCTTGCGTACCTGAAGGGGTTGAATAAGTGGCATTCCCCAAAAAAGATTTTTTAATTGTTTCGTCATTTGTGCCATTATTTTTGTGCCTCCTACGGAATTTTCTTTTCTCACCTGATGAAAAAATTACTTTTTATATCATATATTTGATAAATTTAACATATTTCAATATGCAATACCGAACTGAACGCCTTTAATGATTCATAAACATGAAATTTTTCCTCAAATGCTCATAATTTTTACTCCTCTATCGTACTTATTAAAATTTTATACAAGATTGAGAGATTTGAAAATTACTTTTCGTAATAATTATAATCAAATCAAAGCAGCCTATGAAAAAAAATGGTACTGTTGAAAAGAAAAGAAGAACAAACCACGAGGTTTTTCGTAGGCTTTTGCATCAGTTCTTTGGCTTTTATCTGCGGAAATTCCGTCATTGATAAGAATTATGCATAGAATTGTGAGTATCAGGATTTGAACAAGGCGCATTTCTTTTCGGCTATTCTGAAAAAATAATAACAATGCATATTCAATAAATGGACTTGAATTTTGCTGCATAGTACAATTTATATTTGAACGCTAATTTTTCTATTATTCAGTGCAAAATTTGTGGCAAAATGAGTTTATAATTCATAATTTTTTATAATTTTCTTGCAATAATGGTCATTTTTCTAATTTTTTGATTTTTTTCTCACGTAAACACCGAATTTATTGTGTTGCGAAACCTAATGTTGGATATTGCATTTTAAAATTCCACTTAGATACTTCTTTTAGTGTTTCGATTGGTCTTTTTTATTGAAATGAATAGAAAAAGCAAAATTAGTAATAGAATTAATAGAAAAACATTGCCATGAAAATTAAATTCGAACTATTAAACTGAAAAAAACTGAAAAAAAAGTCGAAGGTTCGAGTAATTATAGCTAAATTAAATTTCTTCAAAAATTTTTTAATTGCTCTACAATATTTTATTAAATGGGACCAACAACTTAAAGAATAGTTTGGAAAATTGGAAATTGGCGTGCGTAATTTGAAACAAATCTGTTAACATTTGTTTAAAATTACAACAGTTGAATGAATAGTGCATAAAAAAGCGCCAGTTAAATCGTATAAGCTTTAATTGCTTGAAAAATCAAAAATTTCAAATTGTTGAGGAAATTATGTGCAGATATTTACACTTACTATCTAATTGATTATTTAATAAGAAAGGCTAAAATATTTTGTAAAAAAATTCACTAAAATCGTTCCATAATAATAATAATAAGAGAAATGAATAAAAGTATGTCACAATAAAAGAAAAAAATAGATATATTATTGCACATAAATGATGAAGAAGGCAGGAAGTTCAGTTATGTACAATTATGAATGTATTATTTACGAAAAAACTATCGTATGAGATCCTATAATGACCTCTGTAAGCTAGAAAAGGCTATTTAAAGGCTTTCGGAATATATTTCGATTATTGTTTGCTTCTTTTTTTTAAACATGCATCGTTATCATTTTGACTGATTATATTAACAGCAAAACTAAAATTAAAATGAGAAGACTTTTGTAATAGCGCAATTTATTGATAAATTTAAGGAATGAATTTCTAAAGATATCCGAAATTACATATTATTATTGAATAATTATTAGAAAAAAATAGGTTTTAAATTAATGCTATTGTAAAAAGCCTCAGAACTTAATATGTATTAAAATATTAATATTAGAATTATTTATCTGAATGGGAACCCTAAAATTTCAATTTTAACAAATTTTTTAACAAATCAGTATCAGCTATGCCACAGCAAAATTTTTAATCATTTAGTGATTTTTTTTTAATTCCTTCGCAATTTTTATTTGCAAAAGTTTTTTGCACAAAAGTGTTGATTTCATACAAAAAAACACTCGAGAAAGAACATTTATTTACTTGTAAATTTAATTTTTTATAAGTTAATTAAGTGTTTCCATGCCTCAAATAAAATAAATATTTTAATTTAATTGATGTTAAAAAATGTTCTGGGAAATGTAAAATATAAAAAATTTCGGAAAAAGTGTATTAAGAAATTTCGAGAAAACTGAAAAAACATAAATGAGAAATGAAAATTCTCTAATAGAAATGAAATTCACGGTAAATTTTCTATTAATTTTTTTCTTAAAATTTTTTCAATTATATGATTATTTCGCAATTTATATTGAAACGAATAAATATTTCTTTACAAATACTAAATAAATATTAAATAAAATATTTTCATATAATCATTCCGCGATTTTCATCACAGCTGATTACTACAACTAAAATCTTCTTTATCACACTTTAATAAATAAAATGTTAGTTTTTTCAGCCAAAATTCGCTACAGACATATTTTCAATCAGAAGATACGCCATAATTGGTGCAATCCTTTCGAATTAAATCAACGAATAATTTTTTCAAACACTCAGCAATATTTTTGCCCACATTCTTTGGCACATCTTAGTGGGGCCAAACAATAAAAATAAAACGACGTCCTCCGTTCATCTACGTTTGTTAAAACAACAATTCATTTGTTAATCTATTATGTGCTTAATTAAACAACTATTTATGAATTTTCGTTATTTTTTATGCAGCAATAAATTATGAATTATCTCATTCTCATACATCTATAATATCTATCAATAATAAAAGCAATTTTTACCGAGGTTGCATAAAGTACTTAAGGTCAAATCTTACGGTAGGTAACTCTTATTGTTTAAGGTCATATTTAATATTGGCGGGAAATGGCTAAAGCAGAAGGAGGTAGTATAAAATCATAAAGATTAAATCAATTGGATTCTTTGAGAAGGTGAATTCAGCGATTTTGTAAACAATTTATGTACTGAGAATTAATGAACATCTGCATAAAAAATAGCAAAATAGTATATAATTTATGAAATGAAAAACTAAAAACCCATCGGTCGATGTTTCAGTGAAAATGTATAATAGAAAAACGATAGATTCTGGCCTAAATTTTGCAAAGTTTAGATGGAATAATCATCCCAAAATGTTTCAAAAAATTTCGTGAAAAAATGAAATGTTTAGCAAATTTTGTTCGATGAAAAGTTTTGTATTAAAAATTTTGTACTTTGTAATTTTGCAATTTTCGATTTAAAATTTTTTTCAAATGAAATTCCTTAAAAATGTCTCAAAAAGAAATGTCTTAAAAATATTTCTAAAGAATTATGAATAAATAAAAATTTATCTTTTCGTTCCAAGGCGCTTCATTTGTAGTAATAATTTATTTGCAATAATCTTTATTTGCATGGGATGTCGAAGATTTCATAATCTTTTTTCAGATTTGTTTTTCGGAACTTTTGTGTTTTTGAAATTTTTGAATTGTTTTCATGTGATTTAATTGTTTTTTGTGGTTTGCTATTTAAATTTATTAATTTTGAGCAACAATTTTATTAAAGAATATTTGTAGATTATTATAGAACATAAATAAAATGCAATTAATAAACGTTTATCTTTTTTTCTAGAAAAAAAAGGTGTTGCAAGATGAGTCTTCTGTCGTGTGTATCCACTATTTACGAGAATTTGTACCAAATATCGACAATTTCATCGTTATCGTTAAACCATGAAATCGTTCCGCACAATAAAATACCCGTGTGATTGAACAGTTTTGTTTTGTCGCAGCTTATGTCGTGCACCTCATGCGTATCGTTTGCCTAAAAATTGCATTGTAACCTGATTATACATCCAAAATTTAGATGAGATGAGGAGTAGGAATCATGGAGAAAAATCGAAAATCTCTTAGAATAATCCAGGTTTCATCGATCAACTATAAATTTCTATATCATGAAAATAGCTATTTATAGTCATTTTTTTTCACTATGTGTTGATTAGTCGGATTATTTCGCTACGCATTGAATAATCTTTCCTAAATTACTCTTATTAATTTTCAAAAATAACATCGCCCTATAATTTTTATGAGTAACGAGTGAATAATTATATTAATTATATTAAGTTTACTTGTTGCTTTGAATTATATGTTAAACAAGTCACTTCGCCACATTCAAAATCACGCTTATGATGTTTGCAGTAAATGTTATGTCCCATTTTCCCAGCCATCCAATGGCCGTTCCATGTGCAAGGTCCAGGCTTACTTCTAAAAATTTGTTATTTGCACGACATATTTATATTGAACCATTTAATTAGTATTTATGAACTATTTATTTGCAAGCAGTGTATCCTCATATATCTGATAAAACCATTCTTTTATATTTGCTGGTTGTTCATTACCTAGTAGAGGCTGCCAGTCATAATTTAAAACCAACTGTAAATAGGAATATTAAATTAAATCTTATGTCATTTATGAAGTGGGATGAGAACGATGAAAACTTACATGCAGCATAGTGTTTTTACAAGATCTGCACCGAAAAAGTTCATGCATGGAGAACCGAAACTATGATCGGGAATGCACTTTCCAGCAAACAGCCTTTTGCTACAACGACCGTTATGACTTCTTATCGTATCATAACCGCTTGGACAAACATGCACATTGCTACAGAATGGCGCATATCCAATCCATCTACAACCATATCCATCTAATTTTTCGTATGTTACTGCTTGTATCGTTCTATCTCGAGTTCGTTCTAAATATCTTTAAATGAAATAACTGAAACTTTTGCAAAATATGTCAAATCAAAGAATGAAAAAATTTTATCGAATACATATAATAAATCATCAAGTCATCAACCAATTATTTTATTCGCTCCTCTGTTTATTAACTTTAGCGAAGCGTCGATTAGCCCGGAAATTCGTTTTATGCGATGTTTGTTGGTTATTTCATGGTGGTGAAAGTAGGCAGATTTTGTATGTTTTCCAGTTTCGTCTAAATTTCAAACGTTATTACGAAATGGCATCGAAACGACAACGTTAAATACAAAGTTTTTTAGGTTCACAAGCATTGTAAGAAACGTAACACTTTACTAATTCTAATGTAAAAGAGGATATAAATTGGAAATATATATAAAAAGTGGAAAAAAACAATTATTTTTCAGTCATCAAAATTTTTAAAATTTGCTAATTTTTACGTTTTATTTAAATTTTTATTTCAATCGCTTTGTATTGTTTTATCTTTATCGTTGCTTCTATGATTCGTGCGCGTTCTTTATTGCATATAAAACTTCTTTATTCTAATTAACCATATTTAATTAATATTTCAAAAATTATATAAAGGTTGCCTAATTGATTGAATTGTGAATTAATGAGCCATTATAAAACAGTAAGTATCACAAAAATATAAAGAAATTACCTTGGATTTCATCCATAGAATATTTTCGAGCGAATTCGCGTTCATTATATTCTAAATTTTTAAAAATTTCGTTATTTTCTTGGAACTAAAATATCGATTCCTTGAGCAAACTGAATGGACTGAATTAATTAAGCCCACGAATTAGATTGCTAAATGATCTCAGGCATATATATATATAGGTGCTGGTCAATCAACCAGATATCGTAGTAGTAAGAACCAGAAATCAGTAATAGATAAAGCAATACCAATTGACAGGAACATCAAAAAGAAAATAACGAAATATGAGAAGCTAGAGATCCGGAATTGTCAATAAGGAATTAGAAAAAATGTGGAAAATGAAGATCAAAATAATGATAATTGAAGCACTTGGAACGAATCCTAAATTAGAAAAGCGGTTTCATCATATTCTGCGATCAACGTCAGACAGAGATAATAGAAGGGCGCATTGCTAGGGGCAGCTATTATACGGCGTAGAACTCTCAATCACCCAGGCTTTTTTGACTCGAGGCTGGCTCTCACCTAAGAGGTGAGAAAGATTTTTTTTATATAAAATGGATAAGATTCTAATCAAAAAACCAAATAATTTTTTATTATTTTATTATTATTTTTTGTTATTTTGTTATTATTATATGCTAAACTACAAGCAATATTTACATATGAAATGGATCGATTTCATTCAGTAAGAAATAATTTAACCTCGGTTTTTCGATTATCTTCTCCTTTAAGCAAATTCATTAATTAAATCAGTAATCAGCAATAATTAAGTTTTAAATTTTAGTATTAAATTAGAATTCTTCCAAAAAAATTCGGTCAATAAATATCTAGAAAAATATTTATCGACAATTCCATTAAGAATCGAGCTCATAAATATTCTTTCCACATCTGGTTAGGCTCGCTCCAGTGATTTTTTGGACCAAACAAAATTTTGCCAGTTGATCGAGTGATTTGGCCCCAACACTAGCGGAGTGAAGTAAGCACTGAACCATACAATACCGTCGATTATATAAATATAAAAAAACAACAACCTGCTAGTCGTTTTCTTATTGCATCTTCATTCGGCATGTTTTTATCATTAAAAATCCATTCATAGTCCATTTTCGATTCCCCAACTTTTTCATTATTCTGGCAGTGGAAATTCGGTGGAAATAAAGTAATAAGGCAAAAAAATAAACCAAATATTGTCATATTTTAGTTTTGATAATTGCAATAATAACTGAAGGTTCACTTTATATTAGCGAATAATTAGCAAAACAACGTATGGTAAGATTCACAGTATAATAATGAAAGAAAGATTTAATAATAAGGCGGTATTTATTATTAGATAGAATTTTCATTGTTATTTCACCAGTCAGTTAAACATTGTACTTATCGTATTTATCTTCCTAATCGATATCCTTTAAGTTATATCACCTTATCAGTTTTGTTATGTCATCAGTAATTTACATATAATATTTCCAGTGTGAAATGATTATGAGAATGAAAAAAATTTTCTTCCCAATGAGTTTTTAGCTTTTGAAAATAATTTTGTACTAATTTTATCAAATATAATATTTTTCAGCTTCAATCCCAAAGTTCTTTTTCTCATAATTTCTAAGTTAAGCTTGCACTTTTTTCGTTTTCTAATAGCCCACACCTGGTTAGGTTCATTAGCTGCAAAGGTGAAACAGTTCCAAGCACTATGCTTTGATGACTGATTGGACCGAATAATTTTTTCCACTGTCTTAGACAATGTATCGCTGAGTCATTTATGTGTTCAAAGCCTTTTTTTCATAAACTGTATCAACCCAAACCTTGACTGGTCCTCTTTGTTTTTTTTCATAAAATGGCAAGATGTACATCAATTCCATAGGCACAGCTTATGGTATTTAACTCTTTTTAACGAATTTTCTAGCGAAAATGGTTGCAAACATATGAGAATCAACCTTTTTAGCGGACATGTACAATTTATCTTAGAAATGAAATGGAATGATAATGATAATGGTCACTCTCATTTCACTGGTAAAAGTTTATCATCCAGCAGGAGTCCATCTATAAATAGATATGGGCTTTGCTTGTGTTTCTCGACGTGATTGTGATTTCGTAGCTATTCTACAGTTTTGCATTTCAAGAAAGTATTTTTAAGAAATTTTGAAGCCTTGCAGATTCATTGATGATTTAATGATATTTTGAACTTTATTAGGGTATGTAAGACGAAAAGCCTTTCGTTTTATTTATTTTAGTGACTCGGCGCTTTATTTTCTCAAAAATTATCGATATGTAATCTGGTTTCTGTTGTATTATCGTATTATTTTATAAATATTAGCAGAAGCGTACTCCAGACCTGTGGTATTATGCTCCAGATTGACTTATAAATCCCTTGATAATGCAGGTAAGCATGATCTTATCGTATAATTCAATATTACTAATTGAATATTAATGGTTCTTAAGGTCTTTTTGCTAAAATGCAACCTCTTGACAGTGAGAAGTCTGTGGAGAAAAGCACAAGTTATTTTCCACGAGCAATACTTGTTTTTTTTTTAAACTTTGTCTTTTAATATTTATTGTAATTTAAGAAATAGGAACAGAACCATGGCATTTGAACGTTCTAAACAAAGCACATACTGCCTCGTCAATAATTTTTACTTCTACGAAATATATTGTGAATCTATGGTGTATCTATTTGTGATAAAACTTTTACACTCGATTAGTTTTCGGTGATTTTTTTAAAAAAATCTTTACATTTCTGGAATGAATATCAGTTTCATTAATAATTTTCTTTTGTTTTTTAAATAATTATTATTTTCTTTTTCATTTTGTTCGGCTTAGCCTACTTTTTCTATTTAAATTAAATTTCAAATTTGTGTTCTATAGATATTGTTAATTGATTTTCGACAGATAAATAAGTGATATTTTTCTTTTTTTATGATTTAGAAGGAAAAGATAATTTATTTCAGGATTTATTTCCCTTTGAAATTGTTTTAGAAATAAAAAAATCTGAGAAATTTAGATATTTACGAAGAAATTATTTTTAAAAAAGTTTTTTTAAGAAAGTCGTTTAAAAAATTTTTTTAAAAAGAAGAAGAAAATCGTAAATTATTGCCTTGCCTTTCATGGCTAAGTTTTTAGGATTAAAATTGTAGAACATGATTTTCGCCTTGGATAATGAGTCATTACTGATAATGCAAAAATTTAATTTTTAATGAGTTCCGAAAGTTTTAAAATTCTATTGGTAATAATATAGCAATTGAGCAATATGCCAGGGAATCCCTTGGCGATAGAAATGCAGAGAGTCACCAGCATCACTCGGATTTTTGTACAGGTTTACTCCTATGGAGAATCGGATTTCAGCATCGGCGCTCCCAATTGAGCAAGAACCATTGAGCCACTCTATTCTCACTTTACGATATTTGATGCAACATAAATTGTAATTTATTGTATAAATTGCAATCGTATTTATAAATTGTAATTTAATAATTTTTAATAATTATTAACTTGTATGAATGATTATCTTAAGAGGTAACTCATACTCTTCATGATGACTATTAATCATATATGATACGCGCAGGAAATGAACAATAGACAAACAATAGAAATGTAAAGAGTTCATTATTATTTCATTCAACATAAATTCAATTCAACAATTCCCGTAAATAATAAACGAAGAAATAAAATTAACTTGTCAGTGGAAAGAGTCAGAGATCTTTATAAGAACTATAACAATTTATAACGATTAATAACGATTAATTTGTAAAATTAGCATTGTCTTATGAGTTCACTCGTAATCATTCATTAAATGCATAAATTCGACAAAAGTGATTCGTCCGTCTTTATTTGTATCATTTTTTTCGAACATTTCTGCTATCAATTTTTCATTACTCCACGGTGTCGTCTGAGAAACAATTTCTTTTAGTTCCTCTGAAATAATGAATTTTGAGAAATTTTATTAATAATTTGTTGCGAATTAATATATATAAAATCCCTATATAAAATCTGATTTTTTTCCGCATCATTATGCATGAATTTTCTGCTAAATTTTCTTATTGCTTTAAATGTATATAATATACAATGCGCAATGTTAAGATGCACGATGGCTTATTGGAAACGTGAGAGGTGAGAGCTAGAAGTTGGGTTTCAATTCGAGTCGCAGTCGACGCCTATCTTTCCAGAATGAGCACCGCAAGTAGACCCGAAGGGCTGCAATACTGCAGTGGAAAGAATATACGGAACATATGAAAAAAATTATGGTCATCAGCGATAGAAACAAAAACCATTAATAGATGCAACGATGGGGATAGAATGAATAATATGACTCAGTAGGTTGGAGCCGATGCTGAAGTTTTATTCCCCATGGGACCTGTCCAAAAACTCGAGTGATGCTGGCGACTTATCTGTTACCAAAGGACTCCCTAGCATATGTTCTAGCAGACCTATTTTAACCAGTAATGGTTAAAACTGAAAAAAAAATAGATGTAGCGTTATTAAATAATATTAGGAAGAAAAATATGAAAAGGGAAGGAACTAGAAAAGATGTAAAGCGCTAAAGCGCTCCCAGTGGTGGCAAGATGTTCAGAACTTCAAATTTTAAGTTTAGAAATCTCTCGGAAATCTCTTTCCAGAAGAGATAAGGATGTAGTACAAGGATGCTAAGGTAGTATGCAGAAATTCTCTCAAATTCTCAGTGAAGAAAACATCCACAGAGCATAAGAAGGAAGTTCATACACATTTAATTCAGGTAAAAAAACAAATGTAGATTGACTGAAGGTTGATAATTTAAAAATATTACCTTTGGTTATCGCTCCGTCACCATCATTATCGAATAATCTGAATAGCTTTTCCAGTTCTACCGTAGAAAGATGCTGAGTGGGAGGCGTACTCATATAGCGAATAAAATCTTCCTTATTCACAATACCACAATCTGAAGAAATTTATGTGAACGATAATTTTAAATTTATAATAAGTGAAGTTTATAGGGGAAGAATGAATGAAAAGCTTCATAGATGAAAAATATCTGATCAGCATTTTTTGCATCTGCGGTAGAATTTTATAGGTCATCACATTGAATACCTCAGCGCCAGCGCCCTGGCAGCGAATTTCAATTGACATTGAATTTTTCAGGCAATGTTGATTGTTGAAGAAATGTTTGAAGAAGCTTTCGCAATTTCATCTTTACAATTTTTATACTCAAACTGAGCATAAAGATTTGCTAACCGAAATATGTTTTTGCAAAGAATAAAAATTTCGCCTTTGGGTTTTTTATTGTGTAATGTTAAGATTGAAAAAACAGTGATTTCTTGTTAAGATCATTTGCTAAAAAATTCTACAAATTATTGTTGCTGGATGGATGGTGTTATCGACTCATTTGTAATTCTACCATCAAATGATAAAATTTTCCTGGTCCGACAAACCAGCAGAATTATTAATCTGTTATTCAAACATAAGCAAAAAATTTATTTAAGTGTTAAATATATCTAAACCCTAAAAAATGATTGAAAAAAGAAGCTAAACTGTTTGTCACTTTATTGCTTAAGTTATTTTTTTAAAATCCATTTCTATTCAAATATCAAATTATACTGAAAAAGCAATAGCAATGAAAGGACTTGCGGAAGAGATCAGTGAAGAGCATTTTCAACTGATAACAAATTTTTCAGGCGATTTTTTCAGTTCAATTGTCTAATCAAAAAATACTGAACTGATTTTTTATTCAATCCTAGGCTTAACCAAGTGAATTAAACGGACATCAAAATTTATTGTAATCCTTGGATTTCGGCAATAAAATAAAGACAGAGGAAAAAATAAAGACACTTAAAAGATACATCGAAAATTATTTCCATGTTCTTTAAAAGTTCATTCAGCTAAAATGAACTTCGTCATTAGAGAATTTTAAAAAATCAATTTTAAAGTACACTTAGAACGTTTAAATTTTTAGCAATTTTTTTCTTATCTTAGAATATTTCTTTTAGTCGAATATTTGAATAAAAATGAAGAATTCTTCTTCCTTTACATTAAAGTTCAATAGACAAATTTGGAGAGAGAGAGAGTGAGAGAGCGATTTAGTTGCTTATTTCCTCCATTTTTTGTGTTTCTAATCAGAAATCAACCAATTTATTTCAGACATCCTTGCCAATATTATTATTCTATTACAGCATATTTCTTAATTATAATTTATACTATTGGAGTAAAAAAATTATTACAATGAGAGTAAAGATGAAATAATAATAACCATCAAAATTGGAATTCAATTTATCGAAAAATATAGAAATATTTGCTTTCTATTGAGCATATAAAGGGTGGAATAGTTCAGTGAATTATCACGGGCTTACATTTCGCAGCGCCGATTCTGCTTTTTGTATTCTACTCTTAAAGTTTATTTACAATATTATATTAAGTTTAAAGTTTATTTACAATATCAGCTTGTAATTACGATTACAACTAGAATAAATCATTTTTAATCATTTTAACTAATCATTTTTGTAATCATAATTATTTAATTTTCTGTAAAATCCGCAAAAACTTTGCAGATTTTGTAATTATGGAAATAAAATAATTGAATTTTTAATGAAATACTATCGATACTATTTAATACTATCGATAAATAAGGTGATAAATAATAAAAAACATTACACGAAAAATCAGCGATAATAAAGAAATAATGATAGAACGAACGATTTTCGTCCATTTCTCGAAAAACCGCATCGATATCCAACGGTGTCGTTTCGGCATTAATTGTCCTCAGTAAAGCAGCGATTTCATTTCGACCCAAATAGCCATCGTTGTCCGAATCTATTGAGGCGAAAATCTCACAGAGTTCTGTAAAATTGCTAATTTCAACTAATTAGAAAATACAAAAAAAATTTTTTTGTGGTAAAATGTTTGAAAAATTATTGACTTATTAAATTAAATAATATTAAATTATTAAATTTTAATTTACTAAATTTTAAAATTATTAATTATCATTAAATTTTAAAAATTATTAAATTTTTTTTCTCATAATAAAATTTATGTTAATTTTAAAGTAAATAAATGTTGTAATAGAAGAGAAATTAAAAATTTTTATTCGATAGCAATGATATTGATTTTTCACTGATAAAATCATTTCGCAATAAAAAGCAAATCACCAGTTTGAAAAAAATATTTTATTTCGTTCATAATTCTTGTTTACGATTTCCTTCGATATTTTTCGAGTCAATTAACAAGTTAAGCGAAATTATCCCATAAGATGGCTCTGAGACGCATAATTTAAAATGATAAATGATGAATATGTTTTAATTTTAATAAAAAATTTCAAGTGCACTTTCACCACTGCGCTAACCACCCTGGTTGCTTTTATTTTAGCATGCATAACATGGTACTTGTGTTCCAATACAGGTCAACTTCCAACGAGCCTTTTAACTTTTCATAACGAAATTTAGACATTTTTAAATAGCAATAGCTCAGTGGTATTTTGATTAATTATATAAATAAAAATCTATCATTACAGATGAAACAGTACAAAAAGAAAATACTGGCAATATGTCGTCTAAGCTACCGCTTATAAACTCGTCTCTTTTAAGTCCAGCAGTTACAATGTTTTGTAGCGATTACTGGTCCCGCTAGGAGTCGGGAGGGGGGGGGGGGGGGGGGGGGGGAAGGGGGGTTGGGTTGGAGAAAAAAATTGGGATTTAGTGAGGAAAGATGACAATTGGTGGTGGACGTATCTGCCAGGAGTAAAAGAGAGCCGATTAGCGATTGCGACTATTATTTTTATGCAGTATTGTTGCAAATAATTTTTACTTACTCAGAGCTTAATAGCTAAAAATGCGGTGACATTACGAAAGAATTTATTATTATACGAAATCAAAATAAAAGATCCGAATTCGAATATTACGTCGAATTTTGCGAGTAACAAAAGAAAAATAAAAGATTTTATTTTTATTTATCGATTTTTATTTATTATTTTTATTATATATTTTATTAATATCTTCACGAGTCTCGGAGACATTTTTTCCAATTATAGTATATATTATTTTGGAAAAATAAAAAAACATAAAATAAAAAAAAAAAGCGAAAAAAATTTACAAAGACCAAACGAGCCAGTGATTAGCAAATACGAAAATTTCGAGCTAATTGCAAGAAAACACTATAAAAATTTAAAATTTACATCACAGAGTGGAAACAACTGCAGTAAATAATTAGGGAAACACAAACGTATATTTTGGCTTAGGCGAGATTTTTTTTTAAAATTAGGTTGTCTGACTTTTGTCTGACCACAACAAATTTAAATTTACAGATTTACTGTAAATTCAAACGCAAATTAGTATTCTAGAGTTGCCCTCTGGTTTTTCGCACTGGACAAAGGGAATCCATTAGCGATAGAAATAGAGGTGAACCGCCACCATAACTATATATTATCGCCGTCAGTATGATACAATCTAGGAATGAATGAATGTTTTATAAGTGGAACGTTATAGCATTTGGATTCACAGGAAGTGGATCAAAGAGATCGGAAAGGAACGAAAAGGCCAATGGAAATAAATTTATAATAAATAAATAAACAAATTCATTTAAAAAAGATCGAAAAGAAAAGTGATATATTTATGAATTTACAAGTAAAATCCACTTTTCAATTTCTTTATTTTTGTAAATTTTATAAAAATTCTTTGTTAATTTTTCGAAAAGTTTACTTCAATTTCATATTAGTTAAAATATTTTATTTTTTATAAAATATTTTATAAAATATTTTTCAAATTTCGAATTTCGAATTTTCGAATTTTGAAGAAATTTTTTTAATGATCGCTGAACGGTTAATGCACTTAACGTGGTGGTTTTTTTATTATCATCATTATTGTTATTTATCTATTTATTTATTTATTATTATTATTACTAATTTCTAATTATTGTTATTACTATTATTAATATTATTATTGTTATCAATATTAATATTAACATTATTGCGCAATATTTTTTTTTCTTATTATCATTATTAATGTTATTTATTATTAATTATTTATGTCAAAAATAATGTTATTGTTTTTCAGTCAGTAAATCTGAACAACTATTCATGAAACTAACTTTCTAGAAAATTCTATAGATAAATAAGAATCGGGGAAATCCGGCTTACTTTTATTGTACAATGTTCGTCTTTATTAGACTGTTACATTTTACTTTAAATGATGAGATGGATTAAAACTGTAATTTTGTAAACGGAACCAAATTGTGTTTTCACATAATATTAATTAATATTAATATTAATATAAACATTACTACTATTGTTATTTAATTGTTAGGCTAAATTGACAAATAAATCAATTTGTAGATAGATTTTGTTTGTAGTCTAAGCAATATGCAACAGCAAAGAACCTTAACCTCTTCTACTATAATCTAATGGAGCTATTCGTATTTTGTCTCATTGTTTTTTCTATCTATGTTAAAGATTTTATCAACATTCAATTTTTCCAATTCAGTCGCTTGCAAAAGACTATAAAATTTAGTTCTAACGTAGTAGATAGAAGAATGCTATCCAAAAAAATCTGAATGATATAAATAAGACAACTAAAGAATAGAGCAATTATCTGCAAATAAATTAATGCAAAATTTTAAGCGTTAATATCAAATGCTTTGATCTCCCTCTTATTTTTGCTGTCAAGTAACGTCGAATTAAAAAATAAATCCTCGGTAAATTCGAATTTTGTCTTTAAAAGTTTAGAAATTTTTTTATTAAAATATGAAGAATATATATATTTATGCGTGCATTTCTGGAATTCAAAGTCTGCAAAAATCCAGAATTAAGAAAGATTTATTTTCACTTGCAAGGTTCTGCAATAATTTTAAAGTGAACTATTGCTAGCCTTTTGCTTTGGCTTAAATTTAATTAATTAGTAGATTTAAAATTGTCTCATTAGCTGTATTATTGGCTAATGCAATAAATTGCTAAGCGATTTTGTTCGTCCGTTTCGAATTTTCTAAAGCAATTTGATAGCTATTACCTGTGCAATTATACCAAATCTCATCAATTCATTTGTTTTTTTTTCATTTCTATTCGTTTTAAAATTTTATCGCATTTCTTCTTTGCTAAAACCAGTATATGCTCTGTCTGCTTTATTCGTAGAAGAAACCGCTTGCGGATTTCAGTTTTTAGTGTTGATTAAGCGAGAAACATTTGAGCAGTGCTAAGCGATCAAGTTTTTAAGAGAGATCGAGTAGCGAGTCAGTAGCGAATATAAAAAAAGAAAAATATTTGATTTTGCGACATTAAATGAGGTTGTCGATTCGATACAGATGGTTGAAATCGACTGGGAATTTCGTTGATTTAGATTCGAATTTAGATTTCGAAAAAGCAATTTCGAAAAAGCAATTCATCATAGAATGGAGACATAAGAATGTGGCGAGCGCTTTATTTTTAAATAAATTTTTACTGCCAATTTTTTTTGCAAAAAATAAAAAATAATTCTAAAAATCGAATAGCCAATTGCAAAATATGGTCGCAATAAATAAATAAATAGTGTTTATTCTTCTTTTTTAGTTGCAAATATCTAATTTTTAGACTTAAATTAGATGAGAGCAAATAATAATCGAGAAAACTCAATTCATTTGGAAACCTTTTTTTGCCTTCAATCTCATCACTTATAGGCGATTGAAATTTATTACCAAAAAAATGATATTATTATCATTATTATCATTATAATTGAAATGATATTATAAAATGATATTATTATCACTACTATGTTTACATTTATCAAAATTTTTAACTGTTTATTATAAGAATTTCTCAAGTAAAATAGAAAAAAAAAATTATTCTATAAAATTATAAATTTAACGTCACTAATATTGCAAACTTAAATTTAAAAGATGAAATAAATGAGAAAAAATTTACGTTCACGACTGAGTATGAAACACATCGAAATTATAGGACTTCCAGAATAAAATAGATCAACTCCAGCAAAAATATTGATAGCAAGTGATGCAGCAAACTTCGAAACAAGGCTTTCACGATTCGAACGAAATCCAGTGTAAGGCGGAGTTCCTTGGCAATTCTTACTTAGGCGAAGATGAGAAATAGATCAATAATAATAATAATAATCTCATAAAAAAAGATCTTGATGATTTTAAATAAAATATTATATTAATTATTATGTAATATATGAATTTACCTAGTTATGCAAGCTTCGCGCACTATTAGTACATCGCTGGTTATTTTTGATAAGCAGTTAATTGGCAATAGAGGTATAGCTGGATCGCCATCAACACAAGGTGGATTTTTTAATGACATTTGTATTAGGTCGATGCTAATCGAACCTGCTATGGCATTTGACCCGAATGGATACATTCTACCATTCCTACCTGTTTATAGTTTCCTTAGGAATCTTTTTCTTTTTCTAAACGTACTGTCAAATTCATTTGCGAAAAAATTCATCGATAAATCGGAAAAATATATTTAAATCAATGCCAATAGTTATATAATCTTATTGGCCATAAATAATTTAAATTTTCTAATGTTCATTTTCACGATCTATTTTTCTGTAGTCCACTCACTATTGCCAGTTAAACTCGCTCCACTGGCTTGTAGCATTGGGCAATATGCCAAGGGAGTCCCTTGGCGATAGAAACACAATTGAGTCGTTATCAGCACCCGGATTTTTGTACAGATTTACTCCTGTGGGAATCGAACCTCAGCATTGACATTCCCAATTGAACAACAACTCATTGATCTATCTAGTGATTTGCATTAAATTGCAGGAAAAAAAAAAGATAAATTCAATTGACATTAAAATTTTTAAATTAAAATTAAAATTAAAATTAAAATTTTCATGCCGATTTTAGTGCACAAACTCTTTCATCGACACATAGAATATATTTCATTTTGCCTTTAATATATAAGCAAATTCCATTGTTGGTAATACTAAAATATGTATATAAGAAAAGTGACAATGAAAGATACAATTAAGAAAATTGAGCGGAATTGGCTACTATACAACAGATTCGATATGTAGCATCTGGTGATAGGAAACATTCACTTCCATGTGGACATCTGGGCGGTTTCCATATTTCAATTTCACTTCCACATGCTATCACTAAATTGTGCGAGTCTCTGAGAGCTGTTTCTTTCGTGCAAAATGTTAAAACTGTAAAATTATTATTTATTATTTATTAAATTATTTATTATATTTATCATTATTATCAAATTATCATTTATTATATTGACTTATTATTTAAATTTAATTATTATTTTTCAAATATGCACAGCAAAAAACAAATTGAAATTTGTATGGAAAATTACCTTTTTCTGGTGTATGTGATCTTTTTGGTGGTAATGTATGATAATAATCTGCTTGATTGTATGCCTTTTTAGTGGAAAAATGCTTATGATAACCGCTTATGGTCATTTTCATTTCCTTAAAATATTGGTTAAGCCTTGAAATAAACCTAATAACAACTGCGATCTCATAGAATCTTATAGTTGAAAAATATTACCATTTTCGATAGCAGTAACTTACTTCTCCTTCATCGAGGTAAGGATTTCTTAAGTCCAATTCTTCATCAATAAGTGAATTCGAATCGTTCATTGGTTTAGATTCCTTTGGCTCGACACCTAAAATTTATGCGCTAATTTATATATTTTACTAATTTAAGATTTTTTATTGATAAGTTATTACTAATCCCGTTCCTTGAAATTCTTTCTCTAAATAATTCTTATCAAAATATAATTCGCTGAAAAAAAAAATCCATTAAATCTCACAAAGCTGGTGTTGCGATGTCGTTTTATAAAGATCGCCTTTTTTCAAAATTTTGCAGGTTGCTTTAAACAAGTTATTTTGGTTTAAAAATATCTGATAATAAGAAATCAAATATTTGAAAACAAGTATGTTAAAAATTATACATATTATACCTGCCAATTGAATGATTTTTTCCAACAATGGATGGTTGCCATTTGGCATAGGAAATGAAAAATTAAGATCCATGAAACCTTCATAATCTCCTGAAATTTGTTATTTTTCTTCACTGGTTTTGTTCATATAATTTTTTTCTATTTCTTTGCATTTTTAAATCTTAGTTTAGTCATTTTCTTTTTTTTAATCATCATTCATTTAAACAATGATAATAGTAATAAAAATAATAGAAATAATTCTTTTTTAAAATCATCATCTTTCATTCAAACAGAGAAATAATATTTATTGATAATAATAATGATAAGGCAATGAAATCCTAAATTTTAAATTCTGCCGATGCAAAATCTTTTAATCTTATCCTTAAATTTGACAGAGAAAATTATTACCGATTATATAGTCGTCAAAATTCGGGAATATAAAGGCTGCTTCATGCTTTTTAGTTGAATCGTGTTTCAATGCTTGCTTAGTTTGTTTTTTAATTTCTTTTTGCAATACTAAATTGAAAAGGAAGTACAAATTTATAAAACATTTTTCTCTATGAGCTCATCATTCCTGGTTAGGCTTTGCATTGGATTAGACAAATTTCATTTGGCGATATAGGTGATCTCGAACAATTCCTCGAATTTTTTTGAGTAGTTTTTTTTTGCGGCCGGGATTGGAACACCGGCATATATGCTTTGAAATGAAAATATAGCTATTTTTTGATCATCGTTTAAGTTCTTTTACTAATTAAATAATAAGCATAAAGGTTGAAAAATATTAAGTGAGATCTTAAGTAGAATGATAACCGTTAAGGAAGTATTTACCGTTTTAAATCACAAATATGAATTTTTAGTGAAATTCAGCATTTTTTATTCTTCAGCAATAAATAAAATCACAGAATTTTGTTGCTGAATTTGTGGTTAACCAAAAATTTCTAAAATTTATAATTATAACCATTTTCTTAATATTTTTGATAGTTCTTGTGAAAAATTCTCCGTTTATTGATTGCTCTTGAATTTTACGATATGGAAAATGAAAGAGATAAGCAAACCGATTTTAAAGCGGAGATGTTCTGGTGGTATGGACGGTGGTATGAAAACCACTCGGATCCTAATAGGAACGAACCGGTTATTAAAAAATACGAGAAGACCATTCCTCTTCGTCAAATTACTGGGTAAAAACTTTAATAATATTAAGCTACTGGAATCAGCCTGACCAAAAATGATAAGCTCTAACCATTTATTTTCTGATTTTTGTCAGAAATATGGTTAAAAGTAAATACCCGTAGTTAGTGGCGCTATATTTTTAGTCGATTGATTCGATGGGAAAAGTGTCGAAATTTTTGATGATTGGCCATCAGCAGTAGACAATCTTATGGGCCCTTCGCCTTTATTTAAGGCGAATGTCTTATTTTTTGCTAGTGTTCTGGTCGTTCGAGTAGTCAACGCGGTTTTGGACTAAAATTTAATTAATTAAACCGCTTTATTCTAAATTGTTGCTTGGAATTTCCGTTTTCCCAAATGCATTTGGCAAAAAAATTAAGTAGAGAAATAGAAAAATAGGGTAACGCAGATTTTTTTAAAATATAACAAGCGAATGGTACTTCCACAACACTTCATGCATTTGCACAAGAAAATAAGGATATGGGACCAACCCCGCAGAAACATAATTTTTATTCACACTATTTAAAAAAAATTGCCTACCCTATTCACTCTCACGCTATTATCAGCTTCGAATGGAGACCGCATCGTTTCTTCATCTATATATGGCGATTTCCTGTGGTTCTTTGTTCGATAACGAAAATTGAAATTTGTTTTAGTCACAGTAGAGGATGATATGGGCTGATAAGGAGATAAAACTTGGCTCTGCAAATTAATGCAATAGTCGGCGCCAATTCGCCACAAAATAACAAAATCAAATTTATTGGGGAATAAAAATATCTAAAGATTTGTTAATTGAATTTGCAAATCTTATATTAAGATTTTTATAAAAAAAATTTTTTTAAATCTGTTCATCCAATCTCTTTCTCTCCAATCTGCTTAAAAGCAATTTTTTTGCAAGCGAATTTGAATAGAATTCGATTAAAAGTTTTGTTGCACTCTTTCCACTAAGAATTTTTTTCAAAATATTGAACTATAATTTAAATTCGATTATAAATACCTCATTTTGCTTTTGAACAATTTTGCTTTTAACTTTCTGTCCGCCAGATTCCTTACGCCTGAATAGCAGCAGAGCAGGAGTCGTTGTCATCTGTAATACGAGTTCCTAGCGTTATAAGGGAAGACTAGCTAGCTCATGAAAATCATCTATGGAAGAGACAAAATGGCAATGGGCAATGGCAAAATTTATTATATTTAGACGAATAGAAAGTTTTAGCAAATGTGGCATTGGCAACTGTTTTTATAGCAAATTTTTTTTAAACTAGAGAAACGGTTTGTGGAAGATGAAAATTTGATGGGTTTCACTCAACTATTCTTATTCAATTAAAAGCTATTAAAGCCAAAATAATGAATTTGGTGCCTTACCGTTATTAAAGCCTTACCGTTGCAATTTTAGCTGAAGCGCGATTTGTAAATCTTTGCGTATTAATTTTTTTATTTCTATTATTGTAACTGCAAGTAAAAAAAATAAATTTAAATAAAATTTAAATAAATGCAATTAAATAAAATGAATGCAATTTATCTAAATATTTTTCAAGAAAACTTTTGGTGTTCCCAAGCATTTTGCAGAAAATTGATTTATAATAACTCGCAAAACAATAATAACGACGACAACGACGATTTTGTGATAAGAGCGATAATAGTCTATTACCTTCAGAATATTTTAATTATTTAATAGCCCTTTATCACCAAAAATCTTATTGGGCAACAGCCGTTTTTGTGGTAAAGTATAATATAATGATTTATTAATTTCTAGTGGCCGAATTTGTTAAAAATTTAAAATCACTTGCTTTAAATCCTTTGTGCTGGTTGATTTGTTTACATTGTGTTCCTCTTTTAGTAGAATATTCATTCTTGCGATTTTTTTATTTGGCACCTTCTGCATGCTCCCAGCTTCATTTTCTGAAATGTTAAGACTAACTAAGTTGCCGAGGCTTCAGTTCTGTTTTATGATATTTGCCCTTTTCTGCAATTATCTATTGAATTTCATTATTTTACTATACTGATATATTAAACAAAGACAGAGAGAAAAAGGAAAAATAGGAAAAATTCTTCAAGATTTTTAAGCGTGCAAGCTTTCAACGATGAAACCTTCAGTTGAATGGTTGAAAATATCGAAATTTTCCTTGATGAATGCATGAGCGTCGATTTTATTTGAAGGCAAATGAGCAAGTGGTGGGGAATTCAAATGCGTTTGATCTGAACTGTGAAGCAAAGGATTTTTCCACTGTTTCTTAACATTAATTTTTTGATAAACTGATCCGGATTGTGATAAGCCAGATATTTCTTCTGGATATATTGTCCTCTTGCTGCTCATGGAAGTTACTCTTGACGTCGCTGTAGGGAAAGATTTAATAGGCAAAATAAATTTAAATAGGTGAAATTTTCTTGAGCGGTATAAATAGTTTTCGAAAAATTAATTTTTTTTGCAAAATTTTATTTCAATTTTCTAGTTGAAGTGTAAGTGTACTCATTTTTTTAATTTTACAATACAATACTTTTTGAGTTATTTATATGTAAGGAATTATACATAAAAGAATTCGTAAAAGGCACATAGGAAATTAAGCTTATCGAAAAACTAAAAAACACTGTGAAAAAACTAAAATGTAAATCATAAGTGGTAAGTAAAAAATACATTTTACGTACTAGAAATTTTGTTTGAAGTTTGTCCCTGGTGAGAAATTCTATAAGGCATTTGAGTAGTAATTAAAGTTCGAGTTGGGGCTGATGTAGCAGTGTTTGTTGTGCGCTTCCATGATTCTGAAACGCCTTGCTTGCAAAATCTTGGCTTTTTATCAGTCACTTATTTCTTATATTGATTGATTTTTGCCTAAGTACGGATTTACCCTCTATTGCAATAATTCATTTGACTTTATGAACTCATGAAATTCATCTGAAGACCATTTAGAAATCAAATCAAATCAGCTTAAGTATTTGGCCGTAGTTCACCTATCAATTACAAACTACACGCCGTTGTTTCCAGGCCTTTTTTCATTTTTTCAAACCAATTTTTTTTTTTATTACTTATGGTAGTTTTTGGTCTTGGAGTCCATTTTTCAGTTAATGCAAGTTTGGTATTGTATATGTCAGACTTATATTTTGATTGCATGTACGAGGCTGTGGTACTTGCAGTTGACGCTGTAAGATCTTTTGTTGGCATCGTAATTGCACGTTCATCTCCGTAAATTTGATCTGCAAAAATAGATTAAATAACAAACTCGGTTGAAAAGAAATTAGATAATGATAAAGATTATCAACACTCCCATTTTAAATTCTATTGCCATATAAACGATCACCAAAATGCGCAAAACAGATTTGTACCTATGAATCTTGGCACTAGATCGCAAAATCGCGCTCGATAGTATTGACCTTCCACAGCAATCGAATTAATCAGTTTGCTACGATAAAAAATTTCAGTTCGACCAGTCAATCCGAATGGTTTAGCGAATTTTTGCTCAGAACAAATGCCTTCATTTCTGGTTCGTAAACGGCAACATAAGATTTGTATCCTTAAAAATAGTTGAGCCTATATCCTATATTTATAAAGGAACAATAGATCTTTTTTTAAATATGAATTATTAAGCCAATATTAAATAAAAAGATTCTTTAAGACTTCTGAAAAACCTCGTATTGGTGAGCCTAGTGATTCCAGCAATATATTCTCTCGGCTTGCAGCTATGTTTAGTTTCTTTATCGATTAAAGGATCAAATAAATGACTGTAGTAACAATCTTCTCTCTCCATTTTCAAAATACCGTAGGGAATGTTTATCCATGGATAGAGCTAAATAAATTTAATCAAAAATGATGCGGAATATACGGAATATGTGGAATGCGGAATGATGAGAAAAGCTTTGCCAACAATGAATAAATCTTGTTCTTTTTTGGCTGAAATTTGATCATATGGGTTCAGCTGTTTTTTGACGATACAGAAATTTACCTGTTCGATAGTTTCACATGTTAGAATGAGAGATATATCCTGTCGCCTGTATCCTCGTGAGGCAACTAAGCCTATAGAAATATTATTTGAGCCTAAAACATAACTTGAGTTGACTTTTTTTTATTCGTTTAATAAGATAAGTTTTTCAAAAATTATATTATTTTTACTAATTTGATTGCATTTTTGAATATTTTGCCATTCTTTTAAATTTTTAGTTTTTTTTTCCCAATTTTCATCATTTATTACTTAAATCTGATTAAAATCACTGCAACATTTCAATTTATTCGATTTGGCAATTTGCATCAGTAAAGTGGTAAATGGGTTGATAAATGCCTTTAGAAAAGTGATGTAGTCAAGAGAGTTGAACTGCTATTTCAGTTGGTATCCATAACATTAAGGAATACGATAAATTTTAATTAATCGATTATTCGTTAAATTGTTCTATCTACCGATATATTCTTCAAAACACCATTTATTGCAAAATAATACTATCAATCGTCGACGAAATCTAATTTAACAGAGTGATAAATTCGAAAAGCGAAATGTCAAACGCTTTATATGGTTATTCTTTCAGTTAGCATTAAATTATCTCTTGTTCATTCTCTAATTTGTGCTAAATCTGTGGTCACAAAATTGACCTACCTCTACGACCCCTTTTATCTTCTGCGATGCTTAGGAAGTGAGCGAGAGCCTAATTCGAATGATTTCATTGATTGAAGGGTAACTAAGAATTTGTAATAGTTATTGTATGCAGTTTATTATATTCAATATTTTTTAGATGAAAAATTTCAATAAATATTTTGAAATAAACTTTAAAATAGAAAGACACCGCACTAGAATTCATGGAATCCATTTAAATGAAATTATCTAAGGAATCCATGAAAAAAAGGTGAATTTGATGAATTTGATGACACTTAATTCTACACACATTTTATACTTAATTCACTTATTATTGCTTGTCCAAGAATATTTACTAGTAAGAATATAAACATAAATAAACATTGCCAAACATCAATGAAAATGAATAGTACCTGATAATTTCGAGCATTCGAGGCGAAAATTGTCGAATGGAGATGAAAAAATCTCGTCAAACGCTACTAGGTGCTGAATTAAGGGGAACAACAGCAACTGATTTAAAAACATTTTCCAGTCGTTGCGCGGGTACTCGACGCCGATATTGTTTATTATCATACGGTCAAAATATCAGAATTGTGCTTCAACCAAAAAAAAGCTCTATGAAAATCCGAAATTCTGAAACGAGGTTTTCAAGCAAATAATATGTACGAAACTTTACGGTGGTACGACGTATTTTCAATCAAAACAAAACATGGGAGATTGAAAAGTAATTAGATGAATAAATCGGGTCAATTTGCAAGTCAAATCAGGTCAAATGAATCGCTTATTTGGTAATTGCGCCGAAGAATTCCAATCGCTCTTACATAATCTCTGCCATTTGGTTATCTGCTTAGCTGTTGGAACTTCTTGTTTGAGAAAGGTTTCGAAAAAAAATTATTCCAAGCAAAAGTTTAATATGATCCTTTTTCCCTTTAATTTTTCTCTTATTTTTCTTTCTGATGAATCGTTACAGCATTTAAAATTTGAGCGATTGCTGCAGTTGATTTTTTCCTTGTTAATTGAAAGATTGCTGCAATGTTTTTTTCTAATAATACCCTTTAAGCTTGCTAATTAAGCTTGTTGCAGCAGGCAAATAGTGACTTGGCCACAGAAGCAGCACAGCATTATCAGGATTTTTGAAGAGATATTTGCTCTTTTATATCTTCCAGGCGCACAACCGCACAACTGACCCACTGATCCATTCTACTGCACCTTATTTTGTCTCCGACTACCCAACTACCTAACGACACAGCGCGACTGTCGCATTCGAATCCAAACAATTCTCAATTCTCGTTAGCATTCATATTTCTACTAAATTGGCTTTTTTGATTTATTTTCATTTTATACTCGAATGTTTTTTTGTTTTTAATTTTATTTTTCATTTTCGGCTTATTTCCTTAGCTGTTTTTCTTAAACGATATTTCTTACCACTTTTTACCATTTTAAGCATTTTCTTATAAGCTATAAATGTAATTATACTTTATTTTCAGCAGCAACTTTTCGATTTGATTTATTTCACTGTTGTTTGAAGCCCGTTAAATGGCCTGAATGGCCTTATATTATAGTTTTCTTTGCATCTCTCTGGTTTTTGAAATTTTTTGCAAGGTTACTCCCACTTAAAAAGCAGAGTTCTCCATTCTAAAACATAGCTGACATTTGTGCTTAAACGCCTATGTTAGAATGGATGCTATAATAAAATCCATCTGTTCTTTCTTTTTTCTTATATTTCAATTGAATTTAGAATAATTAAATTATCGCTGATTTAGGTGCGGCTTTCCTAGCTATTACATTATTTTGCTTGTCGCCTTACCTGATTTTCCGCAGAGTTTTGCATTTTACCTGGTTATTTATAATTTTATAATTTGACCTGGTTATTTATAATTTTTTAAAATTATTATAAATTCTGACTTTTGATGTTTCATTTCTTACTGGAAATTTAGTTTAAATATATTTTTTATGTTGGATGGCAACTCATAATGATACAATTTTCTTGTTGCAAATCGTTTTATTTTATTTATTTATTATTTAGTTTGTTATTTAGCATCTTTTATTTATCGATAGATTTTCGCGATCTATAAACATTTTTATTATAATTTTTCTTTGCACGTAAATCATTTAAATAGCGGTTTTCAATGAAGTTCAGAGTGTTTTGTCGCCGTTTATCGCCGTTCTGGTTGTTTGGTTCTTTTGGTTTGCTTTTTGGCAATTTTCTCATGGGTTTTTTCATCAGAATAGTTGTTATTTTATAGTCATTTGCTTTTGCCAATAGTCCTTTGTGGTGCTTCCATATTGTTTTATGCTTTTTATATTTTTTATTTATATTTTGAATTAAATGGTGGAATGACGCTTTAGATGATTTTTTTGTTAAGTGATGGTGAGAGTTGTTAGAAGGAGGTGGACTTCGACCACTCTACGGGAACTGTCAGGAGTATTTGTCAATTGGATAATCACCAAATTTTTCGCATTTCAGCCGCTCCCTCATAGGATAGATGCCATAATGTTTTTTTTACCGTGATTCTTTTTTTTATATAAATATATATATTTATCTAATCCTATTTATAAGTCAGTGAATCTAACTGGTAATGGTGAGAGTTCTTAAAAATATGTAAATAGAGTGTTTTTGAGTATTTTGTTATTTTGTTATTGTTGCTTATTTTGTTTCGTATATAGGCATATGGGAAAATCGCTTTAGCGCAGATAAAAATAGTAAATACTATATTTCAGTGTTATTTTAAAAGCAGCTGGTATTAGGGCATTAAAAGCATCTAATATTAAATGTTAATATTTCCTTTCATTTTATTTTGTATGCATATGTCAATACAGAAGATAATAGCAATCATGAATCAAGATCACCAACATATTTTTCTTCAGAATTGCGATATAAGCCGCAGGGTCGCCGAAATTCTTGACCACGTTCATGAATCCACTTGTTGCAAACCCACTTTGTCCCTAATAATACAGGGCATGCTGCGTGAAGCGTTCGCAAATCGGCTTCACCATCTCTAAAAGGATTACACAATTTTAATTTTTAATATTTACAATTAACTCAGTCGTCACTTCAGTCTTAATATTTAAAATATAGGTTGTAAAACTTTATTTATAAAATATTACTAGTTAATTAATAGTCGAAAAACAATTTAGAAGTAGAATTTTATATTTTTTATATATTTTATTAAATTATTATTTATTAAATTTATTGTATTATATTATATAAATTATATTGTTATATTATATTATATAAATTTATTATATATTAAATTTTATATTTTTGAATAAACAATTCGGTTCGCCTAATGCTTTGCTCTTCAACTATATTATAATAATATAATATAATAATTCTTCCGAATATTAAACCTTAGGCGTCAATATAAAGATAAAACAATGATCGTTTTGTGAGTGGTCGTTTTTCTAACTGTTTTATTAAGATATAAGAAAATATTAAATATTAGATTGATTATTAGAATTATTAGAAATTATTGGGATCGCCATACAAAGATCAGTGATTTTTTGCAAATATTTCATTTGGACACCTCAAACGATAAGTTTTTTTCTAAGTTTTTTTTCTTAAATTTAATTCTTAATTTTTTAAATTTGTAAAAACTTTTCCATTTTACTCTTATTTTCGACAGGAGTAAGCCTGCCATATCAAAAAACCGAGTGGCTGCAAAGGACCAACCTGTAACTCTATCACCAAGTGACTCTATGGTGAAAGGGTCGGATGTTCTTGACACGGCGTTCGTGTCCTCAGGCGTACATGATACTTCTAGTTCGGCGGTACATGCGATAAATATATAATACAGGTGTAAAAGGATCCCAAAGATCGCAGAATATTTATGGGTTTTGCAAACTAAGCGATAATTGTCCACCCTCTTTCTAAATATCATGTAGATGTCGCCTGCTTGTCTCTCTTTCTCATTTCCGGTCTCGAATAATTGCTAAACCTAGCTCCGAGCAGAGATAGTGGTTATATCATTATGTTTCAGATAAATTGAGGCGAAATGGCATGGCGATTATTATGTTTGAAAAGGCTCATTCCGCTTTGATTGAGTGGAAACAGGTAAGCGACCATGTGGTCTATCCTCGCTTTAAAGGTAAGTTCTGCAATATCTTGGTCATCAATGTACAACCTCCAGCTTTATCTGAGATGACCGTGATAAAAATAAATTCGATGTGAAACTTCAACTGTTAACAAAATCTCTACCGAAATGTGGCATGGTCATAGTCGGAGGAGACTGGAATGCGCGCGTAGGTCATGATGTCACTGCGATGAACTCGACGATTGGCAAATATGGGAAAAGACGATATCTGAGCTGAATCCTTCAAATGTTATCCACTATCCTTCATAACCCACCTTCAGCAAATGTACTGTAGGCATCTCCGGGAAAATTTTTGCTTCCCTCCTACTGAATAGACTTATGGCAGTGAGACAGAAAGATACGCCCTAATCAATATTCAACTATGTGATAGACTGGATAATGGACGCTTGTCAGCACTCAAATCAACCCAGAGCATCATATCATAGATCTTGAATACGTTGCAGTTCGTTTTGCGATGAAATACAAATACTAAACAATGTCAACAACCGCAGCGAGAATCGGACTTAGATTTTACAAGAAATTGATAAAACATATTTTTATAAATTTATTGTCGGTTGAGAAAGTATCTGATTTAACCTTAAATCCGCTCTAATACCGAATGGGCAGGTAAAAGACGAAATTAAGACGAACTTAGATAACGATAGAGAAAATGCATTCTTCCGATTGATGAATCTTTTATGGAACCGTAATGAAATCACCATAAAAACGAAAATCCGCTTTTATATATCTGCGATTGGCTCGATTTATATGACTATGAAACCGATGAGAGTGGAGGATGTTATCTTTGATCACTCCTGTCTAAGATTTTACAGGTTTGCCGAGTCGATAAAATCTCACATGATCGTATTTTCTTTCATTAAAACACCACTTGCATTTACCATTACAAAGCGTTGTCTTCACTGGTTATGGCATTCTTCGTCACGAGAATTGATACAAATCTCGTTACTTGTTAAAACCTCTGATCAGTAGCGTCAAAGACGAGGTGGACCAGTCAAAACCTGGACTGAAAGATTTTGAACAGATGGACCAGCAATATATGAACTCAGACGGTGGAAAAAGCAATGAAAATATCTTACCACTGTAAGAAACCAGTGGAACCAGCCTAAGCAATAATGGTGAACTTGGTTAATGGAAACAAAATAATTCATATCACTTCAGTTGAAGTATAGTGAAGTATTACGAATTCGAAAGGCCATCCAAAAAATGACGACCCTGTACGGGAACAACCCTGTTAAAAACAAAACTTATCAGGTAGAAAGCTACCTATCTAGAATTCTTCATCTAAGGAATTCTTTGGCAAAAGGTTTTCGTCCTACCAGTCAATGGAGCAAACCAGGAAATAGTGGACGCAGTTAGGAGATTAATAATTGTAAAGCTATTAATTATCTAACTTTAATAAATCGCTGAAGAATAACCTGCGCAAATTGTACCAAAATAACGCATCGTTCCTTGAAGGATATACAGTTAAATTTTCTGTAATAAATACTGTCTTGCCACCCTTTTCTACAGTAAAAATCTATAATTTACATTGCATTTGATAAGAATAAAATAAATTAAGAGTAAAATAACCCAAAAAACTGAAGCCGTTCTGGAACACAGTCGAACATCACCATGTCATTTCATTTCACTTATCCCATATTTCTTCTAAGCTATAACGATTTTTGTAGGGTAATTCCTTATAAGAACCAAAACACTATAAGCACATACATAGAATAATACTGTTGCAATACGATTTCCCATATTTAGATTATATGGATTAGCGACATCCCTCTGCAAATATCGACTAAACTTTTTTTTACATTTGCCAATTCAATATTTGTGCAAAAATTAGTGATTGAAAACCTTTTCAAACAACCAATTTCCTCAAAATGTGAAATAATAGTTAAAGAAAAATTGATAGCACACCAAGTGCAAGCCATGAATTTCCTTTCTAATCCACGACTAGGATAAATTTGTCACAAAAAATGGAATCTGGATGATGCTGGAGATCCAGTTATATTTCAGCCTTTTCTTCCTCCCTTTCTTCCTGGTAAAGTAAATCTTATTTCTTATAGTGAGTCAATTAAACAAATAATCAGAAATGGTGGATCAATTTTATTAAAGGAAGAAACAAAAGGCCATTCAAAAAATAATAATTTAAAGAATAAATAATCTAATTCTTGCCGTTGACATATCAAAATGCGATTCATAGTGTCCACCAATACCGTAATTCGCTATCTGCAAACTAAGTGAATATCATTGTTTATCATTGCGTCCAATAAAGAAATGGCCATCATTTCTGGCTGACAAATTGTATTGGTCCACTCCATAGACAAATATAATAGAAAAACAGAGGGGAAGAATTTTTTAATATGGAAAAATTCAATATGGTATCGGTTCTCATTAGAAAATATAATTAACCATTGAATTTCCTGAAGGATTCAATTCGAAAGAGACAAAATGAAATTACCTGCAAGTCTTCGGACGTTTTTTGGTCCAAATTTGTCATAAAATCAATCCGTTCGTTTATATTTTTAATTAATGGGTTATTATTTTCATGAAGCCATGCACTGAAAAATTACTTTTTAATACAGTTAATAGTAAATCTATTATATCAAAATTCCAGCGATGCTAGAAAACCATTTATATCTCATACAATAATATAAAATGAATAAACGAATAATGCACCGAGGCCAGAATGCATCGAATTAGCAAATTCTAAACAATTACTTTTATAAATTATATATTATTTCTTACATTTTTGCTTTTTTTTGTTGGCCGAAACAAATATGTCACCGAAACCGGGGGAGCTTTCTCGGTTTTACACACCAAACGCTAGCAAGTTTCTTCACTGGCTGAAGAAATGGCAGATTTTGAACATAGCAGATCACCTCTTATAAATATGAAATTGTCACCCGAATATTCGCATTCGCACTTTTCTCATATCTTCTTTTGCCTGACCAGACCTTTGTGGAATCGCTATGAAAGTTTGGTCCTACATAGCTCGAGTGAACACAGTGAATTTTAGGAATCGATCGCGGAATATATCAGAAAAATGGTAAAAATTATTGGAAAAAGAACAAAAAATAGAATGGAATGGATAAAGCTTTCCTGAATAAATGCAGAAGGGCCTTAAAATTACGAAAAAGGATATTTCAGATAGTGCATTTAAAGAATGCATTCAAGCACGCTTCAATTTTCTAAGAAAAGCTTTTCCTTTTCTCCAATTAACAGCACTCATCCATTTCTGCTTTGGTTGGTTTTATGGTGCATTAGGATGAAACCTTCGCCAAAGAATCCTTTATGAGCAAAAACAGCGAGCCTCCAGCATTCCCCGTGCTTCACTTTTAATAATAGCTTTACACTATTATTTCATTATTCAGAAATGAATCGATGACGTCTGATGCGATGGCTCGAGCGATGCACATTCATTTATCTTAGTTTTTGTGACAATTGGCAATAATCTTAAAAAACCTTTTACTGATACGGAATTTCGCATATTCAAGTGCGCCCGTTTTCGCATTTTGCACGGTTGCGCGCCTCAACTGAAAAAAAAATTTTTTTTTAAAGATTTAAATGCACATTTTATCTATCATTTATTAAAAATTCATATATAAAATGAAAAAAATTCGAAGCATAAAAAAAGAAAAAGAAGAAAAGAAAATTTTCCAAATACTTCGCTAAAAATTTTATAAAGATTAATTAATTACAAGAATTTTATAATTTTATTTTAATTTTATAAAAAATAAAATGAAGCGTGCAAATAAAAAATTTATGAAAAATTGATTAAATTAATTAGTTAAAAATTAAAAAAAATTAGAAAATATTGTAAAAAAAAAGCAAATCAGAATAACTTGTGGTGCGGCAAGTCGTTGAATAACGTTAATTTCGCTATCAGAAATTACACTTCGAAATATTACAACCAGAGGGCCGAAATTTAAGATTTCAACTTTTATAGGAGCGATTCGAAGGAATGGCCGATCCCTTTTTAAATAACAGTAAAGCCTGGATTGACGAGTTGAATTATCCTATAATGAACGTCGCTTTATTCGCTTCGTTGGATTTTTCATTTATCAATTAAAATTTATTCAAAAAATTCAGTTCAGTTTTCTGCTGGCACGTATTTATCTAAGCAGACTGTGATTTCGTAGTGAACTGTGAAGAAAACTGAAATAGAACTAATGCACTAAAAAGGCTTCAATGGATTTTTGTTCTTATTTCAGAATGCCCGATGCTGGAGCTCCATTCCAATGAAGAGTAGGACTAGCTCTCTAAAATCTGGATTAATTCATACTTCTAGTGCTAATCTGGCAAAATCCAATAAGCTAGTGAGAAATGGTGGAAGTTCTCTTAGAAAAAAAAGGATTAATTAAAATGAAATGTTGCACTGTATTGCAAGATGTTTTGCTGCAATTCTAAAATTAGCACCGAGAAACCTCATAATCTCCTCGGCATAGCGCTTCGTATACACTTCTATCGGGAACATCATCTTCTAATCGTTTTAATTTTAATGGCGGAAAAGTCAACTGGTTTACGGATTTAGTACCGAGCCATTCCTGATACCACCTAATATTTTCTAAAATAAACTGTTTTAAGTTGATGAAACTCATAAAAATTTGATCATTCCGGTGAGGAAATTTCTCTTTTGCTTCATGTTGCTTCCGAGGACCAGTGACTTCTCTCTTAATACTAATAAACTAGTTTCTAAAAGGAATTCCGCACTGTGCTGGTATCCGATATCTTCATATCTGCGTTCTCTGCCGAACATGATTTATCTAATGGTTTATGAAAGCAGTATGAGTAAAAGAATTCCAATCAAACCAGAAGTGGCGAGCAATGTTAGGAGATAATAATAGTTCCACGTAAAAGGCATTTTAGCGAGCATTTTTCCCGTTCTTAATTTTTTATCGGATAATTTATAAGTAAAATATTAATATATAATATATCCAGACGCAACCTTCCCATATTAATTAGTGTAATAAAGCAAAGAAGTTTGATAAAAGGGGAATATTTGCAGGAATTTTACCTTTTATGCGAGGATGTTCTGGATTAATTTTCAGTAGGTCTTGCGCAAAATATAAGGCTCGTTCAATATTTCCCTGTTTATATAGGGAGAATGATAAGTGTTCAAGAATGTCTTCGGTGCTCGCACTCGATGAATTTCCAGTTTCGAGCAAATTTAGAGATTCATTCATCCACAAAATAGCATGATAATGGTCCCCGCGATTATATGCTATTTTACCGATCTAAAATAAAGAAGTAATTTATCAGAAATGAAAAATCTCCTAGTAAATCTATTTAAGATGATGATAAATTTGATTTTATCAGGCAATAATTTAAAATAATTTTATTATTCGATTTTCGACTTTCGCTATCCATTCAGCATTCAGTATTCATCAATTTATATCAGATAAGTACCATTCTAGTAGTCAAAATCTTAGTATTCTCAATTTTTCGAGGTGATTTCATGATTGTTATATATGAATAAGTATGAATTCATTTCCAAGTCTCTTTTATTTCATTTCGCCTTAGATTTCGATTGATGTTAAACTGATGTCACTGATATCAATAAGACTATCACTAACGAAATATCTGCTTACTTCAAAGCAATCGTGACTCGTTAATCGAAAACCGGTTGATTCACCCAATATAATGCCTGAGGCAAACTGATGTGTATCGAGAAGGTAAGTGTCTTGTAAACGGTGGAGAGCTAATGCGGCACCTTCCAGATCTTCTGCTTTCGGATAAGTTATCTGAAATTAAAGCTCTTCAATTTCAGCTAAATGCAAATATAATTAAGCGAGGTTTTATTATATTGTAAATATTATATAAATATAAATATATAAATATTATAGGTCTTATAAATATTATATAATGTAATACGCAACAAAAAATATCAGTAAGATTACCTCAAAATTTTGCTTTGTGATATTTTTTCGAAGAAAATAATCAACACTATTATTTTTCATTAATCTCTCGACAGAGTTCCAGTCCGATGTTAAACTTCTGATCAGCAAATATGTTTTAATAGGATTTGCTTTATCAGATCCTGATATGATTACTTGATGTTGACGAGTAAATTCTTTCGCAAGTCTACAGCCATGAAATTCATACGTGTATATAAATACTCTTTTAAATACTCTTTTCAAAGTAGTACGCTTGTTCAAGTTTATTCTATTTATCTCTCTTCGGTCGCCACTTTCGCCACTTCGGTTTCAGTTATTTCGGTTAGAACCATAAAACGGAAGTCGCAAATTATAGGTAAATTTAATAGTAAAAGATTTGCTTCTAAATTGACGATTATTTTCCAAATCACTCGAATTTGAGTCATTTGAATGCATAAAATTCAGAAATTTTAGATTACTTTTATGAACCTTTTCTTTTAATAGCAAAAATATCAATAAAAATTTCAAAATTTTCGAAAATTAGAAAGAATTTACGAAAAAATTCTCTAAAAAAAACGGCCATTTCGAATGGCTTATTTTTCTATGCAAAAAATTATATGAGAAATCATCGCTAAGGAAAATTCCGAAAAATGAAAATAATTTTCGTAATTTTTAATTTTTCATCGAATTTGGTTTAACTTAATTTCTTTAATTAAATTAAAGAGGTTAACCTCTTCAATTCATTAAGACGTGCAGTTTCGCGATTTATATATTCAGAAATTCTAAAATTGTTCGCGCTATTCGCCGCGATTAACTCCTCAATATTCGACGTCGCAGTAAATATGTCGCTAAGGCAAATTGCCGGAAATATAAATAAAAATGTATGGCGCATCTAAATCCACAATTTTATAGCATTCGATATGCGTCGTATAAATTCAAAAATTCGCCCCTCAAAAGTTTGTTGTAAATAATGTTAATTAGCCTTAAAAATCTAATATAATTATTATATTATACACGCTTGAATTCTTTCCTTTTTCTAAGAGGTGATAAAGAGCTTATCAGATTTATCAGATTTATCAAATTTCTTATCGGCTTATCACCCCTTATCTGACTTCTGATTTGATAAGTCTGATTAGGTGATTTTGAACAATAAAATATTTTTGTCAGCTATGCAGTCCTTATGCGATGTTGTTGTTAGCAACATTATTTTTGTAAAATATTCGAATAAAAGCCAAAAAAAAAATTTATTTATTCGACAAAAAAATGAACGAATTTCAAGAAGAAAAATTCTGATCGATAGTTGAAATTTTAAATGATACGACAGCGACACATCGAGAAGAAATATGTTATTCGACGACGACCATCAATTTCTTTTATGGTAAAAACTTCATTGAACGAAAAATTACCGAAGTTGAAAGAAGTTCAGAATTTGAAAATTTTGATCGTTTATTTATTTTATTTATTTTGTCGATTAAGTGAAAGTCATTTAATTGATAACTGATAACTGATAAGCCTGTTGATTTACTGATAATACTTGATTAGTGTCCCCCTTGGCGATGATTCTTCTTCTGAAAAATCGCCTATTTGACAAGTATGTTTCGTTGTATGCTCGTATTATTCAATAATCACGACTCTCTGCATTTAACTGATGCATTTAAGTGTCACCTTTTTTACGCTGTTCAGGCCGTAATTTCTAGGCCACGGCCAATTATAGGAAAAAGGATTGGTTTCCATTCCATCCGCTGTTTTCAGATGGTGGCATTCAGATTTGGAGGTTCGGAAGCGGTCTTCAGATAGCGGAGCCAATTCAGGCAAAAGTGTGGCTAAAAGTTAGGTCCAACTTTTTATTGACGGAACGTCGAAAGAGACGCTGAAAAACCTAAATTCTCCGGCCCACACTTCCCCAATAGTCTTCCACCACCACTTCGAATGTTCATTGTTGTCCTTCATGTCTCTATTTTGCAGCACGGCCGCGACCATCTTTTCTTCAATATTCTATTTTGCAGCTTTTCTTGTTTTTGTTTCCCTCAATGCTATTTTCGCTTTGATGTTTTTGGCTTTTAGAACTAAATGGCTAGAGTTGGCCGTCTCAGGTTGGATTGGCCTAGGAATATGAGGCACCGGTGCCATCCATGATTTCTCATGGCTCAGATGTTTTCTCGTGGTAGAGGAAAGGGCGGCGCGTAAGTCAGTTATGCGAGCAGCAACCGTCGCTTATCATCTAATCTTTATCAATAGAAATGGACTTTTTAAGATATGGAGCAGTCGCAGATAATCGCCTCGAATTTGCGTGCTATTCTTTCGAGAATTCATGCGGCAGCAATTAAACAAAAACTCGAAAAGAGAAAGTATTTTCGGAATCAAATTCCATTGCTCGTCGCCGTTTCGAAGACTAAGTCGACCGAACTTATCGCGTATGGCGTTTGTTTATTCGTTAAATTTTATCGAAAGTTTTCGGTTATTTAGGCAGCCGCGACCAAATGTCCTATCTTTGCGCGCTCTTTTTCCTTTCCTTTTCTTATATTTTCCCTATATTTCCACTCTTATTATTTTCTCGCCAGAAATTTTTGGTTATTCATTTCTTTTTTATCATTGAATTATCACTGAATTACTATTAAATCGATGAAACTTTGCTATTGAACGGGAGATAAATCACAACACAATAAATCACAATTAGTTTTTATATAATATAATTTTATTATTTTAGTAGTTGTTACGAAGCCGGACAACGACACTTTGGCGAAAATTATTATAAAGAACTCGAAATGAAAGCAAATGAATTGCAGTCTCGGTGCCCAGATATTCGATGGCATTTTATTGGGCAATTACAGTCGAATAAAGTTGGAATTTATCACTTTTATGCTTTTATTTCTTTTCCAAATAATTCTCTTTTATTCTGTTTCTTAATTGAAAGGATTTTCCATTTTGCGATTTGTAACATATTTCTCTTTATTCGATTAATTTTATCAGAATTGGAAGGCTTTTTTCTTCTAAAAGTTCGCACTATTACTAATTGTTTCGGCTGCTGATCAAGCATGAAATGATAAAAGAGCTACTTCTTTTTCCACAGTCCAAATCCATATATCGCTTAGATATAAGAGTAAATCCAATATGTTTGAAGTCCGGCATTTTCTCCGGTATATTAGCCGAATATTGCTTAGCTTAGGCTATGCTTTCAGTTTTTTTCTAATTCTGCTTTATCAGTCTTGACTGGTTTCTCTTTCACATCAGATAGTACGTCAGCTCCTAGGCACTAGTGAATATGTCCTGCTCTAACTACCGTAGGCAAAGCTCTAAATTTTAACGAAAATGCAATCTAACTATCTACTCAGCGGCGCCATATTATTGGGTAAGAATGGTCAAAACTCGATAGCTTCCTGTTCCCCAGTATCCGTCTTCCATTCTCATTTGCCAGTCGTATAGTATAGTATGTAGCAGAATCGTACGCATTACAGTTTGATAGTTGTGGATTTTTGCTTTGATAGTGAATTCTTAATTCCCCCTTTCATTTAGCCATTTGATATAAGAGTAAATCCAATATGTTTGAAGTCCGGCATTTTCTCCGGTATATTAGACGAAAGGACTTTCATCTTATTTTACATGAATTCGTAGTCCTGTGTCCAATTTTCGTTATAGTTTTCTACATATGGTATCTATTGTAGTTCTTCATAAATGTTACCAAAAAAGCTATATTATCAGTTGTTCGGAGTCTATGATCTGATGATATAGCTTTTTTGGTGATATAGTTATAATATAGTTCGGAGTCTATGATTTGGTTGAATTGCTTTTATAGAACGCAATCTGGCTTCGAATCCTCTGTCTTGAAAAGTGTAAATATATTTTGAATCAATCGATAAGAAGAAAAGCTCACCGAAGACAATTAGAAATAGTGAAATTCGGACTGAGATACCCTCCTATACCTTTATTTCTAAGGCCTCTCCAAGGAAAGGGAATTAATAGTCAGTGAAGCCAAAAACCGCAACCACTTGTTTTTTTTCGCATATCTGAAGTACAGTGCAAATTTATTTCTTAAATAAAGTTATAAATTTCAACGTCGTTCAACAAATAAATAAAATAAGTGGTTAAGAAATTATTAACAACATATTCTCCTTTTTATATTTTAATATCATTTTCACAAAATTCCTCGAAAATTTATTGTTTATTGAGGACTTTATTGTTTTTATTTTCATATACACAAATTAGTTGCGATCCCCAATTTGTACTGTATCGAATCACTTTCTAACGAAAAGCACTGTTTATTATTGCATGAAGAAGCGTTAAAAAGGGGCAAAATTTTACGAGTTTTGGTGCAAGTAAATATAAGTAAAGAAATGCAAAAAGCTGGTACAACAGAGGAACAGGTATTGGGTTTTCGTTTATAATACCAAATTTTCGATATTAAATTATTAATTTCGATATTATTAATTTTTTTCACTAGTCTTTTACTTGTTTCTTTCATAGGCTATTGAAATTGCCAAATTTATTGTCGAAAAATGCGCATCGTTGAAATTTTCTGGTTTCATGATGATAGGGTCGATTGCTAACGAAAATCAGGACAAATCCATTGAAGAATTCAAAAAATTGTTTGAATTGCGTGAAAGGTTGTGATTTTCAGCATTATAATTAGTGTAATTTACAAAATTTTCGTTTCATTGGTTTTGATTTCTTTTAACAGTTTTTTCATATTCTCTAATATTATTCCTCTAACGGCTCGAGCCATTGTTCTGCTTCATTAGCTATACTATATATACTAGCGAATGAAATAACATTTTGAATCCTTTGCTGGTCCGATTTAATTCCTAAAAGTCACTGATTTTTCTATCGATTGGTTATTTTCTTTTTTGACGACAGCTAGAGAAGTAGCAAGATGGTGTAGCTCCTTTGATGGAAAAATGACTGCGAAGAAAATCGTTATTAATGATAATGGTATTTGGGTGGTAATAAATGCAGTCATATGAAACTTATACTTGAGAAGTAATGTAAGTTTTTTTCCCAATTTTTCCTAATTGTACTGTATATACCATAGCGTGATAGATAAGAATTTTTCTTTTGTTGATGATTTTGATGAATGATTTCGCGACAAATCCAAAGAGAATCCGCAATATGAATTCGAGATTTTCAAAGTCTGATATTTACTGATGAATTTATCGAAATTGCAGTCAGCATCATCTTGAAGTGTATACAAATATAAGTATTTATCTTATTTTCGTTGATTTAAAGGCTAATTTTCATTGTATGTATCCAGAACATTAGCAATATATCAGTTGATAATATTATGCTCTAGACTGATCGAACAGCTTTAAAACAGCTATAAATGATGTCCAAAACCCGTTCTGTCGCATAGCTGGTAGAGAAGAAAATGCCAGCTTTTGGTTCGAAAGACATGTTCGCCATACACACGTGCAGTAATGTACTCCTATAAAATAAAAATAAAATATTTAAAATATTTAAATATTGATCGAATCAAATGCAACGACGAACTCGATGAAACGATAGGTTGTTTGAAGCGGTCCAACATTCTTTCCAGCTTGCAAATTTGAATTTGTTATACTACGAGTTCATTTAGTAAAATGGTGATCAAAATCAAACATATATATTATATATATGTTATTATATAATATATATGTAATATATAATTAATTTATTGATTCGTCAATAGTTGTAGCAATGTTTCCTGTCATTTTCCTTGGGAATTGGGAGTAGAATTTTTTTTTTTGGTTGCATAGCATTTTTTCAAACACTAGTGGAAATAACCTTGTAGGAAATACTTTGTTGCTTTTTTTCTCGACTTTGTTGCTTTTTTTCCTATATTAAAAAATTTTATTCAGAAATTTCCATAGATTATTTTGCTAATAAAGTTCTCGATAAAATTAGGTTGTAAAAAAATAAATTGCTGTGTTTGATTTTTCATTAGGTTTGACTTCTTAGCTTCTCATATTTATAAATATATTCGAAATGAATCAATTACAGATTTTGCCACTTAATGGGATTGGAAGAAAATAATTTCGATCTATCAATGGGAATGTCGAATGATTTCGAAATCGCTATTCTCCATGGAAGTAGTTGTGTAAGAATTGGCAGTGCAATTTTTGGCGAAAGAAGCTAAAGATAAATCTAAATGATCATTTGTATGCATTTGTATTAGATCGAAAGTCGATTGCTGCTAAATTACTGCATGAATTTGGATTAAACTGAGATTTGAATTCTCTTATTCAATTGGAATTGTGTGATGTGATCATTATGGTTTTATGATTGAATTAAATTATTAATAAACGAGATATATTAGCGTTCTTTTTTCCAGCATTATATTGTTGCATAATCAACTCTGATATTTTATATCAAGTCAATTGGTTTGGTGAGCCGATTTCTAACCAATTATTTGCAAGATTTGGTGTTGATGTGCTTAATATAATTTATTGCCTTGGCTTATGAATTGAAATATGAATGATTGGTTTAAAGTCGAACAGTTTTGAATTTCTCGCCTACATTCAAAGTTATGCTTTTTTTTTCATTCGAATACGATAAGGTTTTTTATATTGAATTCATTCCGAATTCACTTATTCGTTTCTTCGTTGTTGCATTGTTGTAATAGGTAGAGGGATTTCCAATTCGACGAAATTGGCTAAAATATAGGCTCAAGCAATGAAATTTATTATTTCAGCATGTGTGTGAAAGATATTAAAATCAGGCATGAATTGAACGTTGTGGTTGAGAAATTTTTAGGTAATTCTGGCAGCGCTTGCTGATTAATTTCGCAATGATACAGTCTTCCGTTGAAGCGATATCCCTTAATTCTTTGTTAAAGCAAAATAAAACTGTTGAAGACAAGCAAAGAAATTCATTTCGGCCTGTCGGTTAGGCGTTTGTTTAATTTTTTTAAAGTTTACCATTGTGAATGAGTAAAGCAGTAAATGTTAGATATTGTTGATAGGAAAATTCCATTTTTCTACTATTTTTAAGCGTTGAAAATTCAACATAGTAGTTGTTGTTTCTAAAAAATCAATTAAGTTGTTATATTCAAGCCAACTATTTTATTAAAAGAAACTGTCGAGAGATATGCTTTTTTAGTGATGAAAACAGGTGTACTTGAAACGCAAGAGGGATCATCTTTCGTTGAACTCGGTACAACTAGGGTTACAGCTATCGTGTTCGTTTTTTTACCATCGTATTACCTTCTATTAAGAAAATAAGTTTTATTTCAAGTTTCGATGGTTTATTTTCAGAGATGGACCGAAACAAGCGATCAAGAATGTTGATGTTCATTCTCTCGAGGGAACCGTTCGTGTTTGTTCTTCTATTTATTTTTAATGAAAAGAATCTAGGAGAAAATACTAACCATTTATAATAATTTAGATCAAAAAAAATACAATATCAACGCATTATCTTTGTCTTCACTTATCCTTATGTTCAATTTTTTTACATCAATTCAGGTTATAGTCAATAATGGTTCAGGAATCGATCATTTATTGCAATCAGCTATGCGTTCATTAATATGTTTAAATCAATTTCCAAAGGTATTATATTATCTTTTTTAAAAATTTACGAATAAATCATTTAAATTAACGAATAAATTATTAAAATCAAAAATAATCATTTAAAAGATTAGTGAATTAGAGCATTAATTAATGTGACGAGACTATTCACTACGTATTATTCTTCGTAAATTTCAGGCACAAATAGATATAGAAATAACTGTGCTAGAAGATGATGGCGGCGTTCTCGCAGCTTCCTTAATGGCAGCTTCGCTTGCTCTTTGTCATTCTGGTATTCCAACATTGGATATTTGCCTTGCAGCGCATGTTGCTATAACCACTGATGATTATATCATTGTGGATCCATTTAAAAAAGATATGACTTCCAATGATTGTTTATCGGTGACGGTTGGAATTATGCCTTCGTTAAACCAGGTAATCTGCTATCAGCAATCAGGCATTTCATCTCGTGAACAGCTTTCAAAAGCTTTTTCTACTGCTTTAACTGCAGCCTTTCATTTATACAAAATATTTTGTGATGCACTTAGAGTTTCCCAACAAACTTAATATAACATTTGTCATGTCATATTTGCGTATACTTTCATTGTTCAGCGAATTATTCAGTTTCATTAAATCCGATTTCATCATTTTTGAGAAATACCTGGTAATGAATTCAAAAGCACTTAATTATTTTTGGCACTTTTGAAATAATAAAATTTATTTATTTTAATAAATATTACGCATTGAACAATTTAAAAAAGTTAAAAAAAGTTTTAGATAAATATGAAAAGTAAGTCGAAGAACAAAGAAAATTTAATAATAGTTTAATTTAAAGTTACGTGAAATGTGCGGAAGGTGAAAAGAAATATGTATCATTTTTCTTGAAGATTTTAAAGATGCGATCCGTATATATACTAAGAGTTGTTTCCGCCACGAAAGGACTCAATATGGCATAAAATTTGAATTTGGTACTTTCCTAAATGTAAAAAATTAATCTACTTATTATTGCACATGACTGGACAAATAATTCCCCAGCCAAAAGGATTTAATCAAAAAGAATTCCAAAAATTCCAAATTTTATTTTATTTATTTCACTGCTATTTTCTTAGAATTCGGGCTATTTCATTGTTTTTTTTAATAATTTTTATTAATGTAAAGATTGTAAACAAACATTAACATAAATGCAGTTTTCTGGTGATTTAATAAAGATTTCTTGGAGGTTTGCTCGTGAACAAAAATCTGCAATCTTACGGTAACACTTCTGCAAGCGTCGACGTTCCTCTTTACTTGTATATGGAACATGAGATAAAGAAGAACATACTTGACTTACTGAATTTTTTTTCAAAATAAAGTGCCACAAATCGGGAAATAATGCCTAAAAATAAGAGAATCACTAGCCAGCACTAACCTCAATAAACAATAATGAAGGATTTTCAGTAAAAAACAGTTACCGTATCTATCTCAAAATCGAGGGGATTGGTGAAAAGAGATTCAAGGACAGTATATGATTTCGACGCTTTTAATTTAGTTAATATGGAATCTACCGCCATTCGAAGAGGTTCAAACGCATTTCGTTCCAACGATATAAGAATCAAACAAGCTGGACTTTCTTCAGCAAAATATGTGATGTAGGCATGAACAAAACCTCTGAACAATGTAAATTTGGTAAAATTTGATTTAAAATACTGATTTAGTTCATCAGTCGTTATTTTCAGAAATTTATGAAGAAAAGAAAATTTTCACATTATTCATGAGAATTCATTTTCAATTTTGAAATAATTATAGAAAAATATAGGCTTATATAGTTAAGGCTTAGTCAAATATATAGTTTGGTTAAATGGAAAATTTATTATTGCAGTTTTAAACCTGTGGATTTATAATTTGAATTACTAACGCATCGTTAAAATGAGGAAGGCAAATGGGAATCCAATTATGGGCATTTTTTATTGATGGATTGCATTCCACAAGATTGATAATAATATGTAAATCGAAAGGATGCAATTGGACTCCATTCATTCTAACCATTGCAACCAACTGACGGTGAACAATAACAATGCCCAATATCACATTTGTTACCTGGAAAATAAAAAGATCGTGAAATGAAATTAAAACTAAAAATATAAAAACTATTACTATCTATCGTTTTGCCGCCAGATCTTGTGATCTACTTTCTTCGACAAAAACAATAGATATGGAATAAATAAATTATAAATAAAAATTGAAGTGGATTTATTTTAATTTTATCCCAAAAAAAATTTGTATTAGAATTCCGATTTATCCCATGTTTAGCTTTCATAATCATCCTGTTTAAATATTTATGTTTTAAATATTTAGAAATCCAACGCTTTATCGCAATTAAGCGAGCTCGATGGGAATATAATATTTTTGAAACATAGAAAGAAATTTCAATATAAGCATAAATAGAATAGCAACTTTTGAGCTTCTTCCATTTTACCATAATACAAATTCGAGAAACGAAAAGTTGCAATAACCTATGGCTTCAACTAACCTAAGACTCTGTTCTGTTGATATTTAAATGGAAAAATTTAAATTCACAAAGGCTAGTAACAACAATACCTCCTTATTGGGTGGATAATTTAGAAGAATTTGTAGATTAGAGGGAAGGAACCTAATCTTTTTTAATATGAGAAATCTTCTCACAAGAAGGGATTGTACAAGATCCATGTGAACCGGAAAAATTCTTTTCAAAAGCTTATCATATAGCTTGAGCACTATAAGATAAGGATATTCACCTACTGATAAGCTTGAGCTTGATAAAGATGTACACAAGAATGGAACAAAGGGATCAATCAGGAAATTCAAGGGCTTAAAAACAATTGAATTAAGGCATTAGCAGTGGATCAAACAGTCTAATCTCTCTTGTTCGAAATTGCTTAGCCTTAAAGTTTGGGAGAGTTAGCGTATGTATTCTTTTATTAACCCAATTTCATAAATAGCAACATTAGCATTATAGGAAATTTCTGAAATTTGGCAGCATTTTTGAGAAAAAAAGGGTAAAAATTTTCGGATTTTGATGCTATATATAAACAAGAAAAATTTTGTGTATAAATAAAATAAACCTTTGTATTATTTACACAATTAGAAATTGTGTTTGCAATAAATTCGCGCTCAGCTAAAGGCATTGGAAAGACGCGAACACTTTTTTGAAAAAAAGTGACGTCCGAACGATAATAGTACAGAATTTCACTGATCAATCGATCCATTCCTTGAAAAAAACCGAATAAATTCTCAAAAATTATTTAAGGGCATATAAAAAAAAAACTAATGAAAATGATGTACTTTAATAATGAAAAGAGGATTTGAAAAAAAACCTTAAAAAAAAGATTATTACCTCTCAGAAGAATCCTTAAATCGAAACTAGGACCCTTCAAATCGAAAATGGATAATAACTGTACACGACATAATACTGAAAGCACCTGAAATACCATTGCGAAATATTCAAGCACCAATTCAAATGTATTACAACAATGAATGCATGGTAGAAACTTTCACTCATCCATATTCAAAAATAAAAAAATAAACGATAACTACTATTAATGCCGATTGAGTATGACTAAATTTGGGATTTTATCTAGACATTAACTAGACAACTAGACAAAATTAAAATTCCATGAAATTTTTCCCAAGCAATTTAAAGAATAATACTTGTTTATAAACAAGGTCAATATGAGTATCAAGAAGACAATTATCTCGAACGATAATGCAAATGATCAATGGCCCTCGATGAGAAAAAGCAATATATAAATTGCCTGAGCACATATTAATAAGGCTATCTTCCCATGATTCTGCAACCATAACGAATGTTTGTATTAAAGCTGTTAAAGAACACAATTCTTCTTCGTGTCCACAAGAAGCGTAAATAGGTTTACCAACTTCGGAAAGTAAAAATACCTAAAAAATTGAGTGGTTAAACGATTAAATAAAGACAAAAGTTATCAACACAGGATGAGATCTAGATAAGTGAATAATTCGAAAAAAAATGCAAACATACAGTAAATTCACGTTGCGATAGCTTATTTAGAAATAATTCATCATTAAAACCTTCTATAAAATCATTGGCGAGAATCTCACTTGCAGCTGGCGATACCTGAAATATAACGAAAATACCCAAATTCAAAATTCATAAATGCGCAATTTTCAAAAACTAACTGTCTCATCGAGCATCACATTGTTGACATTTAATCCTTCTTTTGAATCTGAGGCGTCTATGCCAGATTCGTAGCTAACATCCGATTCTTCATCGGATTTCATCGTACTGATTTCGCGCGAAAAAAATTTTAAATTATTGAAATAAATCAAACTGGTAATTTTGGTTGATTTTTCATATTCGAGCCATTTCTTGACTAAACTTTCTATTAAAATACGTGGAACTGAAAAATATTTAAATTGAAATCATCATACCTATTTCATCTTTTTTTATTTTGCGAAAAGGTAGTTTAAGAACTTGAAAAAACATAAAACAGAATAAAATTCAAGACAATTTTCACGTTTTATACGAATTAAAATCAGGACAAAAATAATTATTGGACTAAATCATAGCTCCTTCTTTCTTTTTCACAGCTTGTTGACTGCGTTCAAAATCACCTATTTAATTTAGCATTCTCAAAGATTGGAAAGAATACACATTTCGAGTGATACTATGCGAAAAAATTTAAATAAAACAATAAATATTTGAATTTGAATATAATGGAATATACAACGACAACAATATAATATAATGATGGATGTATGATAATGACTAATCAAGGAACTCATCAAATCCTTATTCTTTTATTCTATAAAATCGCATTCCGCATTTCTGGTTTGATTGTCTCCACTGTTACTGGAATATCGTTGAGAAATAGTTTGCTTCGACTAAGGTCAAGTCATTATAGGTATTGGATTCCCATCCCTTGATGAAAAATTGTTAATAAAAGTGAAAACTGCTGTGGACATCTACCTCTCTCTAAAGTGGAGATCTAAAAAGACCTATTAGCCACTGCAATCAACTAGAAATGGTGAATGTGGCTAAAACTAAGGGGAGGAGAAAAAAGAGTTTAGACCTAGGCGCTGTCGTTTATTAATACTTTTTTCGTCTGTTTCTCTCTCCCACTGCCGATCATTCTGACGAATATTTTCTATTTAATAATCTTAATTTTTTATTGTTATTTAATAATATACAAAAATATAAATACATTCAATGAAACATATCGGAATGTTAGTATTATAAAGTAGATTTCGCGTCCGTTTGCTCCAGAAGCATCTAAATATCGTAAAATAAATATTATATATATATATATATATATATTCTGATTAATTCTAACAATATATGGGTGAACAAAAACTAAGAGATTTATAAAAGGAAAATCATTAAATGAAATCATAACCTTTTGAAGTAAAATATTTTTTGAAAGAGTTTCTTCCAACATTCGCTGCAAACGCCGATTCATGTCACGAATATCAGCAGAAGAATCATCTAATTTCACCATATCGAAAACGCGACGCAGACTTATACCTGGAAAATATTTCAATGTTATTTTAAAATGAAGATATTCCTTAGAAATATTACTTACAAGCTTACTGGAAGAATGTTGAGCTGACTGACCACCAGCTGGTCGCCCTCGAATCCATTCGCCAATAATTTCACTTTTTTCTTCCACTTCTTTTCTCAAAAGACGATTTTCTTCCTCTAGTATCTTTAGCTAAATTAGAAATGATTAGTAATGCATCCAGCTATATTTAATATTTAAGATATTCATTCTGAAAAGATAATTTTTCGTTAACTTTTCCTTAAAAATAACATTAATTACATGATCAACGATTTCTTCATGTTTCTTTTGCAAAGAGGTTAATCGACTAATTAATTCAGCATTATCTGATTCTAAAACCGAAATAGAACACGAACTTTCTTCACCATCACCAGTCTGCAATAAATTATTTTTGAAACAAAATTAAATATGAGATTAAAAATTTTCTTTTGTAAACAAAAAGTTTTATTGAAACTATTTTTCTTGGTCTTGGTATTTATTTTATTACTGACCATTACCATTTTTATTTTCTTTTCATAATAAATAATTTTGTTTTCTTATTTATAAAAAAATGATTTCTTACAAATAAAAGTAAATAAAACAATAGCAATGAGAAAAGATAAAATAATTTTCCAATTTTACGAAGAAAAGTCCAAATGACTGATGGGTTAAGCATGAAAACATTCGACCCGCTCAGACCTTATGCAGAATGTAAGTGGCTGGATGGTTTATGTTCGCTTTACAGGCGAGCATTCCAATATCTAAGAAATCGTCATATACGCTACAGACGAATGATCTTCAAGATAATTTAGCTGAGCTTTTAACATCGATACATCGATACTTACCTTGAATACACACTCGATATACCTCAAAAAAACGATCCAAAATTGGATGAGGCTACACATAGACCATCACCTTTTACATTCGGTGTATAGTGTACATTCGGTGTATACTTCATCGCTTTGAAGTATGAACTTCTTTCCAACAATATATGCATGCTTTCAGGATCGGAAGAAGAGATATTTAGTTACAGACGATTCTCTGGACCATCAGATTAAATATATAAATATATCACAGTATTTGATGGTGAAACTTTTAATCTCTACGAATCAGATTTTAGTTAGAGCCAATATTTAGATAAAAATGAACAATGTGGTCAAAACAAGATTCATGAAAACTTTTTGATTAATCATAAATTGAAAGATTCTACCATATTTTAAGCTGAAGTAGACCGAAACAGAAACAACACTAGTCTATTAATTCTAATTGAAATTTTGCGAAGTAGTCCTCTAAAATATTCTAAATCGAACCGACAGGACAAAGATAATATTCTACTGGGAAATAAGTCGGAAGAAACAGTCCAAAAATGAAAAAACCAGAACACAAATGCTCAATGGATTCTAATTACTGGCAGCTCCATAGACTTGTAACGATAGCAAAATAGCACGACAAAATGGGCGATGGAAGAATATCACAACTTCATTTGTGCAGCATGTTCATTGTACTCCAGGATAAATGTGGAATTAGCAACATTGAAGAGTGAGTGGCAATGGATTCGGGGATTTCTTATTGAAAATTTTCATCGAATTAGCTGGGAAAAAATTTAAAAAATAACGATTTATGAGTTTTTTTAGCTTCGCAAAGACCAGAATATTATTCTGGTCTTTGCGAAAGCTAAAAAAAAAAATTCTCAATGAAATGATCCGATAAAGAATTTCTATTAAGATTATTATTCACTTGAAGATAGCTTTCCTTGATAAATAAGATTCATGATGCCGACATTACTAATATCAGCTTTTTAATATGATATACACCAAGTTTCTTTCCTTTACACAGAGATTTTCGTGGAAACTATGTGTCAATGGGAAGATTAGAAGTACCTAATCTTGGTAAGGAATGTCAAATAAAAAATATTATTGGAACAAAAAATAATGTATTTCTAAAGTATTTAATAAGAGCCTTCGCCATTATTGGTTAGACTCATTCCGCTGGCTTCTCGCAAATATGCCGGGGAGTCCCTTGGCGATAGAAATGCAAATGGATCAGATTTTTGGGCAGGTTCACACCTGGAGAGACCTCAACATTCGGTACTCCGAATCGAGTACAACCCACTGAACAGCAATTCTTCTCCCTAATATATTAAATATAATGAACATCGTACAAGTATAGAATTCTTATCAACATCTGCTACATAAGCCCATGAATTTACGCTTGAATTTGTTTCAGGATCGAATCGTTTTTTTAGACGACAGTGATCGGATACAGCACTTGTTAAATGACCGAATCGATGTCGGAAGTTATCTTAAAAGCAATAAATAAAATTTTAAACCCATAGATGCAAAAATAGAACTATTGAAGAAAATAGTACTTAGAGAATAGAAAAATTAAAAAAGAATTTTTTAACTTTTAAAAAAATTTAAAATTTTACTTTTAATAATTTGAAATTTTTTAAGAATTTTATTTCAAAATAAAATAAAAAACAAACTGACCACTTCCCCCCATTGACGCAAGCATATCATTCACTTGTCGTTCAGCTAGTTCAGCACGTTTTTTTTCCTGTTGAACATGCCTTCTGAGTTCTTTGACCATCGAAGACTGCAAGAGAAATTTATTTAAAATTTATTTTACTGGAATTTCTTAAATAATAAACAAGTTAAACAAAAAAAATAAAAGAGAAAATCTCTGAATAAAATCATTCAGTTGAATAAATATTAAAATATCAAAAATTAAAATTTCAATATAAATATTAAAATAATTAAAATGGATTATATTAACCAGTAAATATATCAACCTCAAATACTTTTCTATATAATAAATTCCAGGTTTATTACATGTATGTGTTTGCAAAAAAACTTATCTATTTCCACCAAAACCATAAATATTTTGAAATATCTTAATAAATATCTTGCGGAAACTTTTCGCAATTATTCCGTTATCACGCCTTTATTCCATTCCTATTAATATGTTTAATAGAATGAATTGAGAATTTTGCCTTCCCATAAAAGAATGATTTGTTGGCTTATATCCTAAAGCTTATTCATGTGCACCTGTGTTGTATAATTGCAGATTAGGGACTTAAACGTGTATGCGTGAGAATTACATAGCATAAATATACATTTTTATTTGCATAAATGCATATGTGTGTAGGTGTGTGTGTATGTGTGGGTGCATATATGCATCTATATATATATATATATATATAGATATATAGATGCTTAAGTGGATATGTGTGATTTTGAATTACCTGCTTCTTCAGTGCCAATTTCATTTCTTCATCCTTTGCTTTCAGCTTTTGCTCCATTTCCGCTGACATAGATATCTTAACAGAATTCAAACCGTCGATCACATTTTTAAAGTTTGAAACTTCCTAAAATTAAACTGAGTTTTGAAATGGTAAAGGATAATCCAGGAATTTTTTAGATGTTACCAAATCTTACCTTTCTTTAAAAAAAACTATTACTATTCTACGCTGCCTTCTCAACTGAATGTTTGAAAAACAACAACTTTTAATCAAATTGATAAAGAAATAAGCAAATAATAAACAGAGGTTGCTGCAGCAATCTCAATTTGTAAACTTCGCAATTCATTTTCTTTCTCCTCTTTATAGGACATTAGCTGATTTTTTTCCATGTTCCATTGGTAGAGATCATTATTTCGATCATTCTAAAAAAAAGTTGACAAATTCATATTTTACTGTGATTTCAAGGAAATCATTCAGTGTTGATGACACACCAATTTTCTTTCCTTAATCTCAGCAATATTACTTATTCAGTATCACTTTGTGTTGTGATTTACTTTCATTAGACATGCTTCACCAAAATTTGAAAAAAAAAAATGAAAACGAAACACCTTTTCCATTTGCAAAGCTTCTTCGATATTGTGGAGTTTAATGCGAAGCATGTTATTAGTAGTTTTTTCTTCATCTATGGCATTTTGACTCTGATTGAGCCTTTCTTCGAATAATCTTTCCATAAATTCAAATTTGTCATGCACCTTCTGTAGCTCCTCTTCCATTAGTCTTGCTTCTTCCCTAGTTCCGAAAATCTGCAAAAAAATCAAGTAATTATAATTCATAATTCAAATTATTCTTCTCCTTATAATTAGGCTGATTCTGGTGCCTACAAGTAGGATAATTCCAAGATGTTTAATAACCGATTCGAAAACCGAAATAGTACCCACTGATATTTCTGTCGTTTAAGTCCATATGCTTAGCCTATATGTTCAAATTCCTCCGATGCAGAGAAAATATGGTAAATGACGTGATGAAGTTGCCAATGGCATTCGAGCGAAGGTGGAACAGTAGTCTACTCGTTCGAATAGACTCGCATTATATACTTAGATATGAATGGTTAAAGACAGGTAACTTCGTGATATCTCTCAATTTCACTGACAATATTTTTCAGCCATATAGGATTATGAACACTTTTGCATATATCGACTTGCGTTTTCCCACAAAGCTGCCAAAACTTCACAGTTTTTTCATAGAACAGATTGAAAATTGCTCGTCTTCTTTCCTCAGCAAATTTAGAGTATCTTGGTTCGAGAACAAAATTATTTCGATCCATTAGTATTATACCAGGCTCGATTCGCAGAATTTCAAATTATTAAACAACTCATTAAATCATTAAATCAAATCATTTAATCAAATCATTAAATTTCGACTGAATTTTCGGCAAAATGATTACCTCTTCACTTTGTGATGATTGATCTTTCCGGTCAAATCTCATTTCTATATCTCCATTTTGCTCGGAAATCTCACTTTTTTCCGAAATTCGTCGTAAATTATTAATTTCTTCAGAAATTGAAACGACCTTTTCATTGAGTATTTGGTTTAAATTTCGCTCATTAATTAGAAGATTTTGCGTGTTACTCAAGCTGCAAATTTAATTTGGCTAATCAATCGTTAATACCATTAATCCCAATCTATTTTCAAAATCCCCTCTTTTGCTATCGATTTATAAAATTGCAAAGAATATCTGAGGATGAGGGAAAAGGATGCAAAGATTTTAAAAGGATTTAAGAAAGAATAATGGAGATTTTCTACAGTTATAAGGAGATTTTACATAGTTTTGAGAAGGTACCACCGGATTTTGCACATTCCTCGCGCAGACTTATAACCTACGACTAGATCAAAAAATTAAATAAGCTATAAAAAAAAACATTCCAAGAATTCACCTTTGTTCCAACTGAATGATTTTATCGTCTTGAACGCTCTTTGAATGAAGCAAATCTTTTTTTAGTAAAGCTATTTCTTCAATAAGCATATCTTTTTCGGCAATCATAGCTTAAAATTTTTAAAGAAGAAAAAACTTAAAACTGCTCGCGAAATAGGCAATAATATTAACAAAATCTAACCTTTGAGATCAGCTATTTCTCTATTCATTTCAGCGACTGTATCTGAATGAATTCCTTTAAATTTTTTGTATAATAAATTTGAAAATCATGAAGAAAACACAAATAAAAATTATAAAATATAAAATAGCAATTTTTCTGGAATTCATATTTTAAAAAAAAGAAAAATCAATTTAAACATTACTTTCATCGGCAATATCAAATTCTTTTAATTTCGATTCCAGCATTTCACATCGTTTCATCACCTAAATAATTTAAAAGATAAAAAAACTACTTACTTAAATGAAAAGTTAAAATCGAAATGACAATTAAGGAAATAAAAAATAAATGAAGCGAAAGATTATTTAAATGATATTTTAGAGAAATGCTCGCTTAACTGCTGGCCTCAGTGCTATTTCTCGGTGACTCGCAGAAAGTGCACGGAGGCCTAAACTGAATTGAGTTGAATGGTGATAAATCGTTTTTTAATGAATACTTTATGCAGTTTATTTATTAAATGAGAAAATTTAATAAATATTTCAAAAATTCTGCATTGGTGGTGCACGTATTTTGATGGAATTATCTGAAGGGTATGCGAAATATGCGATTTGAATCGCTCTTTTCAAGCATGCAAAATCTAAACAATAGTAATCAAAGAATTTCTTGCATTTGAAAAAAGAAAGGATGAATGAAAATGACTTTATTTAATTCGGATAATAATGTTGTTTGCTGTAATCGAAATTCTTCTTCTTGTAGAGAAAGTTTCTTTCGCAATGTGAATATTTCCTCTTCATATTTGTCATTTTCCAATTTATCATTTCGGCGACCAATTAACTGGAAAAAAAAGAAGAAATTTTCGTGCAACTATTTCGCCACGTTCAACTTATGAAAGTATTGGACGAAGAAACTTAGCTATACTTTTTTCTGTATTTTTATTCCTATATTTTTCCACTCAACGAGAGAAGAAATCTAAAATTAAAATTCATATTCAAGCTGTTCTCTCGGAAATCCACAGATAGCTTCAAGTGTACAGTTGAAGCAAAAACGGTATCGCACCGCAAGGCGGCGAAACGAGTTAAACGAAGAAGTCAACGCGTATTTCTGGAAGGGAAATACACGGAAAGCGGTAGAAAATGGGTAACCTTAGAAGCGAACAAAAACGTTTCATTTCCCTTCGATGCGAATGAATTAATACAATTTCGTTGCCGCTGATTTTCTTCTATCAATTCATAATTCTTATTCCGCAAATCGATTAACTGCTCTTGCAAGCGGAAAAATTCTTCTTCCGATATCGTTGTTATTTTATTACTTCTTTCTGACATTTTTAACACCAGTCAATCTGCCTTTACACGCAAATTCATTTATTCGCTGGAATTTTCATTCATTAAAATTTCTAGAAAATTCAAAGAGAAAAAATAAAATTTAAGTGATTTTCAGCTAATTAATTAATTTAACAACAATAAAAGTAAATTAGTTAGTTATTAAATAATAACATTAATATTAACAATAACAAAAATAGCAGTAAAGAAAAATGATAATAATAGTAATAAAGGAAATAAAAATAACAAAAATAATAATAAATAATAACAAAAGAAAATACATCAAATGGATTTAAAAAAAATTAATTGTACAAAACTATAGTTTTTCGCCTTTTCTTTTTCCAGACAATAAAAATTTGTATGAAATGAAAATCCATGAAAATAAAAAAAACAGCAACCCAACGAATGCTTAAAATGCTTCTAAATTTATAAATTGTCCTCGACCGACCAATATTTTGACAAGTTGATAGCATTTCATTTTTATCCGACAAATAGTAATTACGTCTGAATTTTGAATGACCGTCGGCGTTCACCGTTCGGGAGACAAATGACTGCAAGAACTATCACTTTACGTGTGATGGCAGTGTCGTTATACGTCTCTATGTCTATGGCTCTATGGCTTAGGCTTAGGCTTAGGCCTAAGCCCCCCCCCCCGCTCGTCCGTTTTTGTTCTATCTGCTTCCACCATTGCCAGTAAGGTTGGCTGAGTTGGCTGCTATGGATGATGAGACGTTTCTAAAAATCTTTCCTTCTGAAGTCACATTTGATAATAAGCCAACTGTTTTCGTAAAATTGCTATGTTAAATGCAAATGTTAAATAAAATGCATTCGAAGTGTGTGAAGGTCTGCATTGCATAGAGTTATATCCTACAAAAACTCGTATATCTGAATAATAAATATAGCAAAAGAATACGAAAATAAGTGAAATTGAAAGCAAATTAAGTACCAATCACCGTAAGCGAGGTGACTTAGGTGTGGAAAAAGAAATGGTTGTTGCTTTCGTTACTTTCAGACGTGGCATCTATGACGAAGACTCAAAAGATATAGCGTTTATATCGTTTCTTTTCAGTATAAAAAGTAAAAAGTAAACCGTCCTCGCACACCTCAAACTTTTAGAAATAACGATAAAGTCGCATATATATACTTCATATGACAATAAAAGGCTAAGGTCAATCTACAATCTAAGGTCAGTTATATATTCTTATATTACTGTGGTTTAGTTACCCAAGTATGAGGTTGAAGGGAAAAAAAAGCTTTACAGATACGTGCGGTGATCAATACTTCTACTGTCCAAAACATGGTTTTCTGAAATATTAACGCGTGGCAGACGAGCATCATTCCACTGCCTTCAGTTCTATTTTATAAATACAATGCATCACTTGACAACTATTTGTACAAGTTGTCTCGAGTTGATTTCAGGTGTCGTTTTTCCACAGTCCCATTGAATTCTCGATAAACGTCTTTAGGATTTCCTGTTGACTTTATATAGAGCCAGACATTCACAGGTCCATATATGGGACATTCAGTCATAGGCTTCCCTAAAGTCAATCCAAGCTGTAGTGCTTTATCTAACCTGTTGTTTGGAGCCTCTGATTTTGTTTCTTTTTGAACTGCACTCATACTGGCTCATATGGTCATATATATATATATATACAAATTTATCGAAACGAGAATTTACCACACTAGACAGGACTCAAGATGCATACTGTGACAGACACTCCAAAAACAACTCAATATATAGTATGGGGATGTAAAATGCAAGCAGAAACAACATATACTAAAAGGCGTAACCAATGTGCTGGCATCATTTACAGAAATATTTGCTTGGCATATGGAGACCAAAGACTGAATGGGAGTTTCCCAAAAAATCGTAGAAAATAATTAGGCGAAGATCCTGTGGAACTTCTTTATACAAAAATTATCCGAATAATAGAAGAGAATCAGAAACCAGCATTGGTGATTGATATTGCGGTGACCAAGTGACAGGAAAGAAAGAATATGAAGTTAGAGAAATGCCGAGGGCTGAAAGAGGAACTACTTCAGAAGATATAAATGCCAAAGTAATTCCAGTGATAGCTGGAGCATTTGGAACTGTGAGCCATTAGAAAAGTGGTTTCAGCAAATTCCAATATCAAAGATCTCTGACCAGAACAACGCATTATTAGAAATAGTTAAAATATAATATTGTGCAGACCCAAATCTTCCAGGCCTCTGGTAGAGAACCAGAGATTGAGAATGACCATTACCTCAACAAGGCAGTGGGAAAAAATGTTTATTTATACATATAACCCCTAAAATATATTATATTTTACATAGATAGATATATAGATAGGTCGCAGGCAGATACAAGAACTTACCTCCGAAAGCAGGGACATGATATTTAGAAAGAGTGTGGACAATGACTGCTTGGCTAGCAACGTCCATAAGCGTTCTGACGTTCCACACTACTACGACTAACACCTCACCGTGTGTGTTAAATGCTAACTCTTTCGTTTCTCCTGACAGATTTTCAGTAATTACTTGTGAAAACATCATATTCTCAAGCCTTGAGGTTTTACTATTCCCGGATTGATTATATATTTATTGCATGTACTATCAAGCTGCAAATATCATGAGAGTCGAGGTAGCGGACACCATATCAAAGAGACCTGAGAGACCCTTTCACCATAGAGCCACTTGAAGATAAAGTTACGGGTGGGTCCCCAACAGCCGCCCGCATTTTTAATACGATGACAGGTGTATGTACTTCTATCGAAGGCAAAGACAAATAATTATTTAAAGAAAGGAAACTTATCCAATATGGAAGTTAAAGAAAAAAACTAACGTAATATCAATTAATATGAAAGCTCTTTTTCTATAGAACCACTCGTAGATCAAAGAATAAAATTTTCTTTAGGGGAGAGGTTTTAACACAAAAATATAGAAACTTAGACTGTGGGAAGAGTGGTAGAGAAGAGTTAGTTTCGGGAACGGCATCGGAAATTCTTTCCCCCTCCCCCACCATTGCAGCGACCCAAACCAACAACGGTGCGACTCACTAAGAAGAAGGAAGAATGCCGATACGATCTGTGCGTTTATATACAATTAGATTTGCCCTCTATGTAAAGTGTCACTTTCGAATGAAAGAAAGTTTGGAAGTAGGCACAAAGACGAGAACAGAAAGCTCGCCCATCACTCTCATCACTTCTGGTTGGGAAATGAGACACAATTGCCACTGAGCAAAAGTCGTCCGAGCGAAAATCGTGCTGCAGACCAAATCTAATTCATTTGTGTATAACACTGGCCTCGCAAAACGACTGGCAGACAAGATTAGACGTGGTTGGCCGACCAAAAACATCTCGTTTTCCGCCATTCAAACTAAAGTCTGAAGATCTCATATTTGACTCATCGTGAAATTTCACTTTGATTCCACGTTTTGACTTCAATCATCAATAGTCAGAGTTTGCCTCAGCTATCACTTATCACTTATCACAGCGGGATAACTGCTGTTTATCACTCGGATCGAATCCGAACACAAGAGATAACCGTCATAGAGAAATCTGCGTGGTGCATCCATTTGTTCAATCTCCAGTTGACTCGCTAGCGAAAATTCTCGCTGCGGCAAGCCAGATGGTTTTTATAAATATGCGAAAGACAGCCGCCAAGTTTTAATATTAAAATTTGAAAATATCGTAAGTGTAATTCTCTTCAGTTTTGCATGAAAAAATTTAAGAAAAGAAATTCTTAAATCGTAGACTACTGAGAACGTACTTTCGTGTCGGGAGCTGGCGAGTGATCCTCAAGAGTTTGAAGAGTTTGAGTTCAGTGCCAATGAATGGAGCGATAATAAGTGGGCTGTCAGGTTGTGTGGTGGGTCTCGTATCACAGCAGGTCCGGGGAAGGTCGTCGATACTTTTTTGCTTAGTCGTTGGGAGGGATCGCCCTCTTTCTCATTTGCTTTTTCTCTTTTTTATTTTTTATACTTCGATGTCATTTTCTCAACATAATTTTACAAGCGCATTATTTTATTTCTATATTATTTTCATCTATTGAAATATTTAATAAAGGGAGACGCCATCATTTGCAATGAATGGTATATGCTTTGAGCCAAGGTGGTGTGAATGCATAGATTTCTCTCCTTTCTAGCATCCAATATTGGGAGAAAAGCATAGAAGTGGAGATCTCGAACTCCATCGGAATTGGCAAAGAGCAGTCGCAAGTGGCAAATTAAAGAATTGTAATGCGGAATCTGTCAGGTGATAGATGCTGGCGACTCAGCTCTACTTCGTCTTCTCGCCATGTTGTCGAATTTATCTTATTCGACAAGCAACGGAGCGAGTCTAACTAGAAATGGTGAATGGAATGTCTTAGAGAAAAAGCAAAGAAAGATGGAAGTGATGGGCCAGTTGTAGAGCGGTGCGATAAATAAATAGGAATATAGAGATAGTACAGTAGGGATTTTAAGAGAATCTGTGTTTCGAGGGAACTCGAAAGGGAAATCTTTTTTGCCTATTTGAGGACGAAGTGGAAAATATGGATCAGATGATGGAGAGTCTCCTTAGATTGATGATTGATCACAGTGTTCGGTTTTGTAAATGATTTTGCTTGATCGACATTTATGAAATAATTCCCTTCAAAATATGATAATTTCGAGCAAATCGCCTGCTTGAATATATTTGAATTGTTTTCAGTTTCGATGGCAGCAAAAATCCTTTCGATTTATTACAAAAAAAATAAACTCGGATGTGCATATTATGAACAAAAAACTACAACACTCTATTTAATGTCTGACATTCCGGAAGAAAAGGAATTTCGTCATATTCGTTCACGTGAGTTCTGAAATTTTCTTCACGCGTTTTCGGCCTTTATATGCATTCCTTGTTTTCTTCAAATAGAGCTCTTCATTTCCGGTTTGACAGATGTGATGTGCTTGGAAATGTGCTACTAATTTCTTTTCATGCGAAATTTCTCTTCTAATATCGACTGTGAAGATTATTTTACATGATAGTGAACGAAGGTGAAAGAAAACGAATTATTAGCGAAGTGTTGTAGCAGTGGAATTTGGTTGGGAAATTTCTTGTAATGGGGTTGGTGATTTCTTTTTGGATTGCCATTGTTGGCCAGATAACTTTTGCAGAGCAAGGAGTTACTTGGCGATAGAAATTCAGAAGAATTTCACCACCAAAACCACCCAGATTTGTTCATCCGGGGCGTGGATTTTCAGTACCAGTGTCCTGGAGGAGCAGCTAACCCATTGACTTGTTGCCTTCCTTTTTAGCCTGTTTATGTGACTTTACTGCAAAAGAATACTTTTACTTCAAATATTCGGAAGCCTATTGTTTGGTTTTTTTTTTACAATACTTCAATTTGTCTTTAGCAGATCGTGTCCTTTTATAATTTAAGAGTAGATTTTCTTGTCCTTTGTTAATAAAACTGAAATGGTTAATTTTTTCGTCAATTTCATATGAACTACTTGATTAAATTCGTTTTTTCCCTTAAAATTTTAATAATTTTCATCAATTTTTATTAATTTTTTGTCATAAATTTATTAATTTTCTTTTTTCCTCGTCAGTGATTTTTAAATGTACATTCATTTATTAAACTTTTCGAAGATAAGCATTGTAATAGTATCGCTTCTTTTAGGAATTTCTACAAAAAACAACGATCAGAAATTGCTATCTTAAAAAATCAGTAATCTTTCAATTTAAAATCTTTCAGTAATCTAAAGTATTTATGTGACTTATGGAATTTTTTTTCTATTTCAGTATAAATATTTTTTCAGTTCTGCATCAAGTTTCTCCAACACTCTTGCTTACCAGTAAGAACGAAGATGTTGACCTTTTGAATTATCTCCATCAACACTGTAATTTTTATTTTTAGTTACTTTTTAGTTACCCTTTTACCTTAATTCTATTTTTAATATTTTGAGAAATTTTTCAAGAAAATTGTTAGACATGAGTTTCCATTTTCCATTTGAACAAAGAACATTTTTTTCCATCAATAAACTCAATAAGATTTTTGTTCTCATTATTCGCAAAAATTTGGCCTATTGTATCATATGAATTAATAATGAATTAATAATGAAATGGTATTTTTAAGATAAATAATAATTGCACCTTTTGAAATGTTAAAAACTTAAGGAGTCAGTTTCAGTAGTATGAAATTAATGAAATTTGTGAAATTTTAAAAAAAATACAAATATTTATTTTACTATCGATCCCTGAATCTCCATTGATTTTTCGAGATCTGTCGGCACCTTTTAAGTTTCCATTGGTCCCACCGACTGCATTAGGGTCTGTTTTAAGGTTTCTTCTTTCAAACAGAAATTTTATACTTTGATTAATTTTTTAAGGGTAGTTGGGTTAAGATTTAGGTTTTTTTTAACAGTATTTTTAAAAGTTTTTATATATTTGTTTTTATGTACTTATATATTTGTTTCTTTTTTCATTGTCATTATTTTTTTAATCTGAATTTAGGCCTTTCGAGGCAAGTGGAACGAGAGGATAATTTGAATGGGAATCATTGCCAAGAAAATGTGGAAACAAAGAAACAGAAGAGTGTGCCAAAAACAGGTCTTAAACGCTATAGAAATGAGATTGAAGCTAAAAATGGTGATGATAATAATGATAACCTTTCCGATTTTAGTGAAGTTATCTGTAATCTTCATGTTATGCCACAAATGGCATATGGTTAGATTTATTTTATTCATTGAATTAAATTAGAACTGAAGATTCATTAATTTACTGAATTTTTCTAATCGATTTACATCTTATCGGGGAAATTATAGATTCTAAACAATTTATTTGGTAATTTAATTTATTAAAAAGGAGTTAAAAGGTAAATAAAAATAAATATGCATTTTATGTGGATCTTATTTTTTGCAGATTATGAAAGTGGCAAAAAACGAATTGCTGCATTATTTGGACTTGGAAACGATGATAAAGAAGAATATTATCTTCAGTTGGCTTTTAGAATCGACCTTGCTTCTGTACACATGGTATGAAGATTTTTTTCGCAAGGAATATCAGTAAAATATCTCCTTATATTCCTGAACAAAACTCACTGTATTTTTCACTGTATTTTCTTTAATCCCTTCAAAAGCCGATGGTTTATTATTATATAGCCTATCTTGTGAGCTTTTTCCAGGAGTAATGTCTTTTAACAAAAGAATTGCACATGTGGTAGTTTACCATCTCAAGGTCAACAAGGGATCTATGGACTTAACATTAAGTTAACAATATATAGAAAAAATTTAAGGAAGTTTACCATGTTTACTCTTAAAAAAATGAAAACCATGATATTTAAAGGAAAGGTGAAAGGTTGGAACTAATTAAAGTTAATTATAATTCTGAGTCTTCGTCAGGAGGCTATAATGGTATCTAAGGAATTAACGTAAGTTCAAGAAAAAATTGAAGACAATGCTACTGAAGCATGGAAAAGTAGATTCAGCGGAATAAAGCCTATCATAGTTCTTTGAGGAACATTAATTGGGTATAACAAGCTCCGATTTGTTGGGAGTATGAAGACATTTGAAAGGTTTATGGGACCTAATGTAAAAAGATAATAAATTAGGACAAAAATCCTTTTTGTATAGAGATGGTTCCAAAGGGAAAGGATTTATGGTTTAGATTACGCTATTTAAGGAATTGAAGTTTGATAAAATTTGGCTGATTTTAGAGGAAATGATGTTTTTTTCCGGTTACATACACTACATTATTGTATAGATTATGTGGTGGAATATTTTTTTCGATTTCAGTTTCATATTTTTCCAGTTGCATTTTTACGTTTCTTTTTTTTTCTTAGATTCAGGCACTGGGTAGTCTGCTGAAATATTTAGACGCCATAAGGCTAGGCGTTGAATTCGAGGATCATGAAGTTAAAACTCCTATTACTAGTATCAGGAATTTTACCCTGTTAGTTTTTATTTTTTTATTTGACTTAAGTGCAATTTGGGTCCAATCTAACACATTTTTTTTTTCTGAGAGCGTTTACCATTTCTGGTTTGGCTCGCTCCGGTAATTTTTCGGATAAATTTTGCTAGATACGACAGAAGTAACAGATGAATCGTTAATCTCAGCTGAAATTTTTAAATAAAGCTTTATTGCCTGAGGGAGTTGAACCTCAGCATAAGCGTTTCCAAAGGAGAACAATTCATTAACCCCTTTTGTTCCTAATCCAATCTGGCATATAATTTCATTTTTTAGTGAACAGGCGGTTTACATCGATAAAGAAACGTTTAAAGCCTTGCAGATATTTCTAGAAGAGCGCCATCCATCTGCTTTCAAGGCTTGCACTTACGGTGGTACTCGTGAAGGACTCAGTATCTTTGAAATTTGCAATCGTTGTCGCTCGTCACCAGGCAAAAATCTTCTTAAGTTTGTCTTGAATATCACAATACTGTGGCTTGTTAAGGTTTTGCATATAATTTCAAAGAAGATAGACCGAAAGTTGTCAAGGAAAACAAAAAGTTTGTGCTGGGTAAGTAAGAAGGATCTTTGTAGATATATATGGATTTTTAGAAATATTTTGTCATTTCTAATTTGTTTTATTCTAATTTGTTAAAAGATTTGAATTGATCAACTATTTAATAGATAAATTTTTTCTTTTTAAAGGACTCTGACCATTACTGGTTCGACTCCTTTCGCTGACTTGTTTTAGACAAATATATACCAGGAAGCCTCTTGGTGATAAAAATACACATGAATCGCTAGCATCATCTGGATTTTAGACAGGTTTACTACTGCGGAAAATAAAATTTCAGCGCTCTGAACTGAGGAATAACCCACTGAGCCATTATATCTATGATTCTTTAATATATATATTTCAAAACGAACAAAAAGGTGCCAAAGCGTTGTTAAAAAAACGCTTTATATAATCTTTCGGTCTATTTTTTTTTTAAATAACGAAATGAACTGCAAATACCATGAATTATGTGGTAAATTTTGTAATTTTAGCCATGTAAAGATCATTTTTTTTTGTCACTTTCTTCAGGCAGTGGTTTGAAATGCCTACTTCAAATATAACAGTCCTCAAGAATCGTGCAGACGCAGTTGAATATTTTATTCAAGACGTTAATTTTGAGACAGTGGAATTTATACGAAAAACATTAAGACGAATTTTTTCTCTCAAGGTTTCATATTTTGGGTGGCTGTTTATTTTGTGCTATTCTCAATTAGAAGAAAGTTTTTATTCTATTTTATTCCTTTAGGAAATCCTGAAAAGGGCGAAAAGTGGATGTATGACAGTCAACGATTGGAAAAATCTTTATTTGGTTCGCATTTTTGATTTTTTTTATTGATGCGAAAATCTAATATCTGATTTATCTAATTTTTAATTTTAATGCCTAATTTTATAAATTTTTTTCCATTTCTGTTTTCGAAATTATTTCGACATTTCTTTTCGATTTTCTGAAGTCTTTTGGCTCCAGACTTGTTCAAATATGTTGGCAATCACTACATATATTGAAGTTCATGGCATAAAATTGGAATTAATTGCCAGTGAACTTGAGCACGTTGATGACGCAATTATTCGAATCACTGCTATTATGGAAGAAATGGTTAGTTGTATTGTTGGCGTTTACTTGCGTAAAACATCTAAAATTATTTCCAACATTTTCCACGCCAGTTTAATGAAATTCTATTATGAAATTTCTTCAGATAAATTTTGAGGAGTCCCAAATTGAAGATCGATTTATAGTTAATGCTAATATTGATCCAAACTTGGATCGTTGTAAGTTTTTCATAGATCTACATTGTTTTTAGCCGTTACATAGCTTTTTTTGTTTATTTTTTACAACTAAATCAAGAGATTATTTAATTTTTATATTTGATAATTATTTGATAGTGAAGAAAATTTACGCAAATTTGCCGCAAACTTTAACAGAAGTGGCAAATAAAGAAGCAGAAGTTCTTGGTAAGTAATCTAATTTAATTTAATTTCTTAACTGTATCTCGATTTTATATGGTGTTGATGGTTGATAGTAAATTGGAAGTTATTAAGTTCATTGATTTGGACTACTTTCTTCCTTCCAAATTCTTTGTTTTTAATCTCTGCTTTTTTCATATTTAGAACTTTATTTAAAAAACTTTAAACTTTATTTAAAAACTAATATATTATGAATCGTTCTTATGAATCTTATACAACTTGTAATAACCATCTGTATTTTATTTTATTCATACTTAATTTTTATCTTTTCATTCGTAATTTGACTTTAGTGGTGATAAAACTTTAGATATATTTAGATATATTTATTGCATACTCGATTTTTATCCTATTTTATTGCCATAATTTTTTTTTATTATTTAATTATTAATTATTTATTTTGTCTGATTTTTACCATATTTTTTTTCACCAGTTATTATTTCCATTTACTATTACCAACATTTTTTAGATCTGTGGTAATTCAGGTGTAGATTATTGCTCAGTGAAATACGTTCCCATGTTTGGATTTTTATTGGGACTGTCGAATGAAACCTCCTTGGATCCAACAGTTATAAATGATTTAGAGTTCATTTATGAGGCAGATGGATATAAGTTCATGAAAAATAGAGGAATGCGCAATTTGGACTCTGAAGTCGGTGATATCAAAATGGAGATTGTGGATACAGAAACTGCAATAATGTTAAGTTAAGAATTAAGAATTTTGCGATTCATAATAGCGACTTAACCGTTCTTTGACTAGCTTTTATTAGGACGTTTCCTTAAGAATTTGTTTATTTAATTTAATTTAATTTATTTATTTAATGACTATTATGACTGTTAAAAAATCTTGATTACTTATTCATTTAGAGACTTTAAAATTTTCCAAAATATATTTTTTTAGACTCCAGTCAATGGTATCTGAATATAGCGTATCATTATTGCATTCACTTCGCGCATGTGCCACGCTGGATTGTTTGATATCGCTTGCTTTAACAGCACGCGAATACAGCTGGTGTCGACCATTATTAGTCAATGAATCGGTTATTGATATCGATGGTAGCAGGCATCCTATTTCTGAATTATTTTCTTCAACTAAATTCGTTTCTAATCCGATAAGGTTTTTATGCTATTTTTTTCAAGGAATTAAATTTTGGCTGATATTTGGTTGATCAAGCGAATTAACATTTTTCCTTATTAATCGTGGATTTTTCTCAGGTCTGGTGGTCTTCAGACAAAAGTGAAAGTATTCGTTGGACCCAATGCTTCAGGCAAAAGTGTTTATTTAAAACAGGTATTTTTTTAAAAAATCTTCCCATTACTGATTAACTCGCTCCACTGGCTTGTCGCATTGGGCAATATGCCAGGGGGTCCTTTGGCGATAGAAATACAGGTGAGTCGCCAGCATCACCTTGATTTTCGGACAGGGTTTACTCCTGCGGAGAACTTCAGCATCAGTGCTCCCAATTGAGTAACAACCCACTGAGCCATTCTATCCCCAAGTTTACAAAATCATTTACAAATATTAACTATTTCTAAAACAGTAAGCCAGTTATTTATTGAAAAAAATTAGCAACAAAAGTTTAGGTTGGTATAATCATTTTTCTCGCTCATATCGGGAGCTTTGTGCCAGCCGAACAAGCAGTAATCGGATTATTTGATCGTATTGATTCTAGAATGTATGTTATGGACTGTGTTCAGGATAAAATGTCTTCATTCACAAAAGATATTTCTCAGGTATTCGTTGTTCATGTAATATTTTGTGCATTAGATTAAATTATTTTGAATATTTTGAATATAGTGGAGAAAAATGAATTGCTTGGAAAGATTGTTGAGGTTATCGAATTCAACTTTAAATTTTTTTGTGAATGATTCTTTTTTTGGCTAATGGGTCGAAATGAGGATTATTTATTCTTTCATTCCTCATATGGCTTTCTGCCAAAATGGTAAAATATGTTAATTAATAAAGCCAGCGACAGAAATATTGCGTATCAGAAGAGGAAGAAATTTTAATGATAATGAAATTCTTATAGTGAAGAATGAAAGTTTTATTAGATGTGATTTTCTATAAAATAAAATGGATGTACCGTGATCTGATCTACCGTACACTACACTAAAAAGAAACAATGCGTCACTTCGAATACGAGCTCAAGCATTATTAATTCTTAATTCTGTCCTTGCCCCTGGTTACGAATATACTTTTCAAGATTTATAGTTCGATTTTATAAATATTTTATAAGCAGAACAAAATTTCTCCCACACGCTAACGGAGTGGATCTAATCAGAGATTTTTTTTAATTTCAGATTTCCGTTTCTTTGCAAAAGGCGACTTCAAGATCACTCGTAATAATAGACGAGTTTGGCAAAGGAACTACTAATGTTAGTTGTTGAATTTATTATTATAATTTGTGAAAGTTTTTTTGCCTTAATATAATTTCCATATATTATCTGTATAAAATTTAGAACTTACCGAAAAATGTGTTGGAAAAAAATTGTTTCTTTATCTTAATCGCTATATTTTAGGAAGTTGGTTTGTCTTTACTAGCAAGTTCATTGAATTACTGGATCAGAAAAGGCAAAGACGTTTGTCCACACGTTTTTGCCAGTACTCATTACCATTCTTTGTATAAGTACCTTGATTTACGAAGTGATATTTTATCATTTTACGTGCGTTTTTATATTGCTTTTATTATTATCAATAATTATAATCATCAATAATTTCCTTATTATTACCTTATGATCAAATTGAAAGCATTCTATTTCTTGCATTTTTTTACAGCATACATACATAAAATATTTAATAAATATTTAATTTTCTATTACAATTTTTTTAGGCTATGGAAGCAGCTGAGGAGAATGGTGAACTCGAATTTTCATATCGCTTTATTCCCGGAACCATCGATATGTCATTTTGTAGTTATACAGCGAGAAAAGTTGGCATTCCTTCCACTGTAATAGAACGAAGCAATCAGGTATTTTTCATTTAATGAGTATAATTTATGCTACTTCCACTGCCATCCGTGTTTTGCTATATATGCCGTATGTTTAATTTTTTTTGTTAGATATACGAACAGTTGAAAGCTAATCTTGCAATAATTCCTATTGAACTAGTGGAAGTTGAAAGCGATTCTTCGGCTGACTACTACAGAATTAGCGAATGTTTTTTTGAGTGGGATATTGAAAACGATTGTGAAGGTATTTTTTATTGCAGTATATTAGTAAATTTTTTCATTTTCAAAAGTTTCTGCTCGAAATGCTGATATTTTTTTACTAAATGTTCTTAGTTCTAGTTCATGTTGACCTTGATCAAAAGCCACGTATTTATTTTTTATTCCGAGTTTTTGATTTTTGGTAGGATTTCTGAACTATGCATCTTCACTGTTATCCGTTAATCCTCTACCCGTTCGTAACAGCGCCGAAGAACAAGAACATGCTGATATTAATTCAGAGAATAACGAAAAATGTGATACTGATGAATATTATAATGAAAAACAAAAGTTGGCTTGATGGTGTTAAACTTTTTTTAAACAAATATTGGTCCCAATTTTAGAAGTCCCAGTTTTTCTCCAGATAACTCGCATTATTCCCTTTTAATTGATTTAAATACATTCCGTCGTTATCCTTATGATAACTTATCTTTCCGTTTTGTTTTGTAGGATTGACAGAGAACAAAAATCAGTATCGTCTTATTCATTAAGTAGTGGCAATACGCCACAAGTGTCAAAATCGCATGATAGCATACTATCTGATGTCGTTATCAAAGCTTCAATACTCAAAGCTAATCCCAACCAGGTCTTTATTTATGTCGTTTTTTTCGGAAATTAATATATTTGTAATTTTTTAAAGCAATGGAAGGACGTTTGATTTCCTAAATTTCAATGCACTCAATCTGTAGTACTATTGTAGCATTAGCCATTAAATTGTGGAAATAAATTGTCGTTTATTCAGCAGAATTTATTATTTTATTACAATATTATAAATTTATTTTATTATTAAAAATAAATTTTCACCAATAAATCGTCGCTTGACTCAATTTTACAGACATCAAGGTCCTCCAGGAATGTGTCTTTTATCAGTCCAGTTGCTTATTTCGAATCCTGATGGTTTCCGTTCTTTATTTTTAAAATTTTGTTTTCAGTTTTTAACTAGTTTTGTTAATCCGTTAGGATGAATTGGCTGAAATTATAATCTATCCTACAGAGGATTTTATTTTGTCTTTCCAGGATATTTTTGCAAACGAAAAAAAGAAATTCTTGAATAAAAGTTTATAGAGAAGATAGCTGCGCTTACGTGAATTCCTTAATAAAGTGTATTGTTAATGATTACTGTGCTTTTTTGTTAAGATAAGCGAAAATATTGACAAATATATTAATAATGTTACAATAAATAGTATTTTATAGTATTCTTTTATTATTTTCTGTAAATCTTAATTTCTTTTTTGTGTTAATTGTTTTTTTCATTTTCTTATTGCAATAAATTTTTCTGATTTTATATTCTATTTTAAATAAATGAAAAGCTATTTTCTTTATTCACTTTAATTAAAACAAAAAATTTAGAAAAGCGACTTATTAACGATTATTTACTCAATGACAATTCAATAATTTGCCTTCGCGTAAAGACTTCTACGATCCCTCTCGGCTGGAAATTTCGCTAAGGAAAGAAGAGTGTACCACTGCGACTAAGTTGTGCCTCCATTTGCTCAATAAAATTATGCCTTAATATAGCTAACCTATACCTTAGTCGCCAATAAATCGCCCATTTTTGAAATCAACTTGAAGTCGAAATCGTCATTTCTTTATAACGAGAAATCTATGTTTCTTAATTCATTCCTAATTTTTGGTTTATTCGCTTGATCGATTGAATTTAGTAAAATATTTGTTTTGCAATTATTTTTTAATCGAAAAAATATTTTTGTTGAATGCAAAACAAATGGAGAATATAAATGAATTAATTTAAATAATTCTGATTAAACGAATTCTTATAAATTGAAGATTGGAAACAAATATTTGATAGATAGTCGTTGCCAGTTTAGAAGGAAAAGTTTTAGACATTCACTTTCATGCCAAAAAAATTCAGCAAATTTTATTGCAGAAAACGATAAGATTACTTATCATTTATGGTTTGGCTTGCTCTTGATCTTTGATTATTAGAATGATGCATTTACATAGATGACCCTTCCAGCAGAAGTCAACTGGTGACAGAAGCAGGGGTGGGAGGGCATAGCACTGGCTAAGAGATTCGGAAGCCACGTAGAAATCGGAAATTTAAAGAATGAACTGGAAAGCTTTAAAGGCAAACTGGCAGATATTGGCGAAGAAATGGTTGGATTAATTGGATTGATTATTGATTTCAGCGTCCTTCTAGCAACCTGGAAGACCCAACAGACTGTGCGAATTCGACAGAAGAACACTTGCTAAAGCCAAACGAAAAATAGTTAAACCTACCGGAAATCGAATTCAAACGAAATCAGTGAAAATGGGCGAAACATTGAATGACCAACAAAAAGTGTAATGTGCGCGAGGTTTACAAAATTATAAATATTTTCTGAGTATCTAAATATTTTCATTTTCACGAATGACAGTTTTTATATAAACGACAGATAAAAATGATAAAAGGCGCAATGATAAAGAAGTTATCAGAGTGGATTACATGCGACAAAAAACGATAAAACACCTTGGAAGTTATCTAAATGATAAAATACCCTGGAAGAACGATAGACCTCGGATCTCAGAGAGAACCAACCAGAGAGGAACGGCAGACCATGTCTAGAAGCTGACAGAAGCTGATGACCTAGCCTCCGACTTCCGACGCCTGATCTCCAACCTGCCAGCAACTTCTGAGGAGGTCAACCTTTCGTCGGTTTGGCTTTTAAGCTTTCCAGTTCATTCATTCTTTGAACTTTCGATTTCCTCATCGGTTTCCGCTAATAAGAACACCGACGCCACTCATCCTATGTAAAATGATGGGAAACAACGAGGACACTTCGCAGAACTCACCGGCACTCAGTCGCGGTGCCTTCACCGCGTTCACCTCGGCGAACGATTCGGCGAATTCGGGTCCCCTTCCCTTCCCCGTTGCCCAACTCGCCTATTTCCTCGTTCATTACTCCCCGTTTTCTCTCAAATCTTCCCTCTCTCTCTCACAACGATATTTCAATATTTCCCACAATATTTATTAAACCGTGCTTAACCTTTCGAAGTAATTTTTAGCTAATCAATAGAATAAAGACCGTATGACGTCATTTTCATGTTATTTCTCTGAATTTCCATGCCACAAATTATCAATTCTCTCTATAAATATAAAATTTCTCTAATTCTCTTCGAAAGCATACTATTATGCATCTTTGACATTCTCGCGTCGCTCGCAAATTCTCATGACATCCCATGAAATAAAAGTCATGAAAGTCAAATCAAAAAATACAGTAAACTTCCCTTATCACCTGGAAACTTTCGGTCACTTTGTGAGATAAACTAAAAAAAGGTGGAAGAGGTCTCAGGGAGGTGGGGGGGGGGGGGGGGGGGGGGGGGGGGGGGGGGGGGGGGGGGGGAGGGAAATGCAGGTCGGATATTGTGAGTAATAAAATATGAAACGGCTGGGCATTCGTAATTTGTATCAAAGAACGAGAGAACAACTAATCAGTCAATGGTAATAATAATTATTTAATTAGTAAATTCAGTAAATTATGTATTATTATTATAAAAATAATAATACAACATTAATAATAATTAAATAAAAACAATAATTAATAATAATAATTAATTAATAATAATAATTTATTAATAATAATAATTTATTAATAATAATTAATAATAATATAGGAAACGAAAAAAAGAAAATAAATGAAATGAAATTGAAAGCAAATTAAGTACCAATCACCGTAAGGTGATTAGTGTAACCTTTGCTACACTGAGCTATGGGCCTTGTTTTTCGCCTATTTTGCTCATCACAGCGTTGGTTCCAGAAATCTGGAAGGCCATAGCTGGGGCTATAAAATGCAATCAGTTTAAGCAATAATGGTGTTAGACGCGTATCAGACGATGTTTTCAGGTCTAAGTCGGTAGCAACCTATATATCTTGCGTACGATAATTTTGCTCGATGTCACTGTTATAGGAAGAACAGACAAACCTAAGCCTAAGCCTAAGAGTCTTTCGTATGCCGTGAAAAATCTGACAGGTGACAAAATATAAATGCAACAATGAGCAGCTAAGCAAAGCAAAAATCTTACAAAATCATAAATCATCAGACAAGAGAGTGTCAACTCAGCACATCGGTGGATGAGCCTAAAACCTCGAAGGTGGTGCGATATGCCACGTGTTGACACGTTGACACGTTATTCAGACTCGCTTTATCATCCAAAAACGCTACGTTACATTCGGGAGGAAAATGAATGCAGTGCAAGAACGTGAACGTGAATGAAAAACTTCGGTCTATGAATTTTAGTGAAGGAGTTTGGGAATATGAAAAGAGATTAAAAGGATAAATTTAATTGTTTGCAGAGTGTTTTAAAACACTCCTCGAGACACTTTTAATGAAATAGTTAACTAAAGGAAAAGCGAATAACCTTGGAAGCCAACTGCAGCACAGGCCTCTGCATTATCAATCACAGTGGCTGGCCAGCGACTTCTCGCAATGCATCGCAAATAAAAGAAGAGTTGGCGAAGTTCATTTATCATTCCTAAAGTAACGCTTTATAAGCACTAAACAATCGTAAAGCCTCATAAAATTTGCCTTTTTTAATAGAAACTTCACAATTCAAAACACATATCAATCAAAACAAATTATCATATCACAGCTTTGAACAAACATCGTGGGCTCGATTGCTGCCATTTGGCGGAAGCAAGCCTGTCATTAGAAACAAAATCCAAATAGTAGGGGGCCTAGGGTGCACTGCTGTGCAAGAATGGTTCCTTGGCCTCCTGGGAAATACTCTTATCTAGTGGAACCACACTAGTAGTAGTGGTTAAATAATGATCAGAGCCATTTCTAGAGGATTTGGCGCCCGTAGTGTTATACGAGGCATCACTTATAAATAGTACGATTAGGTATATTGAACTGCAAGTTGTATTAGATAAATTTCGTGAGAGAGCCACGCTGGAAGTACAGATGAGACGAGCAGTCAGTCAGCCGCAAAGGATTTTGCAAAAGAGCTTCGCCTATGCGGACCGTAGAACTCTAATGCCGATGTTTCGAGATGAGACCGACAATCCAATGTGCCATTGAAGCAAACCTCATTTACCCTCTAATATAGGTAAAAAAACTGGTGAAATTTAAAATTTACTATAAAATTAAATATCGCAAAAAAATTTGCCAGAGTAGAATACAATTTTCGCATACCGGCTGAACGCTTTTCGAGGAGAGAAAAATATTCTATGGGATGGGAAGAACGAGCGAATTGCTGCCTAACTGCCTTCTGCCTTCAACGCATTATTTTCATAGATCTCTGCTATCAGTGCACTGCAAATCGCTAATAATAGTTTAATAGTTTTGTAGATGGCGAAAGATGCAAAGATTTTCTGGCCGTTCGGCGTTTTCCCTCGCCACTACGGTGAATATGCAGCCCTTCTGCAGTTATTGTTATTATATCGCCATTATTGCACTCGTTTATACCTGCGCGCTTCAGTCTTTTCCGAATTCCGATCATGGAACGGCTTATTCGATAATAAATGGCGAACGTTGGTCGCAAACGAGGTTTTTTCTATTCGTCTTCTAATATTGTGCAAAACTGAACGAACCAACTAATGACGAAGTGGAATGGCTCAGTGGGTTTCTGGCCTTACTTCCAGGCGCTGATGCTGGGGTTCCACTCGCGGCAGTGGACTGGTCTTTTGAAAGTCCCGTGACGTTGGCTCCTGGCGGCGGAGCGCGCCCGACTTCAAGCATTTAGCGAAAGTGGAAATAGGAATATAATTAGCTGTCCACTTTCTATTTGTTATCACAACTACTGCAAACATTCTTGCTTGATTCGGGGTTACCACTGTCCACTGCTTGTCTTCCGAGACTTTTTCACCAGAGAGTTGCTTTGGCGCAGAAATGCAGTTGTTCTCTAGCATTTTCGCGCATTTCACTTAATCAACGACTCATTCAAATTTTATATCCGAACGAGAATCGATCGAGCCCTTCATAGGTGATCCATGATCAACCAATTTATCTCTCGAATTATCCGGTATAAGCCGGCAAATCAGCGAATCTTTGATTGGAACACCATTCATTCCCACCGCTCTGATTTTTCAGCTTTATTTCTGTCAGTTGCGCCAAATGATAATCCATGTAATGTTGCGCTCTATGCGTCTCACTAAGCTCGCATAAAGTATGGCGTGAGATTGCATCCATGAGCACGGAACTGCTTGAATCCAGGAGGTTTGAAATCGAATTGTTTCAATATGATTCAGTTTTAATCATTTTCAGGCGAAATATAAGAGCAGCAACGGCTCGTAAAGAACGCATATGGCCAGACGGAGTGATACCCTACGAGATCTCGAATAATTTTTCAGGTAACTCAGCTTTAACGAACAGCAATTAATTTCGCAGGTGAACATAAGTATCTGTTTCAGAAAGCAATGCGTCACTGGGAGAATCACACCTGTTTGTCTTTCGTGCCCCGTCAGTCTGAACACAACGACTATATTATTTTTACCGTTGATAAATGTGGGTAAGTGACTGACTGAATAACATTATTTCAGAGCATTATACTCGAAGGCATATATTTTAGCCTATGGAACGAAAGTTAACCATTTGCCAGTTTTTTACTTTAAAAATAAAAAATTTCTGCTAATTTCTGCAAAAGGGAATGTATTTGCAATAAATATTACCCGAGAGTAAGGTCCGAGGGTTTTCCCTAGCCGTGTAAATCTGTGTGCAAGTATTTTGCATCCGCAAAATTCGCAAATACTGGCAGCGTTTTCCAGAGAAATAGAAAGCTCCCTTATCGATTCAGATTTTTTCTTTAAAAATAGATTAACTCCCCTCATTTTATGCTAAATTATGTTCGTAAAAATATGTGCTTCCACACATATTTTTCATATGACATTTCAAAGTGATCTGAATATTTTCACACTGCTTTTCTTGATAAATTTACAACGCACGGTTTGTGGTTGGATATCTTTGATGAATATTTTGTCAAAAGTGAAGTCCTGGGTGAAGTCCTGGTGGCACTAGTTGGGTACCAAATGATTCTCTTCCAAAGGATTCGCACCTTAGTGGCCAATCGAATTATATCAGATTCGATGATGAAGAATTTCGTGAGAAATAGTGTTTTGGACCGTTGTTGGTTTTTTCAATTATTTAGCCATAAAATATCTGCGCATTTTAAATAAATTTAAAGAATCATCTAAAATCTAGTTTCGTATGCATAAAAAGTTCCAGGTGCTGCTCATATGTTGGTCGTAAAGGAGATGGTCCTCAAGCGATATCAATTGGGAAGAATTGTGACAAATTTGGTATTGTTGTACATGAACTGGGTCATGTTGTAGGATTTTGGCACGAGCACACAAGGCTTGATCGAGATGATTTTGTCGATATTTTTTATAAAAGCATACAACAAGGTAAGAGAATCGCTTGTCAGATTTTAGATATTACAGATTTAGCTTTTCGAAATTTGAAGCAGCTCATAAATTTGTTGCTAATGAATTTATCGCTTGAGATTTGAGAATTGCAGCAAATTCTGGAGACATCGTTTATGGCTAAATATATGAACAAAATAAAACATAAATAATAAATAGAATAGGATAATAGCATAGTAAATCGAGCGTTTTTTTCTTCTTCTTCTGACAGCTCTCACCATTACTGGTTAGGTTGGTTCCGATGGCTATGAAGATAAGACGTCTCCAAGCTGTTCGGCTTCGGTTCGACATCATCGCTGATAGTAATAGATAATAGATAATAGTTATAGATAATAGCCATGTAATGTTGGCTGGTTAATAACCCTTTTTTCGCTTATCGATAATTAACTGATGAGTTACTCTTTGTTAAAAGTTTCAGCTCAAGATTATAATTTTGACAAGCTAAAGGCAGATGAAATAGATTCGCTTGGTGAACCATATGATTATGCATCAATAATGCACTATGCGCGTGATACATTTTCGAGAGCGATGTATTTGGACACAATTCTTCCTAAAGGAAAATTTAAGCAACGACCTGAAATAGGACAACGCATTAAATTGTCGCCGGGTGATATTTCACAGACAAATAAACTTTATCGCTGTCCAGGTCAAATTTGAATTTTGTCCAGATTTTTTCTCTATGAAATTTCTTTATATACATAGAATGGATGGATATATTTTTCACGAAATTTCTTTATATACATAGAATGGATGGATATATTTTTCATGTACTTAGTTTCGCAGATTGTGGTGAAACCTTAATAAATGAATATGGCAAATTGCGACTTAACGGCGGCTCAAATTGCCATTGGAGGATTATAGCTGCAATGGGCGAACTGATTGCTTTGAACGTATCAACAATTGGATGGCCATTACCTGTGGATGACTGCTCGACGGAACGTGATAATTATTTGATCGTAAGAGATGGGCATTTTATAGGATCGTCGATTCTTGGTTAATTATTTTGCTTGTTACGACTCAAGCTGTTCTATGCTTTTTGTTTTCTGATTTTATTTGAGAAAAAGGCATGACATGATAATTTATTCAAAAGAAAGGTTATAAGGGGATGGAGAAAGATGGCTGATGACTGATCACTATTTTACGAATGTTTTGGAAAGAAATTTGCAGGAAAAAATCTGTTAAATATAGTCCTCCAAATGGTGCTTGGAATCAGCCTGGAATGTTTTTCTCCTAGTGGTTCTTTAATTAGGACTTCTTACTTCAGTAATCACTGAGATAATTAAGCAAAAAGTGGTGCGATGGTGTATAAAAAAAGAAGGAAGAAAAATATATCCACCATAAGGGAGGTATAAATTTCAGGTAAAATGTGTGGTGGTATATCATTTCGAACATTCTTCTCAACGAGAAATCGTCTTTTTATACAAGCGCATATTTCTATACCATTAAAATCCGTTTTTGGCCATTATATTGGTTCGCAATTCTCATTTTATCTTATTTGCATAAAAAAAAACATAAATAACCGTTTGTTCAGTTATATGTGGTGGTCGCATGGTCGGTGACAATGGTACCATACAAAGTCCTCTCTTCCCTGAAAATTATTCTCCCGATGCTGATTGTACATGGACCGTAACTGTGCCAAAAAATTATCAAGTTGCACTCATATTTCAATATTTCAATGTTAGCAGTTAATTTTTAAATTTGGTTTCATGCTTTTCAAATTTATCAATTAAGCGAATTGTTAGGAAGTGCCAAATTTTTTATGGCTTTTCCTTAGAGCTATAATGGCTCAATGGATTATTATTGGAATCGGAGTGTTAATACTAGGGTTTTACTTATTCCTAGCAAGAATAAACCATTCATGGTACATGAATCTTTTTCAAAAATCCGGGATGCTGGCGAACCATCTTTTATCGCTATTATCTTTTTGGTCCAACAAGTCAGCAGAGCGATCGCAACCAAAAAGCTCATCGCACGTTCTTCCAAAAAAATTGGATTTTACTAACTTAACTGCCTTCACAGCCTATATTTACGAAATAATTGAAGACTTATAAAGAATCATGTTCACGGTTTTCTTTTTAAAATTTTCTACATTACAGCTCGAAGCACATCGAGATTGTGTTTATGATCGATTGGAAATATACGACAGTGCTTTAGTCGATCCTTCCTTGCTTATTTCCAGGTTATGTGGCCAGGTAAATCCAAGACAAAAAGATAATTTCGATGGATAAAATTAGCCAATCTAGTTTTCTTATTAGTTGTAGGTGGAATCGTTGTATCATCTAAAATCCATGATATACTACCACACATTTTACCTGAAATTTATACCCCTCCCTTATGGTGGATATATTTTTCTTTCTTCTTTTTTTATACACCATCGCATTAACAATGGTTTCAGACTATCGTTAATTCAATTGTTTCCAAAAGTAATACGGTTTTACTTCGTTTCAAATCGGATAGCTCTGTGCAAAAATCGGGTTTTCATATTGATTTTACCAAAGGCATATTTATTTTCGTTTTTTTTTGTTTCACATTTTTGTTTTATTTTAGCTTTTCTTAGCACTTTGGACAGTTCGATATTACTGCTTAGTAGTAGCAAAGTTATATGGCGGCGAAATATGGTTCACTGTATTCCCTCGGTTTAAGTACAGTACAATAAAATTGCAGAAAAGAATGAGTGCATGTTAGAAATGCATGGTTGTGAACATCGTTGTGTTAATGAAATCGGAGGATTTCGATGTGAATGTAATATAGGATTTTCACTTCGTGAAGATGGTCGAACGTGTCAAAGTTATTGCTTTTTTATTTGCAATTTCAGTGATAATTTTTTGCCAATAATCTATCCCAACAAATCTTTTAACTTCAATAAGTTGCAAGGTGAGGGGTGTTTTAACACGTCCACAAACATTTCCAAAACATTCCGAGAATGTGCCATCAGATTGCAGATCGCGAAAAGCGTTAATACAAAAGCATACGTTTGTGTCAGAAAACCGAATCTTCTTTTAACTCCATTCCAATATTTTAATTTTTTATTGCACTTAATTTCCCTCCTTTTCGTTATGAATTTCATTTACAGGTACGTGCGGTGGAGTCATTAAAGCGTCAAATGGAACTTTTAAAAGTCCAAACTATCCTCGAAATTATCCTCCTTTAAAAAACTGTATTTGGCAAATCGAAGCCGACGAAGCATATCAAATTATTGTGAATTTTACTCATTTTAACGTGGAGGGTATGAAAACGGAATGTGCTTATGACTATTTGCTGATTAAAGATGAGGGGGGTAGCGGAGAGCGATACTGTGGAGATTATAGTCAATCGCTTGTTTATACGTCAACATCAAATCGAATTAAAGTTCAGTTTGTGTCCGATAATTCGGTAAGTTTATGTTAATATATTTATTATGAACACAATTCGAGACTTGTATTTGTTTGTGAAGAGGTCTTATCGTGTTCAGTAGAGCCAAGTAATGCAGAAATGCTACATGATAAATGTTGGAAAGTGAAGTGAAGTGAAAGTAAATATAAAAGGATGTGACATTATTTATAAGCCATCAATATGCGATGAACTGGACTGATACATTCAGTCGACCTGCAGTATATGGACTAAGGCGATGGAAAAAGGAAGGCAGCTTCTTTTACCATTAATGATGGTTGAATCGAACAGCTTGGAGACGCCGTCTTGCCCTCAGCCAGCGGAGCCAGCCTGACCAGTTAGAGTGAAAGCTGGAGAGAGAGAGAGAGAGAGAGAGAGAGAGAGAGGGAAGATGCAGTGATATTTTTTTAGCAGAATTTTCACTTCATATTCCTTCACATTCCTTCTTGTTTCCAAATTAATTTTATGATAGATCTTTAGGTCGAAAAAAGTGGGTTTCTGGCATATTTTATCACTGATTTAGATGAATGCCGGAAAAATAATGGCGGTTGTCAACAAGTATGCATCAATACAATTGGTTCACTTTCATTCTTTTTCTTTTTTCGAAATGATTTTTCTGATTTTCTCAGCAGTTTGCGCAGTAAAGCTTCGTAATCTTTCTACACACAACAATGTTTTAAAAAATTTTTTCATCATGTAAGGAAGTGCATGATTGCTGCTTCTATAAATTACCAGCTCGCATGCCACGTGGAATTTTTAATTTTATTGTCGTTGCTTGTGCCTACAACAAGTAACATTAAAATATTCATTAATGGCAATTATCTCAAATTCGAAACTTGAATAATTAAATTTAGGTAATTTACTTCCCATTACCTTGAAAATATCAACCATTTAATGAATAATAATAATATTAATATTAATGATATATTACAATAATACTAATATTGTAACATTATTATAATAATATTATTATATAATAATATTATATTACAATAACATATATTAAGATATTTTGATCAAGTAAATTATCAGTATTAATGAAAAATAAAAATAGCAAGAAATTACAATATAATATGCAATAAAGAAGCAAAACACCTAGGAGCGTCTAAGAGGAGAGATGCTAGGAGAAATTCTACTTTCGGTAGTAATAAACCTGTTTTTCATAAACCTGGACAAAGATGGTGAATCATCTGGAATTCTATTTTACTCAAGTGATTCTCTGCGAAAGTTCGTTTTATCAGATAAAGCCAGATGAGTTAGTCGAACTGGTGATAGCAAACTCCTAGAAAAATATGATTATATTTTATATTTTTTCACTAAATTATTTGCAAATTACGAATTCATCTGCAAAGTTTGCGAAGCTTGCTGCAGACATTAGTGTGTTATCTGCGAATTTTACGAGAATTTTTAGAAAATTCCCTCCATGATAATTTCAGTAATATATAATAAAATATATGATATTGGATAATGAAATTTAGCTTTTATTTTCGCCTTTAAATAGGATCATTATGGAATCGAAATTAAAAACTAAACAGCTGTCCTGTTATATAAAGAATATCATAACTGATAGTATTATCTAAATTATCTAAAGTTTTATTATCTTATCGGCTTTTTTTTAATCGTTCTTCAGGTTCATATCGATGCGAATGTGAAAATGGTTATGTTTTAGCAGATGATAAGCACAATTGTAAAGAAGGAGGTTGTCATTCCGAGTTACACTATCCAGAAGGAGAAATAACTTCTCCGAATTATCCTTTAGATTATCCTAAAGCAAAATCTTGCAACTGGCACTTTGTCACAACACCAGGTCATAGACTATCACTAGTGAGGAATTTTTCATTTTCTTATTAAAAGCATAAATCATTTTATTAAACAAAAATAATAGTTTGGAAAAAAACCGCTAAGGACAAAAGTAATTCACACAGTCGAACTTGGGCAATCAGTGTGAATTCGATTTCTGTAACTTTTCAAGTTTAAATCAAGCGAAAGGCATGCTGAAAACCGGTGGAGCGCTGGAAATCTGTCTGTTTCTAAATTTTTGAATTTTTCTGGTCAAAGAAGTTTTTAAAATGCATTTTTACATAAATCGCATTGAAATCTTCTTAAATTAGAATTAGAATTAACTAAATATTTAAAAGATTTCTTAGAATTCATAATTCCAAGAAAATCTAGAATTGCTTTTTTTCCAGACGTTTGAAGAATTCTTATTTGAAGAACATAACGCTTGTAAATATGACCACATAGAAGTATTCGATGGTGGTGATATTTTCGCTCCATCGCTTGGAATCTTCTGTGGAAGCGAAGTACCATCTAATATCCAATCCTCATCAAATCAGTTATTCTTAACCATGATTACTGATGCTAGCGTCACTCGTCGTGGTTTTAAAGCATTCTACTCCTCAGGTGATTTTTGAAATTATTGGTGAATTTTGGAAAGTTGCTCAATTATTATTTCGTTTTCACCTTTCTCACTATTCTCAATTTTTCTAACCCTACATAGGATTTTTTAATGTCAATGATGAGAAAGTAGGAAGGGCTGAGGAAGGGCAGAAGGGAAAATAAACTTTTCTATTTTTTTACGTGACAACCAAAAATACTAAAATATCCACTGAAATGAAATTTAATATTTAATAAATTTAAATTTAAGTTGTTATTTTTTTATTTTAATAATATTTAGTTTGCGGTGGAAATTTGAAAGCAGAAAGTTCGGTCGGTTTTATTTATTCGCATGCTCGATACAGTGATGATAAATATGAGAAAAAAATGAAGTAAGAAATGTTTTGAGGATAATTTTGGTTATATCCAAAGCTAACAACTTCTGGCTTGTCGGGTTAATATGCCAGGGAGTCCCTTGGCGATAGAAGTACAGATGAGTGGCCTGGCCAACATCGCTCTTTTTGAAGGAGGGCAGGTTCACTGCTGCGACATCAATGTTCCAAATTAAGCAATAACCCATTGAGCCATTCCACTCTCTTTTGCTTTTCTGTTAGGAAACTGACTGACATTGCCGTCCGAAGAAGCATTATACCTTGGCCGGATTCGAATCGAAGCCTCGATTCTCGGTGGCAATTATCTTGTCACCGACAGACGAAACCAGTGAGTATAAAAATTTTATATTCTTGGAAATTTCTGAAGCGAAACTCTTAATATAAAAACTCTCTTATTCTTAGTGAATGAATTTAGAAAATTCCAATGTTTTGATTAAAGTTTGTGATGTGATTTGCATAATAAAAATTTAAGCCTAAGCCTAAACCCAAAAAGATTTAATTTTAGTTGATCAAATACAAATAAAAAATAATTGTTTGAAAAATCACTGAGTTCATGAATATTTTCTTGATCTAAGTAGTTATTATTATTAAAAGATTAAAATTTGATTTAATTAATAAAGTAAAATTTAATTTAGATGTGAATGGCGTATATTGGCTGGTATCGGACAAGGAGTTGAAATTAAATTTATGCAGTTTGATCTAGAGAGAGAGAAAAATTGCGGATTTGATTACATCGAAATATACGATGGGAAAGAACGAAATGAAGAACGTCGAATAACACGTTTTTGTGGTAATCAGGTGATAAATTGATTAATTGCAAATTATCTGGAAATTTTTTTCAAAATGAAAAAATTTAACATTTAATTCTGATAATTTTGATAATAATATCCGGCAAATTTATGCGAATGAAACATACTCTAATAAATCATATCGCAACCACTATCATCTAACATCTTTTCACAATTAAAGGTCCAATTAGAAGTCTGGTCGCCAGAAAGTTCCTTAAATAAACAGGCGAAAATTGATCATTGATCATTAAAAATTGATAATTGTGATTGGACTGAGAATCATCCGGACTTTTATCGATAGGTTCGCCCCAAGGAACAAAGGACACATGAGGCGTTGAAACATCGAGCGTATTGCTTAAAGAAAAATAGTCTCATATACCCACCCGTCTCCAAAATCAAGATCGCAAATCTCGAATTAAAACTTAAGTTGGGACAAATTGTATTCCACTCATTTTTGGAAAATGCTTATTGGATAGTTGGATATTTAGCGGATAATTTAGTATAAGCTAATGGTACTCTCGGGCAGATTCTGACGAAGAGTTTGGATTTCTATAGTCTTCGTGAAAGATTGTCTTGATAGTATCCCTTAAGTTATCACACGTGAACTTATAATTATCATGAATTCATTCTCGTTATTATAATTATGATTGCAGCTTCCTCCAACATTTGTATCAACTGGAAGATGGTTATTATTAGTGTTAAATACAGATGATTCGGAGGAAAAGAAAGGTTTTGTCGCAGAGTATCGGTCGACGATCCCAGCTACAGCATTACCTTCATTCATTCCTACTCCTCGTCCGCCTCGAGAACCCGTCATCAATAACAACTAAAAGAAAAATCTGAGCCGGCAAAGATTAATTTTTTTATTGCAACTAACATATTTTTCTGCCTTTTTCGAGCTATTTCTATTCTATAAGTAATTTAAGCAATACTATTAAATAAATTTTTAGTTCATTCCTGGCCACATTAAACTATTTTGCCAAAACCATAGCCTTTTATCGCGAATGAAAGACGAATGACTGCTTGCTATCCACTCAACTGCCTCCCCTCCCCGCCTCCCCACCCTCCTCCCTACTCGCTCCTAAAGGTTAATCAACTAACTAAATCGCTCTTTTTGTTTGTTTATTGGTAAATAAATGCCGTTGTTTGCAAATATAAAACTGAATCAAATTAAACAAAAGTGTAAAACCAAAATTAAATTCTAAATGAATTTTGAATTAAATTAAATTAGATCAAAATTGAGTTTTAAACAATTTCGAAATTTATTCGTGTTTATGAAAAAAAATTTCAACCGAGTTCTTCACGACTTTTTTTTTATTTTTCAATTCTTCCAATTCTTCAATAATTTCCAATTCTTTGAGTAATAAAAAGTAGAGGCGAAAAATAAATACAGAAAATTGGCGCAAATTTCTCGTCGACGTTAAATTCGATGAGAAAGATCAAAAGCAGCGTTCGAGAAGTTCGCGAAGTGCTACGAGGATTTTTCGTTCAATCTTCGAAATTCACTTTCTTAGAAAATGCTGTGCTGCTTTGCTGAGTTTACCCATCATATTCTCGCAACGAATTTTGGCACGTCGAAATAAAGGAGATTGGTCGAAGGGAACTCGTGCTTAGAGAACTCGTGCTTACTTCAAGCGAGTGAACTACTCGAGGATCCTCGACAGCTAACCAGATTCACTGCTATGGAAAGAGAAATCATTTATCCCATAACGAGACAAATTGTGAAATTATGAAACAGCAAAAGTAAAACTAAACTAATGAGCCAAAAGCGGAATATGGACAAAGCCTCGAAGTAAGCGTTGGGCTCGGCCTAAGCCTAGGACTAAGTCACTTTATACGATTTGTTTTATCGTTTTTATATTCGAGTGAAATGTTTATCTGATTGATTAAAATTTTAATTCTCGGGCTAAAGCGATAAAGACAACATTCAACTTTATCGAGTACATACCACACTCTCGCATGCGCTAAACAAACTCTAATGAATGGAGTTGGTACTCGCAAACGCGATCAACGAACTAATTCTTATTATCGGACATATAATTCACAAAATGGAAAAAACAAACATTTTGAGATCCTATAAATTAATTAAACCAAATGTGTTAAATTTCTCAAAAAACACGATAAATACAACAAATTTTGCCGAAAAATAAAATTGATATAATTAATATAATTTTTGGAAAGACAAATCTAAATAAATGAACAATAAATGAACATTGAAGATAATCATCACCACACATTACAACAAAAATTTTTAATACATTAATATTCAAAAGGAAAAATTCAAAAATGTTTGAATAATTTGAATATTTAAATTAACATTTAGAATAATCGACTGTACACGTTGCTCGAAAGAGATATCGATGACTTATGGGAAATATCAATATCAATGATATATATTTGTTCTTCGACTATCAATAACATAAATGACTGTTTAAAAATGATTAAGAATATATTGTGACAACTTCGGCACCAGTACCACGCACTAGAAGAACTCTTTGTAAACCTTCTGTCAATTCATCTATGAAGTCCATATCTAAAATTTTTATTTTATGACAACTTATATAAATAATAAATTATAAATTTTTTACGACATTACAAATATTTTTTAAAATTTTGGCTCTTAGACAAAGAAACAAAAGATCGCAAAGATGAAATAATATCCGACAATATTCATCAACAATTCAGATATTTAATGAATAACTAAAAATAAAAATGCGATTCGAAATCCCTTTGCATTCGGCATAACATGGAAGAATTTAGAATTAAAATAAAATCCAGAAAATCATAAAATATAGATTCCATTATATTACCACTCCACTTATTATTCTCCAATAATTTTCAATGCACTCATTTTAGCAAAAAAGGAATTGCAAAAATTAAGCCCTAGCAGAACTCGAATATCGAGCCAAAATCCAGTGGGTTCGGTTGTAATTTACAAGATGATTCGAATTAATTAGAGAATTTGAATTTCTCAATTTAATGGCTTTAAAATAATCGAAAAAAGATAGTTTTTAATAACTCTTTTACAAATGTATTGCTTTCTCAACGACAATTCTGTCGCTAGCGGATTTGAGCAACGTTACCGAAGCGTCATTGAAAGACGACGCAGGCTTGGATTATAGGCTGTTAGTTATGTTCGGTTACTATATTACTATTTCTTCATTTTAATCGAATCGAAAAAATAAATAATAAATATACTATAAAAAACCTTACAGTACTGTCCATCATTTTCATGAGGTGGACCGGGAAGATTTAATATTATTAACTGAGCATCCGAACTTTTTTCACGCATTAATTCATTCAGTTTAACAGCCGTATGCATTTTTCGAACATTAAACGATTGTATTTTGTCGTATCTTTGCTGCTCCAAATCAATCATTATTTCCTCATTTTCTTCCTCCTTAAAAAATTCCGTTATCATAGTCAATTAAATTTATTCACTTTGATTAATAATTGAAAAAATTGAAAAAATAAATTCCATTGATACTTGTGTTGAATCACTGAATCGCACGCATATTCCATCACTTTTTTTGCTGGAATCCATAAAATGATTGCTCATATCGCTTTCCTCCAAAATAGTTTCACTATCGACGATTTTCTCAAACTGAAAGGTAGAAAAAATTGAAAATTTATTTCTCGACCATCATCTCTCTTGTTCACATTTCTAAAATATGAAAATACTAAAGAGAAAAATGAAAAATATGTTTAAAAAACAAATAAACCAAATGGCTCGATGGTTCTTCTTCATTGATCTTTGATAAACGACGCTCTCGCGCTGCTTCTGTTACAGCATTCTGTAGATCGAATTTCTTTTCACTTAGTTGCAAATCTTTCAGCAATTTGCATCGTTCCTCCATTTTCATCGTCCTTTCATATGTGTATTCAGATATATCGGAATCCCGCTTTAGAAAAAAAAAAATCACTTGTAAATTAAATCAACAAGTGCGTCTTTTTAACGATATTTCCTCACTTTAAGACCGAAATATACTTAATGGAGAAATTCTTTTTCCCAATAAATTATTTAGTCAAATTACGAATAGAATGATACATATCAAAACATTTCATTTCTTTATTTTATTTTATTTCTTTTTGTTCCATTTTTTTCATTCATTCAATTTTTTCTTTTCTTCCAAAAATCTTTAAGGAAGTTAGATAAAGTCGGTAGAAATTACCATTTCTATTACGAAAACTTGAGCTTCGATTCTTAGGTGATACAAAAAACTTTCCAAGTCTCTTTTCATTTGAACGCTGTTATCGCCAACTTGAGCAACTGTATATAATCTTAATAATACATTCTTCCACGTTCTGTGTTTCTTCAATAAGAATGGCAATAACATTAGAAGGCCACCGTCGTGTACTATCCACCACACATCTACGTGACCAGAGACCTAAATAACATAATAGTTAAGCATATCCATATGAATATAGATCTCTGAAACAGACCTTTTCGTGGGATTTCGGAAATAATCGTATATTTTTTGGCACAAGTATGGCACATTTGGCCGCTGCAGCTGCACGAAGAGTGCTAGCGAATAATTTACAGGCGCCTGTATCATTAAGCGATCTCCAAGCATCAGGCCATGCAATAACCACAGTGTTATGCCGAAGTCCACCTAAACCGGAAGTCTGAAATAACTTGATATATCAATAACATCAAGGAAAACAACGCTTCATTAAATGAAAAAAATAAAATGGGAAGCAAAATACTGACTTGAACGAGGCATGATATACCTTCGATAGTATTGGCTGTAACAAGAACATCACAAAAGCCTTTGATCTTGTGCTTTTTAATCAGATGAATCAATTTCTGAAAAAAAGGAAAAATATAAAATTATATAAAAACATATAAAATATAATAAAAAAAATACCATTAAAGTAATGAAATAACAGAGAACGTAAAATACCATCAAGTCAATGGATCAGTGAGTTATTGCTATAGTTATAGTCATTTTTTACATATTGATCATTTCAAAAACTGGGTGATTGTGATCAATTACGACCCACCTATACACTTTTACCGCTAACTGACTCCCTGATCCAACAAGATGACAGGCAGGAATTCTAACTAGCCATTCAGAAATAGTGAATGCTCTTAGAAAAAAAGTGCCGTCAAAACCTTAATAGTAAAATCGACTAACATTTTTATCCTCCTCAACCAAACTTGCTTTTTCGATAAAATCACCCTGAATACATTTTGCAACCAATGTAAGTCCTTTTCCGGCTTTCAGCTGTGAAATAAATGATAACATTGCATCCTCATCTTCTCTATTATCAGGATCAATAACTAACAACTGTGGTCGCCAATTCTATAAATATTATACATTTTGAAATTCTGAAATTAAAATTTTTAGAAAAAAATAATGGTGACTGAAAACAAATTTACCTATAATAGTTATAATTTTTTAATTGATTTTTCTAATTCATTTAATTCATAACTCGTCATAAATTCATAACATCCTAGTTAAGAAATATTTTTCCCGTGTTTTTTCTCTCGAATATAGGCGAAAAATTATAATCCAGATGGATGATTGGACTCATTCCCATCTCGTTTCTTTCCCGTTGAATGGATTTTCCATTGAAAGAACAAGCATCCCAACGCAAAATGAGTTCAAATATTAATGATACTTGGAAAAAAATATGCGAAATGGGTTTATGAAATAGAAGGACGATGGTAATGTGCAATGAATATTTTTGGAGACATGGGAACTTAGACAAAGGTCCTAGATTCATTAAGGAAGCAATAGAGATGAAAGGACTATGTGCAAAAATTTGGCCATAGAGCTTATAAATATTGGTAGCTGATGTCCTTAATCCAGATATTGTGGATATCGCTTTCGTGAAAAATTTTCTCACTCTCACCTTCACTTCGAAGTTATAGTATATTAGAGAAAATGTGCAGCCTATATCACTGTTGTATACAGATAAATTGGGTCATGCTTGTAATTGAAGAAAAAACTAATTAGCAACATATACGAGAGAGTGAGCATACGAAACTTCATCCTAGGCTGCTTTCTTTTCCCGATAGCCTAGATTATGGATATTATTCTTCGGCGTCCAAGAAGTGGGCAAATCAACTTGCTATGCGTAATTGGTTCAGTGGCAAGATAACTGCTACCGATGAGTCGATGCATTTGAAATCAGGTTAACGCATCGTATTGTCGAATGGAACAAGCACAAGGAGTAGAATTGCTCAACCCACCGATGTTAACCCACCGATCCTGGGGTCCCGGTAGGAATAAATCTGTCCAAAAATCCGGGTGATACTGGCGACTTACCTGTGTTTCTATCACGAAGGGACTTTTTGGCATATTTGTCTAGTGCGACAAGCCAGCAGAGCGAATCTTACCAGTAATTGGTGAGTGCTCTTAAAATAAAAAAAAATCACGGATATGCTAATGATGTAATTCCCACTAACAACATTTATAACAATTTAAAAATAAGGAAAAGCCGCGAATTCAATATTAAAACAATTTCACTTCGAAATATCTTGAATATAATCATATTTAAAATAAAACAAAAAAAAACTTTTGTATGTTGCGGTTTAGTATCAATATTTAAAAGCGCATAACGGGCAGCTGATAAAGCAAGGCCTCGTAAACCATCGCCCCACTCTTTTTTTGCGCCAGCATATTCAATATACTAGAATAGAATAAAAGCGACGAAATTTGAAAGTTGAAAACTGAAGAACGAATTAAAAAAGATGCAATATATCGATATCAAAGGTATTTTTTTCATTAAAAAACGGAAATTACTTTGAAAACAGTAGCACCAATAAAGATAGCAAGAAGAGCAAAATGCCAAGCAGAAATAAACATAACAGCAACACACAAGAATGATCCAATAAGAGACAACGACCAATGAAAATATCGAAATGACGGTCTCCAACCAGGTGCTTTCAGTATGCTCTGCAGAGCGCAAGCCGTATTTACTCCTAAGTAACACATTAAGAAGAATCTAAAATAAATTCATTGTTGTAAAATTCATTATGCAATAATATTTCACATGATTTATTTTATAACGAACCACGAAATATAGTAAATTTTTTCCGAATATTTGAAATTTGAAATAGTTTGCATTTGCAAAAAAAACCGAATAAAATTATAACTCACTGAGTGATAAGTGCAGTAATATTTTCAATAACTGCAATTAATATTCCACATTCACAAATAAAAAGTGTTAATAAAATAGCCAAGATTGGTTCACCACGAGAGTCCATTTGTTGAAAAATTGACAAAAATGGTATAACATCATCACTGGCTATAGCCTGAAGTAAACGAGGAGCGCCTGTTAAAGACTGCATGCCCGCACCAACTGTTGAAAGGAAACAACCAATCTATAATGCAAATGAGTCTGTTTGCATATAGGTTGTTTCTTTAAAAACAGAAATAAACAAACGAGTATAATAGTTGGATGAGGAACAGCAAGTTCAGCGATAACAAGTTTACTCATTGCTGATTGCCCAAATTTATCGCGAATGAACATCTCTGCTACAGACGAACCAAATAATATTACCCCACTCAAATCTCAAAAAAAAAATCTTTTAATGAAATATAATTTAAGGAAAGAAAATTTAAGATGGATAATTTAAAGTAATTATGGATAATTTAAATTATATGAAATAACTGAATTTAAAAGAAATTTCTATTAAAAATTTTTTTTTAAATTAAATAGAATGGAACCATTATTTCTTATTTCATAAAAACCTTGTTAGGAGGAAGAAAAATGAACTAACAAACAATAGTCGTGGTGATTTGGGCGCCAAGCGTTCCTAGAGGTATAGATCGTGAAGCATCCTTTAAATTTCCCGATCGATTCGATCCAGCCATTATCCCTCAATTAGAATTTTTTAAATTGATGTTTAATAAAGCAAATGGTATTCTTATATAAGTGATACCACTGATACCACTGATTTAAATAATTTTATAAGAAGATCCTTTAAAAATCATAGATATTAGATAAAATAAATAATAAATTATCGAATACTGGCAATAATCCCAAAAAGTACCTGTTGCCGATGGGAAGAAAACTCCAATCAAAATCATGAATGAAGTTGCTTGATCGGCAAATATATAATAACCAGAAGTTGATAATACAGCAACCCTTCGTTTCGACTTCTTTTCCTTAAAAAATTTCTTCAGTTATATTTTAAAAACCCATTAAATTTATTTTGAAATCATTATGGCATAAATAATTTGTCAAATATGTATGCCGGAAGAAAACTCGTCTTTCGATCAAAAAAATCGAAGCCGAAAGTGTTATAGAACATGAAACAAATAATATAATTATTAATGTCTTTGTTTTCTCGCAGTAATTGGAAATATTTGCTGAAAATTTGGTTGACTTGGACTTCGATACGACTAGGAAAATTTTAAATGCATAGGTGATTCAGTTACATATACCCTTACAAAGTGGAAAAGAGTGGCTTCTATTATTTTCTGGCATGGCGTCGGGAACGGAAATGTCTTACCTACCCTAGATGTCATCAAAAAAGCCAGCCAAACCAGACCAGCAATGGCAAGTTTTTTAAAAAAAAAGATGAAATCAAAACATTGCTCGATATTCAATACCACAGCCCAAACCTACTGGCAAATCTACAATAAGTGCGCCAATATATTTAGTATTCAGCAATGCAGGATATATTTCCTCTAATCATAGAGGATGCAAAACGCTCATAACCCACTAACATCCTCTTAAAAGCAGTCAACTCGCAAAATCTCTTCGCGTCATATTGAAATTCTCAAATGCTCAAAATTCTTCGAAACCTTCACTAAATATCCCCTCAAAATTCATAAATTGTTTCTACCGCAATTCATTAGTTATATAAATTAAAATCCTTTCCTTTCGTCTCGAAATGCCCATGTTTAGCTCCTCCATATGTTCTTATTTTATTACTTTAACACACTGTCAAAGCTTGGAGTTCATTTTTTTCAAAGTCACACATAAAATTACAAAAACTAAAATCAATATGAATGGCGTATCGAAGGAGATAGCGGAAATTAGAGGATAGTTGGAGAGAATATCAAGGATTTGCAGTGTGTTAAAGTAATAAAAGTTATTAAGGAAATATAAAGGATTTTGACAAAATACTATATGCCAATATATGCCAATATGTTTTGAAAACGATTCTGGCCGTTCGTAGTACGAGTCTTTTTATTGTAAAATATAATAAATCCACGTGATTGTATTGAACACTAATAAATTTCAAAAAAAAATTGCAGATGAAAATGACAGTCAATTTAATAAAGAATAATTGTATAATAACTAAAATTGATATGGATTGGATCCGCTTGTAATTAATAATGTGCCAAAAGAAACCTTCGTAAGAATATCGCCAGAGGCAAGATATTTGCTCCACAGATTCTCGAAGAATACACCACTCGCAACACCCGGGATGGCAATCTAAAAATATTGAAGGCATCATTTACTTGCCTATCAAAAAATCAACCGTGTGATTCAAATCATCGGTGTAAATTGAAATAATGCGCTCCATCCTATGATGAAATAAAAGAGTAGTTTCGAGCAAAAGGAGACTTGAGAGGTTGGTGGGCCTTCTTCGATCTTCTTCCTTTCTCTTCTCACAGCACGTCCCATCACTAGCCAGCTATTTGCCATTGGGCGTGAGACCCATTCGTCAGCCAGTCTCCTTTCATAAGCCTCTAAAATCCACCTGGATTCCACTTTCAGTGATTTACTCTAGATAAGGGAAAGAAATGGAAAGAAATCGTTTCCCTCTTATAATCGTTTCTCTCTTATTCGACCACTTTGTTGAGTAGAAATGCAATATTTCTTATAAGTTTAATAAATGCAAAGTTGAAATTGAGCAAAAAATTATTAATCGTATATAATAACGAAAATATCAAAATGAAATTTAAAGAGTTGTATATTTGCCGAGTTTTGAAGCGAGGAGGAGGTTAATAAATTATTAAAGTACTTCTTCACGTATAGCATCTTTGCGCTTCCAACTTATTATCTTGCTCATTCTCATAAAATATTCATCGCAAATAAGTGTAGCATTAGAAGACGTGCAAAACAACGGTTGCAGGCCTTGTTCTGTACAATTTGGCACATAATGGTATTTTTGATGAAATGAAACAAGATCAACTGGTCGATCTCCAACCATGCAAAACCTGCAACAATATCTGATTTGATTTGATTAAAACTGATAAAATTATCTCATTTTAAGATAAAATTATTTAAAAAATTTAAATTTAGATTTAAAAAATTTAGATTTAAAAAATTATATTTCATCCCTCTCCTTTCCTTTTCAATTGCTTTATTTATTTACTTATTATTGCTCTAATTCAACTCATTTTGCTAAATGATAAAGGACGATTATTCTTACGAAAAACAACTTTTCACTATTAATTTTACATATATTATCGAGAATCGATATTTTTAAGTATAAAAAATTAAGAAATAAAAGAAATAATAAGAACGGGCAATTATTCAATATTTCAAATTTTACATAACTATCATTGCAAAATTAAATTTCTAGGCGCGCTAAGCTCGCTTTGTTGGCTTATCGGATCGCACAGATTTTTTGCTAAGGAATCATTTGGCGATAAACGCGACGTATATATGGGTTAACATCATTCGGGTTCCTCAAAGCCGAATTCACTCCAACTGAGAGTGGAACTTCAGCATCGCATTCCGAAATAACTCAGTATAACAACTCATTCGGTCATTCTACCCATTCTATATTTCAAATCATTTTTTGAAATTTTTTATAAGAAGAATTTAATCCAAATTTCCTTTCTTTTTTAACAATAACCAGAAAAAGAGGTCAACAAACTTCAGCGAATCAGATCCATTAAATTTGATAAATGCACCAATAAATGTACATAAAATGCATGTGAGCACAACAAAAACTGCTGGTAGCGCAAATTTATTTACAACCTAAAAATATTTTTAATTTTGCTTTAATTTTTGCGAGATTCGTGGGGGAAATTAATGTTATAAATCATAGAATATTATCTCTCGCTATCCATACAACAGAATCAACGTAATGATAAGAGAATCATAAGAACCTATGCTGCTTATTTATCAGAGATAATATATTACTTATTCAAGCACTCATTCATGCATTTTTAGCGCTTATAATAAATCTCTTCATTTAAATATACATGGCTGGTTGCATAAATTGCTTTCCTATATGATTTGCTAGTTTTATTTCATATCGCATAGGAAAATAAAACAAATACATAAACACTTTTAATTATTTTATTTCATTTTTATATTGTTTCAAAACTGATTTCCAACAAAAAATATTGAGAGGCTTTTTTGCAAAATGAACGTTAAATGAATAATTATGACTTTAAAATTCATTCGAAGAAGTGCTTTTTAAATAAATTAATGTTAACCGAAAGAAGATTTCAATAGAACTAAATCAATAGAACTAAAAAAACCTATAGAAGAAAGGAAAAGCGGTGAAAGATTGATAAAATTACGCTGATTAATTTGCCTACTGAATGCAATCAACCAAATCCAACAAAACCTCCCTTCTCATACGATTCAAAACTATTATGCAAGTAGTCAGTGAAGCTAGCAAAACCAAACGAGAAATTATATTTATTATTGGAAGAAAAACCATTAATTTAACAATTTATAATTTAATTAATAGCATTTATAATATACATAAGAATTTTATCGAAAATTGAAATCGAGAAAGAAAAAGAGTAAAAATTTCGTTAAATAAAATGGAACCTTAACACCAGCAAGTACAATTATTCCAAGAATAACCAAAAGAGCACTGCCCAACACTCGAAAGCAATGATAAATATTTTCAAACATTTTCGCTTGAGGAAGAAGATAAAGCTATGATAATAATAATCATCTGATTTCAATTAATTCAATTAACTTTTTCAATGTTTTTTTTCTTTTAAATGTTTATTTTATTTCTATTTCAGATTTAGGAACATACTAACTTTACCACAGAGCCACTTAGGGCTAAAGGTGAACTAACAGCACTTGGATTTTTGAAAAAGAACTTGACTCTTGCCGGAAGCAGAATCCCACATCGGCAACTCAAAGCAACTCAAGTAATAACAGGAACAACTCAAAGAGCCACCAAAATATAGATTAAATATTAATAAAGAAAAATTTTAACGGAAAAAACTGGTTTTATGAAATACGAATTATATGGAGATATGAAAATGACAAAAATATTTCTTACAATAAGTATTTCAATAGCACCAGTGATATACATTGAAGCGGCTATTGTCGTACCAAGATAAAAAAGTATGCCGACAGCACCACCAAGCTCTGGACCTAAATTACGAGATATCATGTAATAAGGTCCACCGCCCGGCACCACACCATTTGTTGCGATTGCAGACAATGATATTGAAGTTAAGAATGTCTGAAATTTGCTTTGAACGAATGAAAAATTGCAAAAATTAGTTTGTTAAAAAAATGCTTATGTTATGCTTTAAAATTTTATTACTTATAGGGAAAAAGTGAAAAAGAACGATTCAACCAAAATCCCAAAAATAATTGCATTTTTTTTCGAAATGTAATTTTATAAGCAAATGACTTTACGACATCTAAAACGTTTCTTTGGCATAATTTTTAAAACTGATGACCGATATAGCCGCCTGATAAGAAGCCGGATCCACACCAATAGGAGCTGGTGGTGGAGGAACAAATGCTGGAATATTTACAGGCAATGGTGGAGGAGGCGGAGGTGGTTGACTCGTTTAGGTTTAATGATAGTTTGGGATTTTTCCAATTGATAATATTTATATTTAGATTGTTATTATAGGAAACATGTATGTTTTATAATTCTATAAGATCAGTTCCAGAATAGTCGGTTGTGCTGGTCAATTCGTTGATCCATAACGAATAAAATAAAAGAGTGCAAAAAGGAAAATTTTAAAAAGATTTTTAGTAAAGAAAATTCTTAAATAAGAGAAATAAGAGACGATCTCCCGCACATGCCACAGTTCTCACATATATAAAATTGAAATATAGTTCCGCACTTATAGAGGAGGAAATTTGCCTTAAAGCTATTCCATCGTACAAACGGATGAAATCACTTTTGCCTAACCTCAGCATAGGCGCTCCAATCTGAACAACAACCACTAAGCCATTCGATGCCCTCTTTAATATTTGAAAATTGCATTAATTATGCTGTTCTTATTAATATTAACTTCAGCATCCACCAATCATCAAGAGATTCGTTGTAATAACTGGAGATAGTTTTTATGTGGAACTTCAAATGCAAATAGCAAATTTCGTAGATGACAGATAACGTGGTCATAGTAGGGAAAGGACTGCAATATAAACGTAGATCACAAGTGAATTGTGTTCTGGCATTGGCAAATATGGCGTAAAGACTCAATTCGCCCCTCGGAAATAAGCCTTTTTCCATTTTCGCCAAGGAGAATGAATTTCACGAACGCCGGAAAAGATATCTAATTACATGAAAAACTCTCCGGATAATCAGTATTCCAATCAGATTCTGTCAAATAGTCGTTGGGTTCCTAGATAGTCGTTTCCATCGTAACGTTGAATTTAAAGCACGAGTCACGATCAACATGAAATTAATGACGTAATATCTCCCAAAATCTTTCAAGGATCATGAACTCAAAGATTAATTCTGGCTATTTTCACTAGGAATTACAAACTGAATTAGCCACACATTCCAGTGACAACTTTTGAAACCAATGAATACTGATTCCAAGTTCATTAAAAGTCTGTCAAATCCACCATAGCTCATACCAATCATTAGATAAGTGCCGCAAGAAAGCAGTGCCTGAAAAGATTGCCAGATCACATTACTTATTAGGTCCTAAATGATGGATTCTTCAAATGTGTTCAACAACATTGGCACGATGAAATAGAAATCTCTAATACAATGAAAAGGCCAGAAGATAAAAAAAAAAAAAAAGATAACAGAAATGAAAGATTCTAAAATTCTGATCTTACAATTCGAGATACTGAAAAGCTGATTTTTCATCCATTTTTATAAATTCATCACTAACTGTGAAAAGTGGCATATTTTAAATATTTTAAATATATTCTTGAACCAAGCGAAAAATAAAATTCCATCCCCGATAGCTGAAGCTAGGAATAACATTCAAGAAACAACATTCTTCCGTTTGATAAAACCTTTAAATCATAAAAAATCACTAATGAGAGCGGAAGATATCAGAGACTTATCTATAATCAATCATGCCTAAGGGATACTTTACGCGACAGATTTCACATGAATGCATGTGAATGCATATGAATGCATACTTAATCTTTACTAATATCGCCTCAAAGCATGTAAACTGGCTGAGCTATGTTCTTCGCCGCAGTAATTGATGGGTATTTCGCTATTTGATAAGATCAATGATAGATACGTCAATGATGCGTCAGCGAGCAGAGTCAACCAAGACCTGGACTGACATAAATGCGCAGCCAAGTGATATAATGAAGCGATATAATGTAGAAAAATGAGTGGCTTCTTTCATGCACTGTTTCGGTGCGCCATTTAAAAACGCCTTTCTTTATAGTCAGAATCAGTCTGATCAGTAACGGTGGGAATAGATTATTTTTTCTATTTTTGGAAATTTTTTGGAAAAAACTTACAACTGAACAACATAAAAAAACAACAAAAAAGGCTTGTACAATTCCGGCAGTACCAACGATCCAAGTTAAACGAATAAAAAATAAAACACCGAAAATATTTTGCATACAAGGCAAATAAACACCCATTATTGTACCCATTTGTGCCTAAAATATAAGTAATATAAAGATAAGATTAGGAAAAATGAAATGAAATTTTAAAGAGAGAAACTTTTTTGATTGGCTTTTTAGGTATTTCATTTTCTTCAGCAGTTGGCACAACAGTTTGATATAGAGAAATCGATCGAAGCATTTGACCTATTTTTTGACCCTGAGTTTTATAATCCTCCTAAAATTCAAAATTCGAAATGAGAGTTAGTTGTTTATTTTTGTTTTTTTAACAGCACTCACCACTACTGGTTTGGCTCGCCCCGCTGATTTGTCTGCTTAGATAAAATACCAGACAATCCTTTGGCGACAGAAGTATAGGTAGGTGACCTACAATCATCACTTTCAGGCTTATTTATTTTCGCCGAAAACGGAAATTCACCACCGAGCTTCTGCACTGAGTACTAACCCACTGAGCTAATCTATACTTTTCTCGTTAGGCAACACTGCTGCGTGACGAAGCGTGGTCCATCCTACGATTCTCGGTGGCACTTATCTTCCCACTGAGCGCAGAGACACAAGCGAAAATCAGTTGCTAATTAATTGGTATTTAAAAAATTAATAAATTAATAAAACAATAAAACAACCTCGTAAAGAGCGAGACTCGGACTATGTTGTTCACATAATGGTATCTCTTCGATTTTCTCTAAAATAAACAGTGAATAAAACAAAATTTTAAAATTTTTGAATTTTGTTAATAATAATAATGTTAATTTTATTATTAATAATGTTTTTATTTTTCATTTTATTTCTCATTATATTTCCATATTTAAATATTTTTTATTTGATACCTTTCAACAATATCTTTTTTTTATTATTCTTTATTCACATTTTTTTTTGTTTTTTTCCCCATCTAATATCGTTTCAAATTTGCCTATTTCAATTTGCAAAACTCAACGACACCGTGTCGCCAGACAGAATTATAGATTAATCCTCAACACGAACACTCCTTAATGATAAGCTTACGCGCATTAAACGAATAGCAACTCGTCTTACCTCTACTGAAATCAAGCAACAAGCATCTCTTATTTTTCCCCTCCCTTTCCCCTTTACTTTTCCCAAATGGTTCAATTTTATTCCTTTACAATTATCATTTTCGATTTAAAAAAAAAAAAAGAATGCTAAATTTCTTTTTCTCGTGAATTTTATAATTAAGCTGATTGGATTAATGTTATTGAATTCACTGAAATTTACCCCAAAAAACTTTTCAACAAAAAAATCTAATTTAGGAAAATTAATTGAATTTTATTATCAACTTGAATTTTATCAAACTAAATTAAATTCCAAACAATTTTTTAAATAATTTTTTTTACTGAAATATAAGCGAAAAAAAAAAGAACTTTTAGTGAAAAAATTTTTTAAAAAGATAAAAAATGATGAAATCAAAAAAATTTAATTTGATCAATAATAAGCCAAAAATATGCAAATTATTTGTTAATCGACAAGAAAATAGGCAAATATTTATTTCAAATCATTTTTTTATTTAAATGAAAACTAAATTTAAGTAAAATTCTAAATAATCTAAAATAATTCATTTTATACATCCATATATTAAATAAAATATTTAAATGTTTGCCGATAAAATAAGGGATCGCCGCGTCAAGTCACGCCGAATTCGTAAAAAACATGCACGTTTATTTCTACGGGGAAAAATTGAACCTCAGTAATACGCCTCGACGCCTCGAAAGCAATAACCTAATGGGTTACTATGATCACTATGGGCCATTACGAAGATTTAGTTCACGACAAATATATATTTTCAAATAATTTTATTTATTTATATATTTATTTAAATTTATTTTACTACAATTTAATTTCAGTTATTCTTTTTTCACAACTTTCACCATTTGTAATTTGGTTCTTCCAACGGCGGACTATTAGACTGAAAGGTCTTCTCCAGAGAGTTATGGTTGAGAATAGAAGTATAATCTCTAGAACCACCAGAGATTTCAATTTTAATGAAAAGTTTACTCTGGCCAACGGAAAGAAATCGAAACTAAGATATTTGCCAAATCTATTTAATATAAAGTATTTAGGTAATTAACTAAGGGCTGCTGTGGATGCACCCATATCCATCAAGCTGTACATTTTTCTATTCCTAAGTGATTCACTCATTCTTCAGTAATTCACGGAAATGATCATTTGTATGAAGCGAATGAAGTCATTTTTACGTTTTTAATTGCAAGAATTAAAGAACATCACAATATCATTACTATTAAGATGGCAGATGTTTCCTTCCTTTCCTTTCCTCCTTCCTTCCTTCTTTCCTTTCTTCTTTCTTTTCTAATTTTTCAACTCTATCTTCACTATTATAAAAGATTGAATGGTATTGCACTACATTTGATTAAATACTTCTTAATAAAATAAATGCAAATTTCTACAATTTATTCTCAAAATACTTTTTTTATTAAATTTTCTCAAACAATAATAAAAAGAATTAAATAATTAAGAAAATTTAATTTATATTGTTCATTAATATTAAATATCAATTAATTATTATAAAGAATTATTATAATAAATAAAAAATATTTGAATAAATATTAATAAAATGCTTAATTATAGATGTATGTGTGTATATGTAAATGTGCATGTGCATGTATGTGCACATAAGTATTTAAATATGACTTTAAATAATGCTCGAATTTTCATGACTCTCGCATTCTAGAGAACTAAAACTAATTTAGTGATGACTATATATAATTTGCTCAGAACGATTCTATTCAAAGACTTTATTAAAGCAGTTTATAAAATAATAATTTATATTATCAAAAAAAACGTGAAGTGAATGCTTATCGCCATTTCGAGTTAGACGATAATTAAATTCTTATTGGAGAGTAACATGGCAATAGGTGAGTATCGCCAGTATCTTTTTTAATACCTCACATCACTGCTTGTTTGGCTGATTATGGGTAAGACGTTTCAAGCTTCAGAAATCATGTCTGAAAATGCTTGGAGCCACTTTTTCCCACTGCCTAAGCCCGTAGCCCGTATATTGCTCAGCTACAATGCATTCAAAACCATATTAACTTAAAGGACCTTTCTAGATTGGTCCTTTTTACTTTGATAAACGCTAATTCCTGATATCTTCCACTCTCACTGGCCACGCTTCCAGCCGTACAGTAAGATTGCGCATAGATAATCAGACTTACATTTTGAGGCTGATTTTGAGGCTGACGTTTCCAAACAAACTTCGCCACTCCGAGGAATCTCTGCCTATCAACACTCGGTCGCCACCCATTAGGTTATCTTCTCCCCAACAATTTCTATTAATTACATTATTAACTTATTGTACCATACAAATATTGGTAATGAGTGATAACTGATATGATGTGTGTTAATTGTTGAAAGCGAAATCATAGTTCATAATTTTTTTTTTCAAAGAAGCGAAAAGAAGCGAAATTTCCTAATTTTAGACCAAAAGACCAGAAAAAGGAAAATCATTCGCCTTTTTCAAGCATATACATATGCACATATTAAAAAATCATTAGTAGGTATCATAACAAACGGTAACAATCGGACATATTATTTATCTCTTATTTGCTATTATTTCACCGCAGTCGATGGTCACCTCGTCGTGCAGCCTATCAGATGAACTTTACGTCGAGCTTCGTTGGTACTATTCACAGTATACATAAATTTATAGAAACGGATGAATTTCACCAGTTTGCCATCAAATAAATCTAAATAAGTCAGACACTATTCCTTATTCCTGTCTAAAAAATGGCGAATGATATTTTTTTAATTCTCGAATGATTTTCTAAGAGTTTTTCCTGCATCGGTTTTCTTTAAAAATCCTTCACCTAATAACCTCGTTCTAGCGCGACTTTGAAACTTTCTGATGTGCCATAATACTTTCACAGACTTCCATCACAATGTTATTTTTGAAGTGCAATTTTCCTCATCGGTGGAATAGTGGCATCGTATACTTTAATATACAATATATACATATTTGATAATCGATTTAAATATATTTATTATTTATTATAGTAGTAAAATAATAAAATAATAAACGAATAAAAATAGAAAATAGTAAAATAATAAATGAATAAAAATAAAAAATAGTAAAATAACAAATAATAAAAATTTAAATAAAAATTTAAAATCTTATAAAAAACCTTAAACCTTTTTCGTCTCTTTTTACGAAAAAAAAGAGTCAACGAAATATTTATTATAAATGTTATATTTATTTATTATTTCATTTAATTATATTTATTTATTTAAATATTACATTTATTTATTATTTTATTATATTTATTATATTAATAACCTTAATTATTTAAAATTTTAAGATTTGTTATCTATTATTGCAATTATTATTAAAATTGCTATTATTTATTTAATATTATTCACTATTACTGTTAAAGGCAAAAATAAGTTACTATTGGAGATTTAGAAGTGAAAAAATAAAAGAAAAGAACACTAAACATAATTATAAGAAATATTACTAAATTAAAATGATAATCGGTTTTATTACTAAAAAAAGGAAACAATTTAAATGAAACAAATTATCCACCTTTCGCAATATGAAAAATTCAATTTTTATTCAACGAATTGATTTTTTTAACGAAATAATAAATCCGACAAATCTGATCAAAATTTTCACTTATATCACTTATTTTTTATTTATAAATTTTTATAAATAATATTTATTAAAACTTAAAAAAATTTATCATAAAAAGTTTTTTGTGCTCAAAATATTAAAAAATAAACGCATCTTTAATTTACCAATGCATTTAATAAATTTTGCGAAAAAATGAGAAGAAAATTATGTTTTCAATCACTATTTACAACAAATTAAATTTAAAAATTCGTGAAATTTTAAATAAGCAATTTTCTCAATTTTAGATTTAATAATAATAATAAATAATAATAATAATTAATAATAGTATTATTAATAAACAATAAAAAATAATATCAAAAAAACTATTTTTTAAGCAAATTGAACTTTTAGAAATAAAATTAAATTTTTTCCCATTTTCATTCTCTCCTATAAATTTTAATAATTCTGAAATTTATTTTTTTCCCGACAATAAATAAGCCGCAGAATAGTGATGATTCAAATATTGTGAAAGCCGATCAAATAAGAAATGATAACCGACTGTTTTCTAAATTTCTTAATAAAAGAATTCTTTTGAAAAGTTTTTATGACGTTTTAAAATTTTTGCGTTTAATAAATGTAAA